AGCGTTAGTCTAATTTTTGATTGGTGAACTGAGTGCTGTTTTTCTCAATGCATTATCGAGTACCATGCTTATCCACAGTATACTGTTTTCAACCAAGAGTTACGTGACGTAATCGAGTGAGTGGGCAATCTGTTTTCTTTGAATGTGACCAATCTATGCGTTGATTGCCTATTGTTGATAGAGCGCGTGCTTTTCTCACATATTGTTTCAAGAAAAGATTTGCCAAAAACATTTCTCGTACTGGTTTGAATTTTAATCGAGCGACCGTATAAATGGAGACACCAATTTCCACTTGATTTAACTGTGTTTAAAGCCAGAAACCTTCTTATCTTGCATTGCCTGAGGAGCCTTGAATACCAAACTCAGCTAGCCGATCTCTGGTCTGGAATGAAAGTCAAGATTCTCTTTTACCTCCTCGAAAATAGCAGGTTTGTCCTTAGTTCAACTTTAACTTTTGGTTACGCTATCGTTTGCTTTTTTTTCTGTAAAAATTTCTAAGTCAATTTAAAGAAACGGTGATAAGAGTGCAAATTTATTTAACGGTTTTTGCCAGTTATTTTTGCTACAGAAAGAAATTATTCTTTTTAGTAGACTTTAAATAACGGATCAGTTATGTCATAATTCTTTCCTCTGTGTGTTATTGTCGCCCGAAGTTACCTGTGAACATGCATGGTCCCCTCGTTATGTCGGTTCGACGAATGTTGAACTGGAAGGACAAAAAAAGTAATAAAGGTTACGTGTAGCCAACAAGATAAACGCGAGTTGCGATTGTTAAGGTCAAATAGACCTATTTTGTTGATGTTTATGTAGTTAGAATTTTTCGCTTTAATTAAAGAAGTGTTCACTTCCGTAGACTACAGTTATAACATAAACTTCAAACGTTGGACAGTTTTTTGCTACTCTGACTCAGAGTATATGCTTTTGTATTTGATTAACCGCGACATTAATGTACGATTTAAAGGTATAGATTATGCAGTTGTTTTATGCCGCACAAACGCGATGCCAACAACCCAACTGTTGGCAGTTTTGACGTAGAGTGCATAACTTGCACCGGGAGAGAATTACAATGCTTCCCGGGACGGTTCAAGCTGACATAAGATAACAGTCGACAGAGGGGCAAGACAGGTGTGAATAAAAATGAAGGTAACGAGAAACCAGTTAAACAGGAAAATAAGGTTAATTCGAAGTGCAATTCTTAACACGTAAGTACTTTAGTATTTACAACAACAAATAACACTTTCCATTCTTTAACAGGTACTGCTTGACCATAATGAAAATCTGAAAGATTTGCCTTGCAAGAAAGTCTTCAAAATAACAATAAAAGTACTGCCACGGTCCTTAAGAAGGATATGCAGCCAACTCATTTGTGTTTCTGTCATTTATTCAATATATACCAAACCTATGGTAAGTTCATTTTTTGCACAACACAGTCGTTGGGTCGGGTCGTCATGCAATTTTCCATTGCTTTGAATAGGTTATTATTTTAAATAAAGTTTAACAATTGGTCGTTAAGGTGGAACAGAAGATCTTTATTACAACTAATAACCTACTGTTTCAGTTAAGTGACAATAATAATAACCTGCTGGTTCTAAAACTATGGAAAAGTAAGCGCTTGATCATTATTTTTAATGAGCTTTTTTTCTTTTCTCGTTGCATCGTTCTTTCCAAAAATTTTCATGCAACTTTTTAGGTCCTCTGAGAATTCTGGTTTGGTATATACACCTATATAAATGCATGATGTGTTAAGCGATAATTAAAACCTCTTCAGACCTGAAAGAGAAAAAATCTGAATCTTAAAAAAGTTTCCGCTATTCAATTTAGTAAAGAAACTTCGGTTTCGGATACGAAACGAAACCTTACCAAGAGATAAATTCCTCACCGTCAATCAACAACAAAAAGTAAAAAATAAAAAAAAAGTAGAACAAAAATACCCCAACGGGCATTACAACAAAAAACTATTCAAAAGACCAAAAGGAACAACCTATCCATATAACAACAACAAAGAAAAAACGGTAGGTTAAAAAAAGGTTAGTAACGAGGTAAGTTTATTTAAACTTTTCTTTCTTGAGCCCTGGGGACTAAGTGCTCCGCCCAAGGGGGGGAGAGCCCTGGGGACTAAGTGCTCCGCCCAAGGGGGGAGAGCCCTGGGGACTAAGTGCTCCGCCCAAGGGGGAGAGCCCTGGGGACTAAGTGCTCCGCCCAAGGGGAGAGCCCTGGGGACTAAGTGCTCCGCCCAAGGGGAGAGCCCTGGGGACTAAGTGCTCCGCCCAAGGGGAGAGCCCTGGGGACTAAGTGCTCCGCCCAAGGGGAGAGCCCTGGGGACTAAGTGCTCCGCCCAAGGGGAGAGCCCTGGGGACTAAGTGCTCCGCCCAAGGGGAGAGCCCTGGGGACTAAGTGCTCCGCCCAAGGGGAGAGCCCTGGGGACTAAGTGCTCCGCCCAAGGGAGAGCCCTGGGGACTAAGTGCTCCGCCCAAGGGGAGAGCCCTGGGGACTAAGTGCTCCGCCCAAGGGGAGAGCCCTGGGGACTAAGTGCTCCGCCCAAGGGGAGAGCCCTGGGGACTAAGTGCTCCGCCCAAGGGGAGAGCCCTGGGGACTAAGTGCTCCGCCCAAGGGGAGAGCCCTGGGGACTAAGTGCTCCGCCCAAGGGGGAGAGCCCTGGGGACTAAGTGCTCCGCCCAAGGGGGAGAGCCCTGGGGACTAAGTGCTCCGCCCAAGGGGAGAGCCCTGGGGACTAAGTGCTCCGCCCAAGGGGAGAGCCCTGGGGACTAAGTGCTCCGCCCAAGGGGAGAGCCCTGGGGACTAAGTGCCCAAGGGGGAGAGCCCTGGGGACTAAGTGCTCCGCCCAAGGGGAGAGCCCTGGGGACTAAGTGCTCCGCCCAAGGGGAGAGCCCTGGGGACTAAGTGCTCCGCCCAAGGGGAGAGCCCTGGGGACTAAGTGCTCCGCCCATGGGGAGAGCCCTGGGGACTAAGTGCTCCGCCCCAGGGGAGAGCCCTGGGGACTAAGTGCTCCGCCCAAGGGGGGAGAGCCCTGGGGACTAAGTGCTCCGCCCAGGGGAGAGCCCTGGGGACTAAGTGCTCCGCCCAAGGGGGGGAGAGCCCTGGGGACTAAGTGCTCCGCCCAAGGGGAGAGCCCTGGGGACTAAGTGCTCCGCCCACCCTGGGGACTAAGTGCTCCGCCCAAGGGGAGAGCCCTGGGGACTAAGTGCTCCGCCCAAGGGGGGACTAAGTGCTCCGCCCAAGGGGGAGAGCCCTGGGGACTAAGTGCTCCGCCCAAGGGGAGAGCCCTGGGGACTAAGTGCTCCCGCCCAAGGGGAGAGCCCTGGGGACTAAGTGCTCCGCCCAAGGGAGAGCCCTGGGGACTAAGTGCTCCGCCCACCCTGGGGACTAAGTGCTCCGCCCAAGGGGGGGGAGAGCCCTGGGGACTAAGTGCTCCGCCCAAGGGGAGAGCCCTGGGGACTAAGTGCTCCGCCCAAGGGGAGAGCCCTGGGGACTAAGTGCTCCGCCCAAGGGGGAGAGCCCTGGGGACTAAGTGCTCCGCCCAAGGGGAGAGCCCTGGGGACTAAGTGCTCCGCCCAAGGGGGAGAGCCCTGGGGACTAAGTGCTCCGCCCAAGGGGAGAGCCCTGGGGACTAAGTGCTCCGCCCAAGGGGGAGAGCCCTGGGGACTAAGTGCTCCGCCCAAGGGGAGAGCCCTGGGGACCCTGGGGACCCTGGGGACTAAGTGCTCCGCCCAAGGGGGAGCCCTGGGGACTAAGTGCTCCGCCCAAGGGGGAGAGCCCTGGGGACTAAGTGCTCCGCCCAAGGGGGAGAGCCCTGGGGACTAAGTGCTCCGCCCAAGGGGAGAGCCCTGGGGACTAAGTGCTCCGCCCAAGGGGGAGAGCCCTGGGGACTAAGTGCTCCGCCCAAGGGGGGAGAGCCCTGGGGACTAAGTGCTCCGCCCAAGGGAGAGCCCTGGGGACTAAGTGCTCCGCCCAAGGGGGGGAGAGCCCTGGGGACTAAGTGCTCCGCCCAAGGGGGGGAGAGCCCTGGGGACTAAGTGCTCCGCCCAAGGGGGGGAGAGCCCTGGGGACTAAGTGCTCCGCCCAAGGGGGGGAGAGCCAAGAAATGAAGTTAATTAACTTACGGTCTTATATTTTGAGAAAAATAAAGCTGAAGCCCTTGTAATTTTGAAAAGCCTTTAGTTCCCCTAGGATGATCGAACAGATACAAATTTTATGGCCTCGCTTGGAATGTATTTCCAGAGATTAAAAGTACTGTAGTCTAAGCAAGGTTGTCATTAAGTGCGGGCAGCCGGCAGCCGGCTAGAAACTAAAAAAATTGTTGCAGGAGTTGTGCTATATTAATTTTTTTGAAAAAACGTGCCGATCGTCTCTGCGCACTCTCAGTTTTTTTTTTTCTGTTTTTGAATGTGCGGATCCCATGCGCAACATCCACGTATTCAAGTTGTGGTCTAACTAAAGTAAGATAGGCTTGCTTTTTTACGTTTTCTGGACACTTAATTAAGTTTTTTCTTATAACGCTAAGGGATCTGGTGGCCTTTTGCCATAATCCTAGCAATTTAGATCACTGGATAGCTCAACTCCAAGGAATTAGTGGTGATCAACAGCTTTCAAGGTTTCTCCGTGGATAGTGCATTGCACAGTATTTCCCATTTTCTTGGAGAAACGACTGTTGATTGATGATGTCTAAAAAGCAGCGACCATTTTTTAGGGACGCTCGTCAACCGGAAGTTGACTTTTTGCACTCTTGAGCGATGATTTTGAACAAATTTTTTGGCAGATTGTCTCTATAAGAGAAAAGACTCTTAGCAATACTAATTTGGAAGCGACAAGGTATATTAAAAGAGAATAAGTTCACTTCCCGTTGTCGTGCGTCCCTCAAAAACGTCGTTTCTTAGACGCCCCCTAGGAGCAAAAAAGTTGGGAATGTCTGCCTCCCTGGTGTTTAACACAACCTCATTGCGCTTCTATGGGTGACTCCGCTGACCAGGAATCTCCACTCTCTCTCTCCTCATCTTCCATCGTGCCTCAGCCTCATCTCTGTAGTTCGCATTTCTTGCCGTTTTAGCTCGTTTTGCAAGCAGGATGAAGTTCAGCAGTAATGGCCCAAATCGCTGACAGCTTGAGGGAGATGTCGGACTTGAACATAATATTTTGGTAAGAATAAGCCCTGTGGTTTCTTTTTGGGCTTCCTCACCACATTGCTTCGGAGTATTTTCTGTATTTTAATGTAGTGAAATACAAGCTCAAATAAACTAATCATAGATATGGAGCTTAATTTTTCATATTTTTTCAGTCGTTCTGGGATCAATTATGCTTAACAAGATTTGCCAGATTACTGGATTAATGTCTCCGTAATTCCATATCATATCCATTCATATTGTTTCTTTCTTTGTATTGTTTGTTGAGGCCCTGCCGGGGGAGGGGGGGGGGGGGTTCCTCGTCGCCCGTCGGAATTTTAAAGCGTCTCGTGTCGGTGTTTATAAATGCTTGTCGCTTATTGTCGGCTTTGCTGTCACTGTCGCAATTTGGCAGAGGGAGGTTGTCTCTTGTCACGATTTCATTTTATGCGCTGTCGCTACTTTTTGGGCCATAGTGCTTGTTGGAATTTACCCTGGTAGGGCCTCTTTGTTGCTGTCTCCTGTGCAAAACGTCAACATGATTTAAAAAATTTTTACTTCGGCACAAGTCTGTTTTATGCATCATTCTACTGTTGCTGGAAACTCATTAAAAATGATGGACAAACCACTGACCCCCAGTCCATGGACAACCCTCGGGGATATGCTACCCATATGGACCAACCTGAAATGGACTACACCTGCTGAAGTGTAGTAATAAGCTTTAGGAAACGGAGTGATTCTTATCCCATTTAGGGTCATTATACTGGGAAAACTTTCCTGAAACTTGATTCACTTTAGTTTCCTAAGCCTAATCACTAGACTTCAGTGGCTTAATCCATTTTAGGGTAGTCCATATGGGTAGTCCATGGGTTTATTCCATGGACTGGGGGTCAGTGTTTTGTCCATCACCCTTATTAAACACATACCAATATTTTTCTTTAGCCCTGATGAGCTTCTCTCGCAAATCAAGAAGCCTTTAAACCTACCACTTCATGGCGGACCAAAAGCATTTGCTCCGGATGAGAACAGTGTAGAAGATGAGCTCTTAACATCTATGCTGGAAGAACAGAAAAATGTTTTGAAAGAACAAAGAATTCATAAAAGGTATTGTTTTAAATATAAACACTATTTATTTTACAAATAAGCCCCTTCTTTCGTACTGGTGGTCTTCAATCTCATGGTGTATTTTTTGGCTGGAAAATTAGGTACTTAGGTTAGTGATAATAGTCTGGACTTATTTGCTGTGCATTATTCAGATCTGCCAATAAAAGTTTAAACTAGTTTAACAGAACATAAATTTGATAAGAGTTTTTAAGAGATTTAAGAGTTGAAAAGGATGCTTCATGGGCTGTATATGTTGCGATTCAATAAATTCTAATTGAATCAATTTATTATTATTATTTTTTTTTTATACATGCTGTCATAAATCAGCATACCATAAAACAAAAGGAAAGTAAATATTGTACAAAGGCTAAAATTCAACCACAACATATAATTATACTTAATTCAGAAAGAATTGACATGAATGTCTCTGAAAGTGTTGTTTTTTGTATTTGCTTGAAGGGGAAACTTGTCTGTCGCTACTTGGAATCCTGAAGAACATGTGGTTGAGGTATCAGTTGCAAAGGTAACTTATATGTATATATTGGCAAGAACGATGTATCAAACAATCCACCATTACATAGTTCAGCTGTAAGGAAATCAAGGACTGGCCTCATTTTATATTTTAATTCACTGTTTTTGAGCCTACGCTTTTTTCAGAATCATCTGCTGGTTTCACATAGCGCTGTTGACACTGTCTAGTTAGTCCACTGTCTTGGGCTAACATGATCATTTTCTTTCAGCTCATTATGCATTCCTCCCCATCCATTGTTTCTCATGTTGAAAAAATATTTCACTCATTGGCTGCACTCACTCGTGAAATATTTTTCAACACTCGAAGAGAAATTTCGTATCTCCGCGCGGCCATGTAATATCCTCTATATACGAGGCTAAGTACGATAATTATTCTCTATATCATACAAAAGCCAAATCCAATATTTCTTTTATTATTGATTCAAAAATTAATAATATTCCATGCTTTATACCTTATATAAAAAGTTTCCATCACCTTCATAACATTTGCCTGTTTATTGGCAGTTTCAAGACAGGGGAGATTTATTCTAGCAGGGATATTTTTCAAATAAGGCCCGTTACAGACGGCAACTTTTCACGAGCTGAACCTAATTCGAATTAAGGCCGACCCAGATTATTTAGACCAGCTGAATTGATTCAGATGCTGTTCTTAATCCCAGCTGAACTAAGATTGAAAGGTGAAAAACGCTCATTTTGATCAAACTGCTTACAAAATACGTTATAATGATTTATGCATTAGGTTCGGTACATGCAAAGTTTGGCGTCTGAATCAAAGCCGTTCAAAAGTTGCTCCAAAGGCGTAATTTCCGGTTGTGCCAGGCGAAAAGAACAACTGAGCCTTTCCAAAATGAAACAGGCATTCCTAATTGATTCAGACTCCAGACTTTTCATGTACTTAATTCAATGTATTAGGTACAGCTCATGTAAAGTTCGGCGTCTGAACCGTGCCTAACAGTTGTTATATATCAAGTGGTATTAGACTGTGAGCAGTCCTCTTTAGTCAGTCGAGTCTAAGCTCGGTAGGACTAGAGAGCAAAATGGCCAAGAGGGAAACTGGAGAGAGGTGCTTCCTCCCCAACTTCCCCTTGGCTTCTTGTATTTTACTTTTGCTCGCTTCGCTCGATTTCATCACTCACGTGACCATCCTGAGGGACTGCTCGCAGTCTAGAGTGGTATTTTTGCTATTCTTGGCATAAAGTGGTAAATCTTCTCAATACTTTATTCTCTCCATAATTGTTATTTATGCCAAGCCATTTAGTTTATTCACCAAGTTTTTGTACACTGTAACGAGGTGTATATCCTGCGTGTACGTTGTGCTGGCTGTATATTTATTTTGCTCAAATTTCATTGTTATTTATTTATTTGTATTTTCTTGTTTGATAGGGTTCTTATTGGCAACACTTTGGCCAAAGAAAAGGAAGCAAGATGCTTCTAAAGCCACATGAAGCTCTGTTTCTTTTGGAGCAGGTTAATGTCAACTCATTCTTATCTTTATTTAATAATAAAAGTGATAACTTTTTGATGTGGACACCTGGTATCATTACAAATTGAAACTCACTTTCATTTGTTTGTATGGTATTAAGTTGCTGTTTATATACTACTTATTAACTGAGAGTGAGGTCTTTACAGGGAAATCTCAGAATGAGGCCTTGATATATTGACTGAGCGATAGCAATAATGCCTTGTCATTACAAGAAAACAGCCAATTAAAGCATCCATACTATTGAAGCCATATAATAAAATTATTTATTGTAACCCTATCAAACAGCCATGCAAACTGCAGTGTTCTGTTCTGTATAGTAATCAGTCGCAGACCTGAGCAGGGGCACTCCTATATAAGATATTATCAAAAGGGTATGCATTTTGACTCTTTTATTCTGGAACTGGGTATAAAAGTACCCTTTCTCTCTGCTGGAAGAGGGGTATATTTCACTTCAGTTTGACTTAAGGGGCTGAGAAACTCAGTGTGTTTTGATGGGAGAGTTTGTCTCAATCTTATGTCAAGGTGACTGGTAACAGTTTTAGTACCAGTGAATTTTGGTCAAGTTTGCTTCAAATATTTTCTTTTAATGAATTTGTTCTAATATGTCATTTGTTTTCTAGGGAAGCTTAGAACTTTTTTATGGAGGACTACCAATGTCTTTTCAGCAGGTAAGTGTACTTATTTAATAACTGTATTTATTACCTCTGATGACTGAAAATAACTAAACTGTGTGGTTGTCTCCATGGGCTATTAAATTTTGATCTGGTCTGTAGATGTTTGTACTCAAATTGACTCGATAAGACATCTTAAGATTGGATCATTGTGTGGGCAAGTACCTCCACACAGTGACATGTACATTTGATGCATATTGTTATTGAAACCTCCAAATACATTGTAATAATGACCACCTCTAAATCATTGTTCAACCTGGAACAAAAATTGTTTAAAACACATGTACATCACCATTATCATGAATAAGAATACAGCTGTAAGAAGAATAAGAGTAACCTGTGCCAACTGTCCTCACTTGAAGCCGTTATGGCTATAAATTCCGGAGGAACCAGAGAGGTGAGATCGGGCATCAGCATGTAAAGGTGCTCTATACAGCCTCTTGAATGCATGTTTTATGTCACCTCGCCCACCCACACCAATAATGGCACAAGCCAGATAGACCTACATGTGCTCTTTCCAAACAATATGCAACTACCATCATGTCACCTGTCATCTGAACTAAGAAAAGGTTTTTTATCACAGCTAGCATAATGTCACCAGTCAGCGTAATGACTGTGGTTGGTGGTCTGGCCGGGGTTGGAACTTGTGGCCTCCTGGCCTGTAAAATGTACAATATGTACAGATTTTGTTGTAAAAGGTAGAAAAAATCTCGACTTTTGCAACAATTTTTCGGTCACAACCTGCAACAATACCTGATTTGTTTCACTACAGCTTTGAACATGGGTGTATAGTAAAAGGTGCAACATCGGTTTTCAAATTGTTTTGCTCATGTTGCAGCAACATTGCTAAAACAAGTCGCACATTTTTTACTCCTGTTTAACTGTACCTAATACTCACCCATGCTTTACAATTGCCAAACTCCAGAAACAGGCTATAGTTGACTCTCCCTTCAATTCTTTTGGTTTATGGAGACTTCTTTACAAATCAAGTCACCAGCTTCAAAATTTTAGCCGCCATGGCGACTAAAGTGGTCACAACTTGGCGGGTTGCCTTATACTAACGGCCACAGGGCTACACCTCTTTAATTCGGACACCTTGGTAAAAAGGACACCTAGAGTTGGTCCCTGCCTCTCTTATTCCCTTAATTTGCCTGTCTATAAGGCAGACCTCACTCTCAGATGGACATTTGGTGCTGGTCCCAAAGTTTTGTGTCTTTGAGAGTTGTCTGTATTGCTACTCAGATCTAGAGTCTTGCCTCGTGGACACCTGACTATTAAAGACACCCTGATAATATGGACAGTAGCTTATGAATTCCCACGGTCACAGACTTGTGTTGCTAAAGAGAAGAACTCGTGCTTGCAAGGTTGTCTGCAATAATGGGAGTTGATTGTTCGTAACTGTAGTAAACCAGATATTAGTTTGTTAGGGGATCATGATACACCTGTTTTGTGTAAGCTACCAACCAGCCATCAATCTGCTGTCTCAATACCACTGTTGTTTAGAGCTCTGCCTATAAAACAAACTGAAGGAAACTGTCTAAAAGATGCCTTGTTACATAATCTTGGTCCCGAGCTCTATAATACATTTGGAACACTCCTGATTCTTTGGTGCTTGCGTGTCTAAAATGAACTGGCCCAAGTGATACCCTGGCAATATGTCTTGTTTCGGGCATGGTATGTTTACAAAGGCCCTTCAGGGATCATCAGAGAGCAAGAGTTTAATGAACAAAGTTTGTATCTCTTTTGTTAGGGTTATATGTCCCTGTTATCTGAGGATTTTACTCCTGATCACTATCAGGTAAGTATTTCTTTCCATTAATAGCTTAACCCTTTTAAAAGTCCCAATATCCACATACAAATTCTCCAGACTTAGCTCTATACATTTCCTTAAAGAATTAGTTGGGAGAATTTGATAAAAGATCTTTCGTGATCATTTTATTAATTCTCATAGACTTTGCTATGTCAACGTATGGATATCGTTAGGAGAAAATTGATGTTGGTCACCATTGAGACTTAAAGGGTTAAAGAGCATGTGTGTTTTTAGCTGTGTGGGACTGTATAGTACAGTACATGCGTATTGTACTTTCAGTGATTTTTATAGAACATTGAAAGGCTTGTGAGTCTCCAGTGTCTAAAAAGTCTCCTTTGCAGCCACTTGGACCGGAGTCACGCAATGCTTCCCGCTTCACGCGGGAAGCATGGCGTGACTCCGGCCCGAGCAGCTGCAAAGGAGACTACCTGTGTCTCAGTGGTGGAGCATCTAGTCTAGTACCCAGAAGGTCATAGGTTTGACTTCCGAGCCGCCTGTGTCACTGACTGAAAAACATCTTTCCACATCTTTCTAGGTTAGAATCGAGTTGGGATGTTGTACACTGTCCATGTAAATGTCCATTAAGTTTCCTCACTTACTTATCTACTCACTTACTTGCGTACATAAAACTGCTGTTGTGTTTTTATTACAGGTTTATGCCTATTTTCTGCGTCTTGGATTTACCGTTTTACAACATTCATCAAGGTGAGGATAGGCACTTGTGTCACATGTATCTATGGAGTTACACTCGGGTGAATACAGGCAGTTTTAGCAAAGACAATGTTTTTGAGCGACGGACGTCAACCGAGAACGCATCATTGGGCAGTGGATTGGTTCAAACTCTCGTGGAAAAGGACTCAGCAATGCAAATTTGTTAGAGTCAAGGCATATAAAAGAGAAGAAACCTCACTTCCGCTGCCCAAAACGTCTTTTGCTTAAGCTCCCTAATTTGAGAACAAACATTCTTTTTGCCTGTCCTAGGCTCTGAAATAGTCGATTCCACGAAACTGAAAAAGCGCCAACACGAAAATAAACGGGAGGAAACTGGGGAGAGGAGGAACGCCACCGCGCCCTTTTCCCAGATCACGCGCTCATATTTTTTAGGTGCCTTTCACCTTCGCGTCTATCCTACCATCTGATAGCTTGGAATAGGCTACCGTTCTGTCATTGGTCAAGTCCGTTAATTTGATCTACGCGCGTCGTCTTTAATGTAGTCGCGTTGTCTTTGGTAAATCTCTCTAATAGCTGATTCAAAGATTGTTCAAATCGCAAAAATTCGCTGATTACATAAAAAATTTAATCAAACCCTAAAAATACACATCTACAATCATGGGCAAAAATCTTGGGACAAATTTGCATTTAGGGGGCTTTTTTTCAAATCACATAAAAAACAAACAACGTTGGTCACTTGTATCCAGAATTTTCACGAGTTTCAACTTTGTACCGGGTAGGGGAGGGAGAACTGCGCGAAATTTTTGAAAAGGTTGCACTGGTTTATGAGGGCACCCTGACCCAGAAATTACAGAAAATTATGAATACTGCGTTACTGTCCCAAGAAGTTTTGTCCAAGATTGTATTTGGGTCGGTCATTTAAACGAATCTAATTTACTAGGCTACGATTTTAGAAATATTTTGACCTATTACTTATTGTTTAGACATAAAAGTTCTCCAGGCAGTTCACGAAAGGATCCGGTTCAAGAGAAAATGGGACATAGTTTTGGGACATCCAATGAGGCCTCTAGTGATGATTGTGTTAGTAGCAATAAGCCAGTGATATCATCCCCTGTATCACACCTTTGGAACAGTGAAGATGGCGTCACACCACTTGTTAGACCCGAGGACGCTACATCAACAGGTATAATGTACGCTGAGCCTCCACTGCTTTAAGGAAGCATCGCACGGTATACTCAGGCCGCCTGTTTGGGATGTAGCTAAGGAAAAGCTAAACGTGCTTATGTATTCGAAGCAGTTCCATAAAAAGCTAGGTTGACTGTTATTTTCTTACAAGAAAATAATTACCTCATGTGACTGCTAGTCTGTCTGTGTTTTACGAAAGGTGCAATTTGAGCCGGTGGTAAGCTCCTTTTCATGCTGCAAAATTCGCTAACAGCCGGCTAGACTCTCTTAAAGTGCATTTCAGCTTTCTCTTGACCTGTCCCACGACTTCTATCGCTCCCTTTTGCTTGCTTTGCGCGCTTCACTCGTGCCTTTGCCGCTGTCTTGGTCGACGTTTGGCAAGCCTGGCCTAGCCGCCCTTAGCTAAATACCAGGAATCAATTAAATTAAAACTTTTACACGTGTAATTTACAAGTGTAGCTATTGTTCTCAGACTCTAAAACAATGGAGGAGGATTTTGGAGCATAATATACCCGTGCAAATATGTACCAAATTGCACGCTTGAAGTTCTCCAATCCCCTCTACTATGCAGGAAATAGACGGTTAGAAATATTGAGTGTTAAGTGCTTAACGCACAAGGTTGTAGGCGTTTATTTGTGTTGAATATTGGGCCTGTTTTTCAGCCAGTTTTAATATTGCAATTTATTGTACTTGCTGGTGAATTTCAGCTGCACTATTGTCAAAGTTGCAAGTAATTAAGAATCAAAGAATGACTGACACTGACTCGGCAAAAAAGTGAGTGAATTTGTGGTTTTCAATATTTAATTTTATATCATATCTTTACCACAACTTGGTAGATATCTTTCATTTATCTGCTTATTGATATTTTTTGTTTATCAATTTTATATATGAAAGGCTATGAAAACAGGCTTGGATGACCCTATTTTGCGTCAGCAGCCCCCTTTTTTATCAAAACTACCACATTATTACAGCCGCCATATTCAGTTTTCCCCAAGTCAAACTCTGGATCATTGTTGATTATTTATTTATTTATTATTTATTTTTGGTCAACACAGCTCAGATCAGCAGTCTCTCCAAGTAGCTTTTGATGTTTATCAACCAGGGGTGAACTTTAAGAAAACAGATCCTGGACCACCACATTTTTGCATCACTGTGTGCAGGTATGAACTTACTAGGGTTTCTGAAATTCGGACGAACCTCCTTGAGCGACCACCGATCCACAACACCAAAATGTCCCACCTAAAACCCTTTACTGAGAACCTCTCGTAAACGAACATCTCTCGTAAGCGACTGCGAGCACCTTAATTCTGTGCCTTACGGTTTTATAGTTTTTCATTGTTTTTTACCTCATGTAAACGATCGCTTCACTAGAGGTGTGATCTCTATGTTCACTGTGTGTGTACTATGCTACTCAGAGTATGCGAAACTTTTAGTGAGAACATAAAACTACACATCCCAGCTTATTAGGAATTACATTCAATAAAAAGACCTTTCCACGGTCTTTTTCAACTTTTGACATGGACAAGTTACGGAAAATCTGTCAACGTCAGGAAAGAACGCCTTAATATTAGTAAAATTACCAAATTTGAAAGTGATACGACGTAAGCCAGTGAAGATACAGTCAACTATCTCGAAGACGGACACCTTTGGGACCGGCACTAAGTGTCCGTCTTAGAGAGGTGTCCGTCTTATATAGAGAGTCAAATAAAGGGAGTAAAGAAAGGCAGGGACCAACTCTAAGTGTCCGTTTTACAGAGGTGTTCGTCTTATAGAAAGTCAAATATAGGGAGTAAAGAATGGCACGGAGGTATCTGTCTCATAGAGAGTCAAATATAGGAGTAAAGAATGCCAGAGACCAACTCTAAGTGTCCTTTTTACAGAGGTATCTGTCTTATAAAGAGTCAAATATAGGGAGTAAAGAATGGCAGGGACCAACTCTAAGTGTCCGTTTTACGGAGGTGTCCGTCTTATACATGAAGATGTAGCTCCTTGAAGTTTCGAAAATTTGCATCATCGTCACCATACAAACGTCTGTAAAATCTCACGACTTTGAGGAGCTATATCTTCAGTTAGTTTTCAAACCTGGCAATTTTACAAATCTTAAGATGTTCTTTTCAGTGGTGTCCACGGATTTTCCCTAACTTGTTCATGTCTAAAGTTGAAAAAAAAAACCGTGAAAATGTCTATTCTCTTCCAAACAATCTAGATTTGTCGTAACCTGTTCTCGGAAGAGACCCCATGTGTAGTGGATCGATTCTCGTAAACGAACACCTTTCGTAACCCACCACTAACTTGTTGCCTTTTGGTTGGTCGTTTACGCGAGGTTCGAGTGTATAGAGCTTTTTTGAACAGCTGAGAGTTTTAGAATTGAACTCATGAAGCTAATCGGTATCAACAAGCTAATTTTTACTAGTTTTAACTTTTTAATTATATTTGTAACGAGCCTAATTAACCTCTCTGATTCGTCTCAGGTATTATGACCCTCCACCGTCGCTTGCTGCTTTGTCATTTCTTACCAAACAGTGTTCCCCTGTTCCCCTCAAAATCGCCCTTGTGGATGGTGGAAACATCTCATTTTACAGCGTGTTGGACGTAGACAGCCCAACGTTTATCACAAGGGGTTGATTCTTTACGTCAAAGATAAAAACTCGGGATAAATCCCTGAATGAGACGCGCGGTCATACGCTAACACAAGCGTTAGTGTGAACAGGAATCGAGCTGAGACAAGAAAAAAGGATCTCTTTCCGCTCACGACAACAAGCATGTGTCAAGAACTCCATGCAGCGGGAGATATACCGAAGTGAACGATAGCGTTGTGAAGATCGTGGCGTAAGCTTTTATCGGCAAACTTAATAATGCCTTTTATCTGAACAGTGCTAAAGAATGTTGTTTCTAACATAACATTCGCGATTATGTTTAACCTCCGATAATGCGTTTGGGTTTGAGACTGGCTTAGCGATTCAATAAAGAGATTGTCATTCAAGATTATCAGTGCTTAACTTGTGCATTTATTCATTGACATTTCTCCCGTTATAATGTCTAATTGACTCAAAGCTTGATAGATGACCTTCTATACCGTCGATAGTAGGGACCTTTAGATTCGCGGGAGTGGACTGGTACGAGGACATGATTCGCGTTTTCGCAAAAAAAATAGACACCCCAAAAAGCTTCATTTTCCCTTTTGCCACTAGAAAAGTAAACACGATTATTTTTAATGAGGGAGGTCAAGCCCTTTTCCGGTTTTAAAGTGATAAAACTTCTAACACTGATTGATAACTTGTTTCCGTCACTAGGACATTTTCGCTATTAAAAACCCGAAGCAGAATGACGACGGCTATCACGTTTTCCCGCCCAAATAGCGCTGTAACGCCTTCCCAGTTGTTTTGTTTAACACGTGACCCGGTCACGCGCATCCGGGTTTTCAGTTTTTTGTAAGCTCGACTAGAGAGCGGAGTGTTTTTGGCAACGTCGCCCAACGCAGTTCTTTAGGCTTCGCACGAAGCATGTTGTAATAGCCATTACAGTCTTTGACGGTCCCTTCGGTCCGTTAACATCTTGTGAACCAGCATTAAACGGAACTGAGGATCTTGTTAGACGTTTTGGTCATTGTGGAGTGAACCTTTCAGAATTTCTGCAACGCATGTTGCCCTCGCGCCGCCTTCACCCAAAAGCGGTCGCTACAGTCAAAGACTCGTATTTACCTCAAGGAACTTTGAAGACTCCTGTTTAATCTGAGGAACTCCAACGAATTGTATTTACGCCGAGGAACTTTACCATGGATTCAGCAAAATTCGATGATAAACACGAGGATACCGGACTCGGGCTAACCTTCGTGTCGAGACCAGAGGAATTTCTCATCGAGAAGAGCGCAAAAACACACCCTCAAGCCCAGCTCACGAAGAAATCGTCGACTCAACAAAGACTGAGGTTAGCTCATCTGTTATTTTACCGGATAATGTGTCTTTACGTCCAAAAATAGAGGAAATTTCATCGATTACAAATGCCGACATTATTGTCGATTCGAGTAACACTAGGCCCAGGACCCTCACGGCCAAAGGGCGGGAATACAAATGTGGCTTGAAGAGAAGCGCTGCGATAGATAACGACCGTCAGTTTCGCTCTAAATTAGACACTTTTAAAGAGCAAATCCTCTCAGGCAAAGATCCTAAGGAAATTAAGGAAGATATTTCAGCTTTGATCAAGGAGTTAGACATTGTCTTACAAAGTTTTGACCAATGGATAGAGCTATCAGATGATTCGGATGAAACTCATCAGGCCACAAGTAAACAAGCTTATCTGCTTGACACATGGAAAGCAGTTCATGATACAGCCGTGAAAGAAATTGACAAATTACAAAATGATGCAGCCTCTATCACATCTCAAAGGTCCCACCGTTCACGAGTCTCGAAAGGGTCGGGATCAAGTAGAAGTTCTTGCAAGGAGACCCTGCTTGAATTTCGAGCTAAGAGAGCAGCCCTAGAAGAAACGTTGAAGTTTTCAGCAGTTATTGCCGAACAAAAACAGAAACTGGAACAGTTGAAAATACAAAAAGAACTTGGAGAAGTCACTGCACAAGAGCAAGTCTACCAAAAAGCAATGCAAGAAGAAAACTGTCTGCAGTCGCCTGCACTGCCGACAGAAACCTATGATCCAATTTCCACCTTTATTGCCAGCAATAATGCTGACGAATATACGTCTACACCGGGTGCGCCTGCTACAACGCTCTTTGACACTAGAACACCAGTGACTAAAGTGACAGTGACGTCATCGTCCACACCACTTGACGTTGTATCTGTATCTTTGAATCAAGGCCCTCAAGGATCAACCAATCGAATCTCACACTCTACCACTGCAACCACCTTCAGCTTAAGAGGACAAGCTCCTCCAGTTTACACATCGCCTGCGTGTACTATGTCCCAAATTGGACTCACACCTCCAAGAGGTTTTTGCGGAAATTTTCCAGCGTTTGTACCATCGTCATATACAGCCTACTCCCCTGCACCCCAAGATTATTCAGTGCAACTAACTGACACCCTAGCCAAGATCAGTCAGCTACAACGCCTCCCTCAAGCCACGCCAGATGTTTTTAAGGGTGATGAGACTGACAAGACTAAATTCTTCCTGTGGGAGAATTCTTTTGATAGTCTGATTGATTCAGCACCAGTGACAGCCCAACAGAAACTACACTTCTTGTACCAATATTTGGATGGCAAAGCCAAAAAGTGGTAGAGCAGCTTCAGTACTTAGTGCAGAACCCTGAAAGTGCGTATCAACAAGCCCGCACAATCCTCAAGGAACGTTTTGGCCACCCAGCAATAATCAGTACCAGTTTTCAGAAGAAATTAACAACCTGGCCAAAGGTGGGACCGAACGATGCAGCAGCCTTAGAAGAATTCAGTGACTTCCTTCAACAGGTGAAGATTGCAAGCGAACACATTTTGAGTCTCCAAGTCCTTAATTACCCGTCACAGATTCAAAGTCTTGTCGAAAAGCTGCCATCGTGGTTCAAGCCCAACTGGTCTGATAAAGTGCTGAAACTTCAGAAGAAAGAAGGCAAGGACACATTCCCTTCATTTGCAGACTTCGCTCAAGAAGTGCGTTACCACGCTGAGCGTGTCAACATACCTCAAATTGTTCAAGCTTCAGGTTCAAGTGGTACACCACAGACAGACCGTTTCAAACCTTTGAACCGCCAACCCCGCCTGCGTCCTCCAGCTGTTAATCTGACCTCCACTTCACCCCCAGTAACAATGGCGAGACAAATGCTAATCACGAAGAACCAATAGAAATCTCCAATGTGCTTTCAACCCATGCTCAGCAACCGGACACTACCAAAGCTACTGCGGCTAACACGTATTGCTTCTATCACAAGATGAAGTCTCATAGCATGAACGATTGCGAACAGTTTCAGAAATTAGGATACGAAGAACGCAGAGATTTCCTAATGAAAAACAAAGTCTGTCTCAAGTGTGTTAATTCCAACAAACATGTTGCCAGAGACTGCGAACAAGACAGGCTAGATTGCAAGATATGTCGACAGAAACATGCCACTGTACTGCATGACCCATCCAGGCACAAAGTGATTAATGCCAGTGAAGCGAGGTCTGCTTGCTCACGAGTCTGCAATCAAGGGCATTCTGCTCGTTCATGCGCTAGAATAGTTCTCGTCGAAGTCTTCCATCAAGACAACCCTTCAGCAAGGATGCTGACCTATGCAGTTCTGGATGACCAGTCAACAGATGTCTTCATCACAGACACTCTTCTCGACCAGTTGCAGGTCAAAGGCCAGGAAGTTAACCTCAATATCAGTACGATTGCGGGCGTGAACACTGTGCGTACTCAGAAAGTAAACGGATTGCACATCAAGGACACAGACAGTCGACACAATTCTATTAGGATTCCGTTTGCATACTCACAAGAGAAAATTCCAGCTAGCCATCAGGACATCGCCACGCCTAACATTGCCCAACTCTGGCCGCACCTTAAGGAGATCGCCCACCACATCCACTATCATCCCGGAGTAGAGATAGGATTGTTAATCGGTCGTAACATCCCATCTGCCTTTCAGCCATTACACGTTATATACGGCAAAGACAATGAGCCGTGGGCTGAAGAGTACAAGTTCGGCTGGACGATCATCGGTCCAGTTTGTCTAGACAACCAACAAGACAGTACGGCTTGTGCAACAGTTAACCGCATCACCGTACGACGAGAAGATTCTCACAACCTCTTCAATGTTCCAACGAGCAACAGTTCCAGAGAAGAGGCCGTAGCCTCTTTCGCTTCCAAACATCAATCTAAGGATGTCACTACGCCCCAGCAGATAAGAGAAATGATGCAATTGGATTACAGTGAACTACATCATAGCCGAACCATCCGAGGCACTGAGAACACCGAGTCTGTCGAGGACAGACGTTTCAATGATCTTCTTACCACAAGCATCCATACAAATGAACTGGGCAATTGGGAAATGCCGCTACCACTGAGGACAGGCAAGTTGAGTCTGCCGAACAACCGAGAACAATGCCTAAACAGGCTACTAGGCATAAAAAGAAAACTTCTCAAGAATGGCAAGGTTTTGAAGCAATATACTGAGTTCATGCAGAAAATGTTTAACAAGAACCACGCCAGTCTCGTCCCATCAGATCAACTCAAGACTGCCACAGGAAAGGTGTGGTACTTGCCTCATTTTGACATTTATCACCCCAAGAAACCTGACCAAATTAGAATCGTTTTCGACTGCAGTGCCATCTTCCACAACGAGTCTCTCAACAAACATCTGCTACAGGGCCCTGACATGATGAATGCCCTCGTTGGTGTGCTCTCGCGGTTTCGAAAGGAAGAGACAGCAGTGACATGCGACATTGAACAGATGTTTCATAGTTTTCACGTCAGCCCGGAACACAGAGACTTTCTACGATTTCTGTGGTTCAAGGATAACAACTTAGAGAGTCAAATCGTAGAGTACAGCATGAACGTCCACCTTTTCGGGGCAGTCTCCTCCCCAGGAGTTGCTAATTTCGGTCTCAGAATGACAGCAGAAGCCGGCAGAGAACAGTTTGGCAATGAGGCCGCAGACTTCTTGAAGAACGACTTCTACGTAGATGACGGGTTGAAATCTTTCGCCACACCAGCTAAAGCAATCAATGTCATCAAGAATACCCAAGCCATGTGCGCAGCAGTCAACCTACGCCTGCACAAGTTTGCCAGCAACAGTGAGACTGTGCTGGAAGCCTTACCTGCTGAAGATCGTTCCAAGGACTTGAAGGACCTCGATCTACGTCACGATGTCTTACCTGTCCAACGATCCTTAGGTACCTATTGGTGCATCCAGTCTGATACCATTGGTTTCGAATTGAGCTCAAGGACAAGCCTCTCACCCGTCGCGGAATTCTATCAACTGTGAGTTCAGTTTATGATCCGCTTGGTGTCATTGCACCTGTCATCTTAGTCGGAAAACAGTTGCTCCAAGAACTGTGCCGCGAAGGCATCGACTGGGACGACCCAGTTCCTGCCCACATCCGTTCACAATGGGAAAAATGGAGATCCGAACTACCTCTTGTGGAGACGATCAAGATAGCAAGGTGTCTCAAGCCACCTGATTTCGGCGAACCAGTTGCCGTGGAGTTACACAGCTTCTCCGATGCCAGCAACACAGGCCTCGGCCAGGTAACCTACCTACGTCTTGTAAACAGTTCAGGCCAAGTACATGTCAGCTTCCTGATGGGCAAAGCTAGGGTCGCGCCACTAAAGCCAATGTCAATTCCACGCCTTGAACTGACCGCCGCCGTGGTTGCTACTAACGTAGCCTCCATGCTCAGCCAAGAGCTTAACTACAGTAACCCAGTGAAATTGTTTTACGCGGACTCTTCCGTCGTTCTAGGGTACATTCGAAATGACGCGAGACGCTTCCATACGTACGTCGGAAATCGTGTTCAACACATCCGCGACAGATCAAACCCACAGCAGTGGCATTACGTTAGCAGTCCGAACAACCCAGCTGATATCGCGTCAAGAGGTGCCACCACCAAAGAGCTTTCTGAACACGAACTATGGTTCAATGGCCCTGAATTCCTATGGGAAAGCGAAGTACCGGTGATCAGCCTAGACCAAGTTGCGGATCTACAACACGAAGACGTTGAAGTGAAGAAACCTAAGTCCACCGTCTGCATTTCAAGCCATGAAGAAACCAAAAGCGAGGAGAAGGAGAGCTCTCACAGTATTCTAGAACCAGAACGCTTTCGCCATTCATCTTCCCTCATTCGCCTAAAGAGGAGCATTGTGCGCATCCAGAGAATGATAGAACAGAGACGCCCTAACAGGCAGTTCAACACAAGGCCCAACACCGGCCCCCTTCAGTCGAAGAATTACGCTTAGCAGAAGAAGTAATTCTCAAGTCAGTTCAGTTCGAGCACTTCGGCAAGGAGATCCAAATCCTTCAAAATGCCAACCACCAAGATGGTATGTTCCAGGATCGCCACAGTGCTCATACCAGGAACGAAACGATCAAGAAGACAAGTTCTCTCTACAAACTGGACCCCTTCTTAGACAGCAAGGGAATCCTCAGAATTGGCGGACGACTCTAAAAGCCGAATTAGATTATGGCATAAAACATCCGATCATATGTCCAAAGAAGAGTCACGTGACGAATCTCCTCATCCGACACTTTCACAGCAAAGAGCACCACCCAGGTTATGGGATGACCCACAACTCCATCAGGCAAGCAGGTTATTGGATTGTGAACGGTCGTTCTGTTGTCTCCCATCTCCTGTCAAGCTGTGCCATTTGCCACAAATTGCGCGGACGAGCACAAGTCCAAAAGATGGCAAATCTTCCTGAAGAACGTGTGACACAAGCACCGCCCTTTACCTACACGGGTATGGACGTTTTCGGCCCATGGTATATTAAGGAAGGCCGAAAGGAATTGAAACGTTGGGGCATCGTCTTCACGTGCCTCTCATCCCGGGCGATACACCTTGAAACCTTGAACACTATGGAAACAAGTTCATTCATTAACGCGCTCAGAAGATTCATCAACAGAAGAGGCAAAGTGCGCCAACTAAGATCAGATCAAGGAAGCAACTTCATCGGAGGAAGAAACGAGCTCAATGCAGAGGTGAACACTGACACAGTGAAGAACTTCCTATTAACACAAGAATGCGACTTCATCGAGTTCAAGATGAATTTCCCCAGCTCCTCACACATGGGAGGTGTGTGGGAACGCATGATACGAACAGTACGCTCCTCTCTATCTGGCCTCCTCGAAGATCAGTCAACGCAGCTAGACGACGAAGGGTTACGTACTCTCTTCACTGAAGCCGAAAACCTCGTGAACAGCCGCCCGCTGACCACCGACAGCTTGTCAGACCCACAAGCACCTGAGCCGATCACACCAAATCACTTGCTCACTCTGAAGACGAAGGCAGTACTACCTCCGCCTGGCAACTTCTCTCGACCAGATCTGTACACCAGAAAGAGATGGCGCAGAGTTCAATTCTTGGCTGACCAATTCTGGCTCCGATGGCAAAGAGAATATTGTCTACAGCAGCAAAAAGCGTCAGAAGTGGAACAAGACCGTCCCTAACGTCCAAGTTGATGATATTGTTCTGATTTGCGAAGATTCTTCCCAAAGAAATGAATGGCCTCTCGCCAGAGTCACCCAAGTCTATCCCAGTGATGACGGACTCGTTCGCAAAGTCTCCCTCTTCTATACTGAATCCGGAAATAAGAAGCTTCTGGATAGACCCGTACACAAGTTAATCCTTGTTCATCGTCCGAAGGAAGAGACGACTGATGCAAGTTACAGAAGGAAACTTCGATAGACCGGAGTACGACCCGTCGGGGAGCCAGCAGAAAGAATTACCCTCTTGAACACTAAGAACACTAAGTTTATTTTGACATTTATTTTATTGTTAAGTCATACATTTCACAATGTATGGGGAGCCATGTAACGCCTTCCCAGTTGTTTTGTTTAACACGTGACCCGGTCACGCGCATCCGGGTTTTCAGTTTTTGTAAGCTCGACTAGAGAGCGGAGTGTTTTTTGGCAACGTCGCCCAACGCAGTTCTTTAGGCTTCGCACGAAGCATGTTGTAATAGCCATTACAGTCTTTGACGGTCCCTTCGGTCCGTTAACATCTTGTGAACCAGCATTAAACGGAACTAAGGATCTTGTTAGACGTTTTGGTCATTGTGGAGTGAACCTTTCAGAATTTCTGCAACGCATGTTGCCCTCGCGCCGCCTTCACCCAAAAGCGGTCGCTACAAGCGCTACGTCATAGTATGTCAACTCTCTCTAAGACGGACACCTTTGGGACCGGCATTAAGTGTCCGTCTTAGAGAGGTGTCAGTCTTATGGAGAGTCAAATAAAGGGAGTAAAGAAGGGCAGGGACCAACTCTAAGTGTCCCTTTTACAGAGGTGTCCGTTAAGAGAGAGTCGACTGTATAGGAAAATCTCAAGCCTAGTAGTAGTTTTTGGTCCTCTCTTGCCTTGTTGTCCGCGCAAACCGGAGTGCAGGACGTCTAGGGACTAAGCTGATCAAACTACTAAGGACCTTAAGGGCCAGTTTAATCAGGTTGTTTATCATTTACAAAAATTTTCCGGGAAATCCGGTTGCAAAGTTAATGGAACACGACTATTTGGGTCATTCCGGGAGCAACGGAACATCTTTTAAGGTAGTCCTGTGTTCCCAGATGGAATATTTCAAACGGAAGTTCGTGTTCTATTTCTTCAAAGCTATCTTTGATACGAGTTTTAGGCCTTCGCGGCCGTTAAATCGCAGTACAAAGACACTGTCTAGCATACAACGTTGTACGTGTCAGCTACAAAGTAAGTACAGTCGTAGACAAATCACTGTTTTAAAACGAAACGGGCTACAGCGCAATGCTGCAAGCAAAAAGTTGTAACGTAAAGCACAATTCTGAAAGCGTCTTTCGCTATTTTGCAAGTGCAGTAAATAGTAACTGGAGTACAAAATGTAATAGAAAAGATCTTTATGCTATCTGTAGTTATTCAACCCTTAAAATTAAGTCGGTTATGTTCTTCTGTACACCTTTCGGAGATCGTTGTTTGATACACAGTGACTGGGCTTTTGAAATCACCTTGCATAGCTCATCAGCCAGACAGGATTCATCCTGGGCAGATTCACCTGATCACCGCAGTGTCTGTAATAAAGAGGTTAAGTTTATATAAATGTGCTCTCTGGGGCCGAGATTTAGTGTCCGTTGCCCCTATTAGAGAGAGTCCGTACCATAGAGGTTTTTCTTTGAAGAAAATATAGGAGAATTTTGTGAGAGAGGTGTCCGCCCGTCCGCCCGACCGTCCGTCCGCTCTACAGGCATACCAATGTAAAATAATTCAATCAACAGATATGGCAACCCAAATGCAACTTAAGGTTTTATTTGGAAAGAAATCGCATGGCCGCCCGGACGTTTAGAAAGAAAAAACAACAACAAAGTAGTGTATTTTTCGACGTTATTTTTTATGTTTACACTCACGTGGATGACAGAGAAAGAGCTAGAGCGAGTGATTGAAAACAAAAGAGACGAATTACATGAAAATTCAAAGCGGCTGTGAGACAATGAGAAAGACTAGCGTCCAGCAAAGTGAAAATGAGCGGCAGTGAAAAATAAAAGCGAACATGAACACAGGAGACAAAATATTGGGTAAGCACATTCGACAATTCCTCCATGAAAACAATGTGTAACTGGGAAGTTTGAAGTTTTAATCTTACAAAACAGCGTTGTAGCTGTGCAAAACAACGGCAAAGAACGACAAAAAGCGTGCTGCACGTGCAAATTTGTTTTTTTTTTTGCTAATTAGAAAAAAAAGTGCGCTGCACTTGCAATTTGTTTTTTTGCTAATTAGATCTATTGATCTTGATGCCATTTTCATTGCCCTTCCCGTTCAGCATTACACGATTTAATTTTTTTTTGTTTACAAGTATTATTAACCAGAGCTTCGCTTTTAGCCCTGGCTAAATCTATATACTAGAGAGGTGTCCGTACCGAGAGATTCATGACGGTACATGTATCTTTGTAACGCTGTGAATTTTCGCGGGAACCAACCTTGGTCCGCTCCAATCACCTCGCGCCATTTGTCGTGGCGCCATGTTGTAAACATCCAAAATGGCGCCTGAGGGATGAACCGTGGTGTGGAGGTAGTGAGGTCCCTGTCGAGAAATCTTTGCCTTATTTCCTTGAGGAGTGTTAGAAATATCATGGAAGTATTTGACGCATTAAGAAAAAGAAAAGGACGCGTTAGTGGAGAGAATAAAGCCAGGGAAGAGAAACGGAACGTCGAAAAGGAAAAGAAGCCTTCGAAAGTTGATGTTTACAACGTGGAAGCTGGGACGTACTGGCTGACACGAATTGTGTTTTTGAGATCTCTCAGTTTTATTTATTGTAAGTTTTACAAATTTTTAGTAACAATTTTCTATCTCTTTACGATGCAGTTTAGCCCAGCACTTTTTAGAAATTTTGATAAGGGCCGAATGTGCTATTTGTGACCTCATTCTGTGTATGAATCTCTCTCAATCTCTCGCATTCCCTGCGTCTCAGCAGGGTGTAGTTGTTGGAGGAAATTTCAACACAGTACCATACTTATATCATGCATACATTGTTGAACCCAAACTCTATTCATATCCACTGTTTATTCACTTGGAATGGAACAAGAGAGAACCTACTAACAGCTGTAAGGGTCTGCTTGTGCCAGCCCGGTCGTTCGGCCTGGCTCGGCTTATGCCCTGTTTCCTCAGAAAATTGTTGCTGTGTATAAACCCTTTCAGATTCCGTTTTATTGAGGGTTCAATTTACAGCCAACTTTAGGGGGTGTGGATACAATATAAAACTTCCCAGGGGCTGATCCAATCTATGTTTTGTTGACGCAGCTCTTTGATATCCTGCGTGGCATGAAATTGAAAGGGAAAAGTTATAGGGTTTGTGGTGATGCATAGAAGACAATTGCCCTTTAAACTTAACGCTTTAATTAGCTAATCTCTTACCATCAAGCATTCAAGAAAACATGGCGGCAAAGTGCAAAAAGCTAGGTCCTTAAAATTCAGTCACTGAAAAAGTCACTGACTTAGATTGCAAGCTCAGAAGCACAGGTGACACAAAACCTAAGAGTTCATAATTATGTCCATACATACAGCCACTGTTCTCTTTAGTTTCGATTACTGGGTACAACAATAATATACTAAAGGGTTAAGGCACTAGGGTCCACTGGGTGCTGTCGGAGCCCAGCCTTGCCAAAAAGCCACATGATGACTACCTATAAACATTAGTCTCTCTTGCTGAATAGTTTGCAGGAAGGGACACATACATTATAGTTTGTAGCTTTTAACATATTTTTCTGTTTTGTCTTGTTTGTTTTTTTTTTTTGCAGTTGTGGCCTTTGCCATTGCAGCTAACCAGAACAAACAACTTTTAGGCAAAAATGGGCTTCTTCCATCTGACCTATACTTGAAGAGAATTGAAAGTCACTTTTCAGATACCGGCTGGAGGAAAATTCTTCATGTTCCAACTCTTCTTCTGTACACTGATAAAAGTAGAATTGATGAACATTTGGATCTACTAGCATATACTGGGATGTTATTTTCAGGAGTTGTTGTGGTCTTTGGATGTGCGAACATGTTTATCATGACATTACTTTGGGTGTTATACCATTCTATTGTCAACATTGGACAGAGGTGGTAAGTGTTTATAATTAAATGTATCGTATAAATGCATGACCTTCCAGGAACCAGCTGTCTACTGGCCCTAAGCTTAATCGCCAGCTGTTAGTCAGATAATACAGGTCAGGTTAATAAGTTATCTGTACCCCCTCATGTGATGTGGATATGCTTCTAGTGCTTGCTTCTAAAACTATTTGTAGCTGTGTCAAAAGTACCCTCCAGTGTGTAACAAAAAACATACTATAAGGGGAAGTAAATTAGAAGGTAGATCATGTTGAAATGAAAGGGATTAATGTTCATATATTATGTCGTAGGTGCAAGGCTAGCCTGAGAAAACAGCCAATATTTGGCGACGCAACGGCTCGTTTCCCTGCCAAATGATGTCTGAGAAACGAGCGCAGAAATTCCATACTGATGACGCATCACTACCCAGATCTGGGTAGTGATGTGTCATCAGTATGGCATTTCTGCGCTCATTTCTCAGACGTCATTTGATGGGGAAACCAGTAGCATCGCCAAATGTAGGCTGTCTTCTCAGGCTAGTGCAAGGCTGAAACAAAATAGACTTTGTGTCCCAAACTAAAGACAATAGGGCAAATTCCCATTCACTGGGACATGGTTTATCATTCTTAATTTGACTTATTAATTCGCTGTGCCAGAAAGGGCTCATTTTTGTTTGTCAGTTGTGTCCTTCTTAGTTATATACCTTATTGATGTTAGCACTGCTTTGGCAGACAATAACAATTTTTTGTTGACTGAACATATCTGTCACTGATTTTTTTTAATACTGTTTTTCTTTCATTGCTATCATGTTTGAGCAAGGTATTCATTTGGTATGTATGTAATTGCTTTTCAACCTTTTTCGTTTTTATTTGTGCACCATATATTAGATGTAAAGTCATTTTGTAAAATTAATTGCTAATTAATTACTGGTATGTGATAATGACAAATGAGATGATCTGTTTTAAAAAACAGGAATATACATGGGTTTTAAAAGTCTGTCAGTCACTAAAAATTATTATGATCAGCTCATTCATAAGATAATTTCTGTATTATTATAACAGAGCTGCAAAATTTCTTTTGAAGATTTGAGTTTGAAAATAAATTATTGTGACTCGCCATCTATAGTTATTGATTTGTAGTTGTTTTATGCTGCATGGTTGCATGTATATTTAACTGTGTCTTGATGATTATTTCATTTCAGGTTGGGAGTCACAGCTTCTTGAAACAGGTTTCTTGGCAATCTTTCTGTGTCCAGTAATTAAAATGCAGCAAGTTCCTGTCCATACACCCACACCTCTTGTTGTCATTTGGGGATACAGATGGCTTATATTTCGTATCATGATTGGCGCTGTAAGTTCTGCTATATTATGCATATAAAGGTGGAGGTGATTGTGTATTTTGACTGCAAGCTGGTATGAGCACTCGCATGGCATCTTGTTTTCATTATCACTGACCAGCAATTCTCTGCCCGTTAATTGTCATTATTTTGTTACAGGTATGGTTTGACTGAGTTTTTTAGGGGGTATACTTCCCCACTTTAGGCATTTTCTTTGTCGGCATTAACAAATGTATCAGAAAACGTTTACCACAGCTGTACATAAGATGGAAATTTTTTATGATCCATGTTTTATTGACATGGGAGTTGTTCTGGCAACGTAATGATGCCATTACGTTTTTTTATTTTCATTTGTATTTCTCGGTACTTGGAGCTTTTTTTCAAAAATCACTTTAAGAAGCTTGTACCTCCCTTAGTTGGGTCGATTATGGCAAAATTTGAACAAATGTTATGAGGGTGTTTTGGAAATAATTATTATTAATTTTGAAATGTTAAGGGTTTAAAAAACAGTAAATAAACATGCAATCAACAATACAGTTTCGTCTCATAGTGGTTTGATTCCATCTAAAACTGTGGACAAAAAAACGGGGGATAACCATCCCCGATTGCGAGAATTTGATTGGTCTAAGTTTGCCTGCTTCCTTTACCATTTTAGCATGTAATTTGGTCCTCTCCTACAAATTTCACGCTAATTTAAAAACTGATCGATAATTTTTTTTAAAAAAACTTGACAATCCCAAGATTAATCATCAATTTACATCTCCTCCAAGTTTCAAGGACATTGAAAATAAGGAAGGCAATTAAATGGGGCTTCAACTGTCACAAATTCACCACCCCCACCCCTGCCCAGTTTTTTGTATTCAAGTGAGCCTCCTCATGGTATTGTTTTGAAGTTTCATATACACAGACACAACTTTGTCAAAAAACTAATTTGCATTCAAAATTTTTGGACCCTTGATTACCTAGTAATCTCTCAAAGTAGGGAAGGATACTCCCTTAAAAATCCATTCGAGCCACCTTAAATTCACCCTAAATCAGCCCTTCTCCCTCCACCCACCAAACTTATTTTTAACTAAAGTTGAAAGTTGCCTTTACCTTTTTTGAAATCTTGAGCCCAGCAACAACTTTTCTTTAAGTGTTGCATGTTTTCAAGAGGAAATGGGATTCCAGAAATCATGGGAGGTCATAATTTGGAAAATTTTGAGGGTGTAAACTCAAGAAGAAGGAGTTGAAAGAAAGAGGGTTTTGATGGTAAAATCAAGAACAAATGTTATTTTGTAGTGTAGCAACACAATCAGCTTTTTTGTCATACATGTATGTAATAACTAATCATTCTACTTACAACCGTTGTATTTGTTGGACAGGGGCTGATTAAGATCAGAGGTGATCAGTGTTGGCGAGACCTGACATGCATGAATTATCATTATGAGGTAAGTCATGATAAAAAAAAGCTTCAAGCTGATGGTTTATGTATAGTTTTAGTAGCATGAAGTGCATGCATAGGCAAAGTGTATACCCTTACTAGGCAACAAAAACACCTTGAATTTATAGTGGTTGTGATAAATCTTAGCCTCATGATAAGTCTTATTTCGGCGGTAGTAAAAACGAAGGTCTTTGCCTGTGATTTAAAACAGAACCCCTTATGACAGACCTACATGTACATACACTCATTGCACTGCAGTACCCCTGGCTTTCCCACCCTGACTGCCAAAGTAGAGGCCAATGTATTTTTAGAACTTCGTGGATGGCAGATGAATTACAGGATTATGTTGCTGTGATGGCATGCTTGTGGCTCTCTGCTCCGAAGAGGCCTTCTTTTGTTGAAGGGAGGATGGGAGAATGGAAAAAGAGAGCGCAAGCAGTACGATAGGCGCGCTTTCTATTTTTTGATTGTTGCTTTTTTTGGGATACCTAGCAGGAGCCTTTGCTGAGGAGAGAGTGCTTGTTGGACATCTATAAGGTCTTTGATCGTTGGGTTTTGTTTCTTTTTGTTTATTTAGACTCAGCCAGTACCAAATCCTATGAGTTACTTTATGCACCAGTCTCCTGAGATTTTCCATAAATTTGAGACTCTGACAAATCACTTCATAGAATTACTGGTTCCATTTTTCATCTTTCTTACAAGACCGTTTAGAATTACATGTGGCATTTTGCAGATTTTATTTCAGGTAGGGATCCTTTAACAATATTGGCCTCTTCACAACGTTTTTATTAATTATGTAACGCTGCGCGAACGTATATACCCCGGCCAGACCAACAACAAAGGTCTTTACACTAAACTGGTGAGAACATGCTAGCTGTGATTAAAACCCCGTTCTCAGTGTCTCCTTCATCTTCAAACGCCAGCATCAGTTAATCTGCGATGACGTAAAAGAGCCCGTGACAATGATTCTATCTGACCTGTGTCGTCATTGGTCTGGGTGGGCGAAATGAGACAAAAAGACTGACTGATTCGGCTCCATAGTGCGCCTTGACTGGCCGTCGTCCAACCTTACATCTATGCTCCCTCTGCAATGCGGCCACTGACTGTACGCGGGAGAAAACTGTATGTTCTAAACTTTGACGCATCAAGGTGCAATAGAATTCTACAGCACGCACCATCCCGATCTGCTCCTTTCCAGTACCACCAAATAAGCTGCAACAACGAAGGCGGCGGCCGCGAAAACGTCACTTCAAAAAAGTGAATTCACGTTGTTTCAAACTTTATCGCTCTTACCCCACCTCGTTCCACTTGTTAAATGTTGGTGCATTTTTCTGGAGTTGAATTGTAAAGTACTGTATCTAAGTTTATACAAAGAAGAAGGAAATCGTAGTCTTGTGTGCACATCCTCCATAGAAAGTGAAAATTAGGGGCTGTTTATATGATTGCAGAGTGAGTTTCATTCCAGAATTAAAACCGGAATGAACTCGTTCCATAATGACTTGTACGGGAACAAAATTTCTTCTCGGTATCATGTGAACAGATGCAAAGAAATATATAGAGATGGCATGAACTCGCTCTGGAATGAAACTAATTCCGGTGTCATGTAAACAGCTCACGGGCTCTTAGTTGCACGCCGCATTCGTGTCTCGACGGCAAAGAAATGTACGAAAAAGTGTTATGTACATGCAAAGTTTTTGGTTTTTCTGATCTGCTTTTTGGACGATCTTGTTGACGTCGCCGTCGCCGTGCTCGGTTGTTACTTATTAAGCTCCCTAATATCAAGTGTGAAGTACTCATTGTAACTGCATTTCTCTGCAGGTCATTTTAATAATCAGTGGTAACTTGAGTTTTTTAAACTGGCTGACCATTGTACCAAGCCTGATGAGCTTTGATGACAAGAGTCTGGCTTTTCTGTTTTCTTCGTCCTCAGCAAAGAACGATGTCATTAAAATACAGCAATTTCAAAAGGCTGGTGCTGGACCAAGGCCCACATGGGGTACTGAATTTCATTTTATTCTACCAAATTAATAACAGATAGCGACCATTTTTGGTTTTTGCCTCCCATAAGCACCCACTTTACACGTGTCTGATCTACAACCTGTGCAAATGGGATAATGCTACACCACCCCTGTAAGTAACCCCTAATGGAAGTGGGTTTCTGGGAAACTGCCCACCTAGCCCTCCCCTAAGCCAACATTAACACTTTTGTGTCACTTAAAGCAAAATGTTGGTTTAGGGGATGGGTAGGTGGGCAGTTTTCCTGAAACGTATAATGATCCGATGAAAGTTAAGCTCCTTATTTTAAGTGAGCCATGCACGTCAAACGGAAGTGAGCTTTTTTCCTCTTTTAAAATGCTTTGACACCACCAACTTTGTATGGCTAAGGTTCTTTACTTTTATAGAGACGCTTTGCCCAAACGTTTGTTCAAAATCACCGCTCGAGTGTGCATAAAGCCCACTTCTGGTTGACGTGTTGAGACCGACAGTGCGCTCATTTTACCCCCCTCTCTCCATCAGTACTCTGTTATACGGGTATTTGAAGCTACTTAAAGCTACACGGAAAGGAAAGAAGTCGAAAGAAGGATTTGAGCTCACACCTGGAAATCGGTCTCAGGACCTTCCGCATAGAGAGGGCCGCTCACTAACCGACTATGCTTTATCTTTGTTCCATGTTCGCTCTTTCATCACCACGTTTTATTTCAGATATCTAATTTCGCCTATATATGTACCTTTTGGCATGCATGCTCCCAAATAATGTGTGCTCATTGGCTGAACCTTTGATAAGGAGGAAGGAATAGTGCGCGGCCTTCCTGTGCGAGAGGTCCTTAGGTTGATTCTCACGTGTGACCTCCAATCCTTCTTTCGATTTCTTTCCTTTCCCTGTAGCTTTAAGTACCTTTAAATACCCGTAAAACGGAGCAGTATTAGACAGAGAGGGTGTGGGAACATGAGCGCACCGTTTTCCTTTGGCTATGTTCACTATACCGGGTAGCTTCTGCGCCCGCCAAAAATCCTATTGGATAGAGCTTCTGTTCACACTCGGCGCGATTTCTGTACGGAGCGAAGCTGTGCTGGGGCAGATCCTGAAAATGAAGCGTCACATATTGGATCGACTCTGGACCACACTTTGATGCAGTGTGAACAGTTATTCCGTGGACCGTAGCAGAATTGAATAAGTGTGAGCGAGGACTGCAATCCACTGAGATGGAAGTAAATATTCGAGCCCTCTCGGCCAATCGCTCCGGAACGACGTTCTATGTGTGTGAACGACTTGTTCCAGTTCTGTGCCGATGCTGTTCTTACTTTTCCCGATAGCTTTTCGTGTCGACACGAAAAGCTGCCTGATACAGTAAAAACATAGCCTTAGCTGATGACTATTTTGAGCTACCCATGTAAAATAAACACTTTTTACTCTCCTTGTGGTGTGGATTACCGACTCGATACAAATAATGGCGCTGCAAACCTTAAAAGCTTCTTCTAATAGCCAAAAGAGTGCACCTTTTGCAATTTTGGGTGATGGACTATAAAAGATCCGTATACGATAAAGTAAACTTCTAGCATTTTAAATGGTTAAACTTTTGTGTATTTTCAGCAGAGAGTTGTGACTTTCACGATCATGTTGTAGAACGTGTGTTATATTTTTTTAGGTCTTTGTGTTCGTCGTGTGTTTGAGGTCATGCTTGGTATTATGATAGCGTATTTAAGTATTCCGGTGGTGCAGAACCTGCTCTCATCTCGCCAGGCCATGAACACTTCATTTGACTCCTTCAGAATAGTGAACACTTACGGAGCTTTTGGAAGGTAAAGGAACCAACAGATGGCGCAGCTTACTCTGCATGATCTTCGACAATTTTGAATTCAATGAAGAATTAGAGACGAGAGACGAGAGACGAATACGAGCCTACGAGGCCGAGGTTTAACTTAAAATTTTTTCGCGTATTCTATAAAAAATAGACACCCATAAAGCTTCATTTTACTATTTTTTCACCAGAAAAGTTGACACGGCTATTTTTATTGAAGGAGGTTATAGACCTCTACCGACCGCAAAATGCTAAAACTTAACTCCCTTCCCCTCAAACTCGTGGTAGAATGGCGACGGCTGTCACGTTTTCCTGCCAGAATGACGCTGGTTCACGCGCAAAGTATTGAGAAACGTGATTGCAAACCTCCAGTTTCAGTGTCCACGCTATGCTGCCATAATCTACCTGGCATCATAATAGCTTCGATACTAAGAGGGAAATCACACGGAAAAGCAAGCAATTTGTTGATTTCGTTATATCTAATTTCCTTCTTTCTCCAATTCTCAATTTTAACTGAATCAACTGAAGGCTAACTCGATATATACTTCTGATTGTTTTCAATATTTAGCATTCAGGCTCCAAATATTTACGAGTACAATTTTCCTTACTTTAATATTTCTTGTTTGTTTGTTTGTTTCAGTTGTGTTTTGTCAATCTACTTTAAGCGCAAATAAAGTTTAAAATGTTGAACTTCATGCGATTTATCGCAGGAACAAGCCCCAAAATCCGTGTGTTCAGGGAAAAAGGATTATGCACTGTTTGACCTTTTACGTTCCTTTTCCAGCGTAACAAAAGAGAGAACTGAAGTGATATTTCAAGGAACAAGAAACTTAACTATTATTCCCGATCATGAAGGAGGCATTTGGGAAGAATATCAGTTTCAGTGTAAACCTGGTGACCCAAAAAGGCGGCCATGTGTTATTTCACCATATCACTACAGACTGGACTGGCTAATGTGGTTTGCAGCTTTTCAGGTCAGTATGCTGTTAATGAGGCTATTTGCACATGTCTTATGGTCAAGTCGCCCAAAAATTGTCTCGCCTGAAGTTATGTCGCCGAGAGTTTGAACTAAAAATTTTGAGCGACATAACTGGTTTTGTGCGACATATATCTTCTGGCGAGATGACTTTCGGTCGACTCGACTGGTTACCTCGGAGGAAGGGTGGCTTAGCTCGTGGTAAGAATACTCGCCGCGTATTATTTTCTGACTCGTCAGTCTCAGACGTTTCTAGTCTCTGCAATTTACGCACAGGATAGCTCACCGCCCCTCCGTGCGCGTTAGGTAGACGATTGAGGACGAGTCAGTACTATCGCGACTAGGTTTGCATCAGGGAGGAGAAGCTTAATGTGGGTCGGGTTTTTATTGGTTCTAGCCCCAGTTCTGAGACCTAAACCCACCCCCACCCCCTCCTCGGCCCCGTCCTTAATCTTCCAAATCAACTCCATTGGATGTAGAACGCACAATAAGAAAACTATTTGTCTTGCTACAGGTTTGACCGTTTGTTGGGTGTTTTTCTTGTACTGGTCCTCCCTAGAGTAGTATAGTAAGTAGCAAAACCTTTTTTTGCGAGGAGGTCTACTTATCTTGAGCTTAAACGCACGGGAACACCATTCATACCTGGTCATCCGGGCCACGGGAAGGTCTAGCTGTTTGCTGGGCAAAGGCAGTACCTACGTTTGTATAGGCTCTTTTAAGACACTGTATATTAGCCCGTCCCGGGGTTTCAACCTGTGACCTCCGCTCTGCAGTAAAGCGCTCTACCGAATGAGCTAGTCCTTCCTTGGTTTATAAGTAGTACGAAACAAACCGGTGCAATGAACTGTCTGTTTTCAGAATTATCAATACAATCCCTGGCTGATTCACTTTGCGACCAAGCTTCTTGTTAATGATGAGCAGGCAACATCTCTGATCGCTCATAACCCGTTCAAAAATGGTACACCTCCAACGTAAGTTTGTTTTCAGGTTGGGGTTTCTATCTACTTGTACTACATGTCGACTCGGACTAAACGCTAGTTTCCATATTAACTTTTGCATAATCTCTATCTTTATATTCGTCGTGACGTGTCATGAGCTTGATAGAGTCGGAGTTGAAGGAATCACACCGTTTCCTTTTCTTCCAATTCCGTTCATGACTTCTTTGAATAGACCTCTTTAGCTTGTATGTTTTGTTTTCCTAATAGACGGCCCAGGGGAACTTGACTCTTTATGTTTCCGTAAATTATGGGTACATAAGTATGGACGTGAATAAGACGAAATTTGAAAGAAACGGTTCCCTAGATTATTATCACATGACCTATATTGGGAAAACAAAACTTGAAACGACGATCTTGAAGGCAAACAAAACAGTTTCCGGTCCCAGTAATCATCGGAACTAGAATAAACCAGTCACTGTGCTTGTTAATCGAAACGCTGTTTTCACTAGACCATAACACTTTGCTCTTCAGATTCCGACTCCGTCTTTGTGAAAGCCAGCCTGTTTTTTAATGATTAGCATTAGAATGGTTGACTTCAACTGGTATTGCATTTCTTGTGTTTTAGATTTATCCGGGGAGAACACTACCTGTACAAGTTCACCACGCTTGGCAGCCGAGAAGCTAGGGCTGGATATTGGTGGACGCGCACAAAGATAGGCTCTTATTTCCCACCAATTAACTTGCAAGCTGTCAGGGAGTACGTCAGGTCTAATGGGTGGAAAATGCCTAAGCTAAAGAAAAACCGTAAAAGTTCACATTAAAGTTGAACTAAGAATATTATGCAATTTAGATCGCAACAGTGTTGGTAAAATGGCTTGTAGCCAACAGAAAAATGCCTAATTATAGGGTATACACTTCGTAATTAGAATATTAAAAGGAACAAAAAAACACTCTTTCAGGAATTTGTTGATTTTGCGTTCTACTTTGGAGTGTCTAGTTTAGTCTTTTACAGAGCTGCATAAAGCTCCGACCAAGTCATTATTGTGTTCGGGCAAAGCAAAATATGGTCGGATCAAGGGTGCATTACGCGTCTTCAACGAAACTTGTGCTTGGTAGATGAGGGGTTGGCAGGAATACATAGATTTAGCCAGGACTTAAAGTGAAACTCTCGTCAATAAACCTGTAGTTTACTCAAGCAAAAAATAAGATCGTATAATTCAGTCTAAACGGCGACGGCAACGAGAACGACAAAAAAAAGTCAATGGGTCTATTTAGCAAAAACATCAACTTAACCAGCTAACTGGTTATGAAAATGTCCACGTGATCTGTCGCGCCATCTGTCACGAAAATCAGTCACGTCTTCGTCTATTGCATGGCCAACCGATTATAACACCCACTTGATTAATGAAAACATCAATCACGTGACTTGTCAGCTTTGGTTTACAGTGGAACCCGGTTAATGCGGACACCAAGGGGACATTCCATATATAGTGTCCGTATTGTCCGGGTGTCCGTATTAAGCGGGCTCTGAGAAAAAATGTCAAGTTTTTGCCCCCGCACAAGGAGGCATCCTAGTAGCTCGCGCAGTTAAATGGCGGGTAAACTGGGTGATGTTGGAGCCTATCCCGGCTTGGTTGATTTCGGTTTTACTGTATAACAGGTGCTTTTTGTACCTGCCTAAGTTCACTTCCGACTCATCTACAGTCTGTAGCATACTGAATCTCTCAATAAGCCCTCCGAGTGCTCATTCATTCATTTATTTACTTTCTTATTTTAATACTTATTTACTTACAGATTTGATTTGCAGCATTTTAGTTCTTGATCTTTTTGTTTTGTTGTTGTTGTTTTTTTTTTTTTTTGCAACGTTCTCTTTCCGTTCAGGTTAATGTTGTTAGTAACTTAGATCTGTATGTGTTTGGAAAAATCTTTCCAGCGATGGTGCAACAGCTTTCATAGTGGCGGCCTGGGGCGGATGTGACTGGAATTCAATCCTCCCCTTCTCTCCCCTGAAATGCTAGCTGGTCACGAAGTTACGCTGCGTTATCGATAATAGCCTACGTATAGCCGCAACCCCCTTTAACAAAGGAAAAACGAAGAAAACAAAAAACAGTTGCTCTTCGGGCAGTTCTGGAATGCGGAACGTTCCAAAAAAACTTGGTTCAAAGCAGCTTCGTAAGTCTCTCTCATTTGCGAAGTAAGCAATCTCGCCGCCATTTTTCCGTGAATTTTACCATGTGCTTGAGTGTTTCACATTTCACCCAATGAGCGCCTCCGACAGAAACACGAGAAATGATCGAACGGGCAGCCAATGAAAAGCTATTGTATATTTTCTTGCAAAAAGAGTGACGTCACATAACACGATTTCGGACAACATTCGTCGACGCTGGTTCCCGCGCCTGGTGCGGTCACACGTAGGCTATTATCGATAAGCATTCCCCCATCACTGCTTTCCTTTTACAAACCGGTTTCTGGTCCTTGGCAATGAGTGGCTGTTATTGTCGCAGTGAAGATGTATCTCCATTCTTGTTAGCTTCGCCGGCCTGGATCAAACGGTCGTTTACTTTCTCTTCTTTGACCACAGTTGTTAAATCAAGCCGCTCTCCCGCTAACTCAAATCCTCTCGCTAAACCAAAGTTGGTAATCAAGCTTTGTTGCTTAATTTTTTTCAAAATACAGTGAATCCTGTATTAAGCGGACACCCTCTATTAAGCGGACAGTAGCCGAAGTCCCAAATTTATTTCCCTTCTTTACTTTAAATGAAACCTTTATTAAGCGGACACCTCTATCAAGCGGACGCGGACACCTAGAAGGTACCTGAAATGGTCATTTCTATTGTTGCCAACCTGTATTAAACGGACATTTGTGATTAAATTCCGCCACCCAACATGATGGACACCGGAAATGCGAAAGATTGCCTCGAATTGCCACCCACAAATGTTTTGATTTTTACATTAAAAAAAGTGACTGACGAACTTATTTGATTAGTTTCACAGTACAGGATTGTTTTTTTTATTTCGTTTTGTTTGTATAGAGCTTGTTTCACTCATCTGATTTCTTCAAATATGAGTTGCAGTCTATGTTTATGGTACTATGATCAATTGGTTCACTTTGATAAAGAAATTAATGCAAACGTCTATCTTCATACTGCGAGTATTACAAACGCTTCCACTGTTCATTTGAATGGCATTTGACACCTCATATGACGTTATATATCGAAATCTGTATTAGGCGGACACCCTGTATTAAAGGGTGTGTTCCTTTCGGCGAATCCAAAAAGGGATTTTTGATCTTAGATTTGCCAGATTTCGCGGTCGAAAGGAACGTGAAATCCGAAATTGGATTTGTAACCTTGGTAACCTTTCGCCAACGCGTGCAATATGCACGACAGCCTCTCAAAAAATGACGTGTTTTCTACTCTTTGACAAATTATGCGATTATACCGTGCAGAATTTAGTGGCCGGCAGTTCGAATAGCGACGATGAAACATATAAAACAGACAAAAAAGAAGCGCATTAAAATTGAAAATTATCTAAAGAATGTCGGCCAGTTTGATCCAGTTTCATAGCTCGGATTTTTTTATGTAACACGATCGAGTGCCTGTCGCGTCTACAAGCGAGTTTGTAGTTAGATAGCAGGCATTTGTTACCTTTACTTATTTCTGATTTCAAGCAATCTTTAGAGACAAATGGTTAGTATATGGATATTTTAATGTACCAGGAACAATCTTCTAGTGTTTTCAGATGTTTTGCGGCAAATGACAGCAACGAGGAAACTCTACGGCCTCTATGGGAATACTTCAACTGGAAATACCGCTGGATCATCTGACTAATTTCGGATCCACTGTGAATGGAACAGCGTAGATCACTAATCCGTTAATCTGGATTTGGATTCTTCGGATTTCAAATCCAATGAATCCTTTAGGATTCACCAGATCAAAAATCCGGATTTGGATTTGCCGAAAGGGACGCGAAATCCGTTCTTACATCTAAAATCCGTTTTTGGATTCACCGAAAGGAACACACCCGTACCCTTAGACACCACAGCATTCCCCGAGGGTGTCTGCTTAATACAGGTTTCACTTATCAATCTTTTGCTGCCCTTGAAGTGAAGTGTACACGACATTTGCATTCCCTCCCCATCCACTTGCTTATTTCCGTTAATATTTCCGGGCATCTGCTTTGAACTCTCGATGACTTGAACTCCCGATAACTCAAACTTTTCTCGATTTCGGGAGTCGACAATTCGTGTGCATTGTTTTTTGACTGCGGTATTGCCGCGGTCAAAGTTGATCAGGTAACCAGGCAAAGTAGAGTCCAGTCCCCAAGCGTCCTTTACGAACAGCAAGTGGAAGGGATGGCGGTGTCGAGATTTCGTGAAGTTCTTTCTAAAGGCAAAGGTAAACCACTCAAGTATTGCACTTTTTTAATATCAGTATTCTTTTTTATGGCTTCAGAAGTTATCTATTAATCGTATCCCTTTTCTTTTTTCGAAAAATCTTCGCCCTCTCTGGCAACAGTCACGTTTTGTAATTTAATATGCTCGTACAAACTTGCACAGACCGATTGACCATACTGAAATTTGTAAGTCTCAAAAGTTTTATACAGAGTTGGCCTTAAACTGTCCTAAATTTGAGCTGTCGAATGTTTAAAGAAACGTACAAATGTATACAGAGGGGGGTTGGGGGGGGGCATATTTGCCCCCTACCATAAATTTCTTTTAAATAATTATATGAATATTGGTAAGTTTGAATACTCACATCTCTGAATGTTTGCAACATGAAACTTAATTGGCAGTTTCAGTGTGTTCACTTTGATAATCTGACCAATGGAGAAGGTCTTTGCAGGAACATTCTGTGTGACTTCAGTAGAAAGGTCGTGCACTGATAAAAAGGGAGTTTGAGCAAACACCTTTTTGAGTGACATGTGTCAACCAGAAGTGAGTTGAAGCCTTTTCCCTTTCAGTATGACATGATGCTACCAAATATGTATTCAACAACAACAACAACAAATTTTATTTTTACATGAAAAGCGATTAATTACAAGTACAGACTACCTAATATTCCCAAGTGTCTTTTTCTCATAGAGATGATTTGGCCTGAAACTTTGCTCAAAATCATGCCCCAAGATTGCAAAAAGTCCACTTCCAGTTGATGAGCGTCGCTCAAAAATGGTGTTGCTCAAACTCTTTGATTGTGGGGGAGGTGTTTGCTGCTATTGGCAGAGGTGAAAGCTTTGATCAGAAAACATTGTTTGAAGTAACGTACAGGAGTTTCAACTGTAGTATGATTAGTTCCCGGGGGTACTGCCATATATGGGCTATATAGGTATGTGCCGCTGTGAAGGGTATGGTTTTCAGGCAGTTTACTCTAGGATAGGGTATGTAAATCAGAGCGTTTGGGTCTAGAATAGGGTATCATTTTTCAGGAAACTGATCAGTTGGTTGAAGATTTTATCTAGACAAGGGAAACAGCTACTCTGGGATAGGGGGATTTGGGGAGTTTACTCTAGTATAGGGTAGCAAAATTCAGCTGAACTAGCTCTGGTATAGGTTAAGGGTTCCAGCATCCCAGCGGCACATCCCCACCCAGAAATTCCTAAAGTACCACCCCCGGGGATTAGTTATACCTGACTGCATGGAGGTAAACTCCAGATAGACAATGTCCAGCAATGAGAGACAGTTATTTGCAGTTGGTCTGCTATAAGGTGCTGCGTATGGTGTTTTATTAGCAAGGGGAGAGGAAGGGGAGAGGTCACCAGCACCTTAGGACCCCTCACATTACAGAATACTGTCTATTGATCTTCGTCAACGGTAAAATTGCGGTTCCCATGACTATTGGTGGGCTCACAAAGGATTGCCGAGGCATTTCGTGTCCTTTGACTCTCTCAGTGAAGTGTTAGCTTATTCGTTTCCATGATGCAAAGTTAACTTAAGCAAATCGATAATTCAAAGCTTTTGTGCTACTGTCTCCTTTTATTAGGACATGCAATCGCTCAACTTGCTAATTATTTTGACTTTATAACATATTTTAAGTATTTAAGCCAGCAGAATGTATAGAATTCCAGAAAAACAAATGTGAAGTTGAATGGTTTTGAATTATGCTAGAAGTTGTTTTGATCAGTATGCAAATTACTGGTATCTATTTTTTCCATCAAACTAAAATATCCTGGCTCATTTACAACTTTTTGATTTGCTTAGTCTCATTTTATATTTTTTTTGTGAAAGCATAATTCTTTCATGTGAATTTATGCTTTCAAAAGGAAAACAACTTTGAGGAAATGTTGCGTTTACAGCCACAGCAATACATGTCTATTTCACTTCACTTGCTCTTATACACAAATTACCCTAAATCATTCAGTGGATTTGGGTTTGACCTCACCAACCTATTGTAGCTTGTTATTTTTGTGTGCACAACCTCCCACAACCATTTCTCATATTAAAACTCCAAAATTGTCGTAGCCCTTAAATGTACATGTATATAACTGGAATCTCTAGTAAATTTTACAGGCACCTCTTATAAGCAACTTGAACCACTTTCTAACCTTTTTTCGTGTATTCCATTGTTTTTAAACTCTTTAAGTAGCTGCTCAATGCATAGACTGATCTCTTTGTTCACTGTATAAAATACTACACTACTCAGCCTATAAGATACAAAGAACTTTTTTTAAAGTGACAACATCCTCTATATATTTGCAAGGCAAATCTACCCAGGCGGCCTTAAGGAGATATTCATTGTGTGAAGCAAATTACCTTTTCTATTGGTTTTGTTTGCAGTACTATGCCTGGGCTGTCATCATGTGAGGAGAATGTCATCACTTGTAAATGTTGAAAAACAAGGGAAAGTCGCTGTCCTAGAGCTGAACAGAAAGCCAGTTAACAGCTTTAGTTTAGACTTTTTACAGGAAATAAATGAAAATTTGGATCAAATGGAAAATGATCAAGACTGCTGTGGAATTATCATCACTTCTGTAAGTAACATTTAGTCAAATAACAAGCCAATTAGTAATTTAGGTAGTATACATGTAATCAAGTAAGGTTTATGTAATACTATAGATAGCAATGACAGATCTTAAGGTGATTAAACTTGACAACAAAGAGTCTCTCCAACCTGATATATACCTCTAGATTGTCGTAGTTAAAATTTTTCTCCTGTGTGACATTTTGAGGTGAGTGAAAAGGATGCTCTATTCTCTGATTAATGATGCAGTTCATTTTGCTAATACAGGGTGTCCCAAAAGTTCGTTCCTCTACTTTATAAGTCTGTATTTCAGTACGATTGGACTTGGTAAGGAAATCATTTCAACAAAAGTTGTGTCTTTCAATATAATTCACTATTTTCATACTTGTAGTGCCATCTTTTGACTCGAATATTCGATTTGTGTACTTCCGCGCCAAAGGTGCGCGTGTGCGAGTATATTTTCCAGCCACATATTTTTTGTATTTCATAGCCCGAATTGCTCGAACTCCTTCCTTGTTTTTTGTGAATATCACGAAAGATAAACCCCCTTAACGCAAAAACGGTCAGCTGCGTGAGAGCATAAGCCTGTATACTTCGATTTGCTGGCTTATCTGTTGTAGAAATAACTAAAAAACTGGAAAAATCCGAATGTTGGGTGGTAGAATGATCATGGAGAAATGAAGGTTTTGAAGGCAAGAAACTAAGCGGAAGACCAAAAGCCCTGAACAAAGCAGCTAAAGTAGTTTTAAAGAAGGCTAGATACAAAATAGGAGACTCGACAAGGAAGCTCAGTAGATCACATAGTTCACAAGCCAAATAAAAGGCTCATGAAAAGCTGTTTAGAGTGTCTAACATTAGAGGCCCCTGAGATGGCAAAAAATCCTCTGCTTAGTCTGCCAATTAACACCCAGCTCTTTTCAGATTTGTAAAGAAGTACAAAAGCCTTGCTGTGGAAGGGGACCGGGATTATTATCTGTTTTGGATGAATGCCCAAAATATTTTTTTTTTCAGCTGCCTAAACTAAACAAATTTTGTTTGGGGGTTGAACTGGATCCTGTGCATCAGGTGATAAAAAAGCTCAAAATGGATCATTTGTGGGTCTACACGCTGTATCCCACTTCATGATGCAACGGCTACAGAATGTGATAAACAAAACAAAAAGGGCATACCAGTTACTGAAATTCTGAATACATGTACTTGATAGAGAAATAAGCATCTTCTAGAAATTTCATGTAAAAATAAAGTTTTGATCAAAAGTTATAGTGCATGAAATTAGAGGAACGAACTTTTGGGACACCCTGTAAACAGTAAATATGTTAACACAGTCATAATGGTGAAAAGGGGGAAACAGTGCTCCATGGCATGGCAAGCAATTTCCATCATCAGGGTTTACAATGTATTTCCCTGGTGCTACAGTATTTTTGAAGATCTGTGCCAGATCCGATAAGTCAGGCAGGTTCAAAACTTAAATTGTTACAACGGCTATTTTACTCCTCATGGTACTTACAAGCTGAAACCTCCAGCCAGTATATGCCAGCACTTGTTTCTTAAGAAAACATGACAAAATTTCCATGTAAAGAGTTTGGAAATAATTCCAGTCATGAGCTATCAAGCTTGGGGAAGTTGGTGGAGAGTGGCCACCAGCTGCACGTACATAGCACTTTATGGAGCCTTTGTCAGGGTGGTGGACAAAACACTGACCCCCCAGTCCTTGGACCACCCATATGGACTACCCGCCCTTAACCATGGACTACACCACTGAAGTTTATTCATTAGTGTTAGGAAACTGTGTGAATCAAGTTTCAGGTCAATTTTCCCAGCATAATGATCCTGGTGAAACCAGATTCACTCGGTTTCCTCACCAGCTTTAATCACTATAAAATGTCAGTGGCATTAAAAAGTCCATTTTAGGGTAGTCCATATGAGTAGTCCATTGGGGTAGTTCGGCATGAACTGAGGTTCAGTGTTTTTTCCACCACCCTTTGTCAGTGACAAAATCAATATTTAATCAGGGCCTTCCCAAAGTATTCTCTGCTGGCCTTGATCTTGTGAAAGAAGTTTACAAGCCTTCTAGTGAGAAGCAACTTTCAACTTTTTGGCAAGCTTTTCAGGAGATGTGGCTTCGCGTGTATGGCTCAAGACTACTCACTGTTGCTGCAATAAATGTAAGTGTATCTCATAGACATTATTTAGTTTAATCGGGAAATTAACTCTGTTAAGAACGGCCATTTTTTTGCTGTTACGTCCAGTTTTACATTTACGCTTTTAAGTAACATGGCCTCTGAGTGCAAGCAACAGGCTATATAGCAGTAACTTTGTTTTGGTAAAAAGCCTCGCCATTCTAAAGCATAATGTGATGCTTTTCATCGATATAAGTCACATAAGTCACATTCCAAACAAAGGGGGGCCATTTCCAGTAAGGGCAAGCAAAAACAGTATACAACTGTAAAAATGGTCTATTGACTATATATAGAAGAAAAAGTCACGCTGGGGTCATTATTGTTATATAGTCATTATGGTTCTTGATCAAAGCTCTATGATGTAGTCTGCAAAAACTGTTAGAATTATATGTGATATTGTTATTTACTGCCTACTTACTATTGTTATTTTTTTCTTTACCCTTGTTGTATTTTGAATTCACTTGTATGACATTAGGACAAGAAAAGAAAAATGAAAGAGAAGTGGATAATTTTTTTCCTGACTTGGGAATATTTTTCCTTATAATTCATACTGCTTGAATGTGTTTTCTGCTAACAGTATGTACATCGGCATTTCTCTTTTGATAGGGACATGCATTAGCAGGGGGGTGTGTTTTGAGTTTAGCATGTGATTACCGTATCATGGCTGAAGGGCCCACAATTGGACTAGTGGAGACAGAGGCAGTGAGTTTTACACAAACTGATGGCTTAGTTTAACTTGTAGAATAATTTGTAGTGAGGCTTATTTTAGCATCGCCCCATGTAAGGGAATTCGAATTCCAGAATCTGGAAACTTTTTGCTGTGGAATCCAGAACCCTGGGCGTTGGAATCCGGAATACTGCTCAATGAATCTGGAATCCCACTGAAAATTGGAATCCAGAATCCAATTTTCACTTTCAAAGACTGGAAACAAGTATCTGGAATCCGGAAGCCATGGTGTGAAATGCAGAATCCAAGGCTGTCTTGGATTGCCTACATTGGTCAATAGCAGTTATGTCATCTAACATGAGTTTTGTCACCTGGTTTGTAACATGTGTGAGACAAAGTGTTGTCCTTCACTTTATACTTCTTGACTGATATCATGTTATTTTTTTTATTTTTGCAATTTCTTAATCTTTTTATTTGATTAATTTTATTTATCTATCTTAGTCGTTAATCTTATCTTTTTTTTTTTCATTTGTTATTTACTCATTTACTAACTTTTGTCTGCTGTGGGGAGACGAGGTGGGAGGAGCGAAAATATTACTCCCGCCACAGCTGAAAATTGTAGCCTGCTAGTGGCCAAAAATTTTAACGAATTGTCACAATACTTTTTTTATACGTTATTCAACTTTTTGTTTTCTATTTTAGGGTGTTCCGCCACCTTTCTGGTAAGTTTGTCAGTAATGGCAAGTACGCACTAGTGAAGCCGTTTTCTAGTCAACATCTAGCGAAAAAGAAAAAATGTTTTCGCGAAAACTCCGAGGATCGTGAAATTATTTCAAAGGAAGTACAAGTGAGAAGTAGAGTAAGATTTTCATCGGAATCTTCCGGTCGAAGTGACATGATTTTTTGCATTTTCTCTGACCCATTTGAAAGAATCGCACTGATTTCAGTATTGTTTGCAAGGTCTCACCCCTCTGCACAAGTCGGGTTTTCAAAGTTTCCCATGGGCTTTAAAATTGATGACGTCACAAGTGGTACAAGGGTGTGGTCCAGGGGTGCATGTGTTGATATTTTATGAAGACTAAATAAACAAAAGTAGTGTTTTAATAGCTTCTTTTAAGCTCCAAGTTTTCTCCAAAACCCAACGATTGTTGGGGTATTGAACAGATCTAAATTAGTGAGTAGATTGGTTTTGTGTTTTATCAAATGTTGTAGACAATAGTCTACTTTTTGTTCTTAAACTTGTTAAAATTGTCTAGCTTGTTTATTAAACTGTACTTAGTATTTATTTATTTATTTATTTATTTATTTACTTATTTTTAGGGTTTTTAACAATCTTGCAGCTATTGTTGGCAAAGGAGCTGCTGAAAAGGCGATTTTAAGCAGTAAGCGATACACTGCTAAAGAAGCCCTAGATATTGGAATGGTGGACAAAGTTGTACCGAAAGAGAAGCTGATAGATGAAGCCAAATCGCAACTGAATGAATTGACAGTGTTTTCTGGTGAGAAATGTTCTTAAAACAGTTTAAAGTAAAATTCCCTTTTTTTCCAGCGTGCCACCATTTTGAATAGTTACATGAAGTTGTTAAGGTGTGGTTTACAGCATTCGATACAAAATAATGTTGCCGGATTTTTAACTAAAGAAGCAATCGAAAAAGAGCAGCAGGCGAGAATTTAAAAGCAAAAATAGGCGATAGTCCCGATATTTGTATGGAGTTTGTGTTATACGACTTCGTTAATTTTTTTTCCACTCTCCTCTTTACTCGCGGAAATAGCATATTCCTTCTAATGTTCTTCATTAATTTTTTTCATGCAGGGAGGACCATGCAACTGACTAAGATGGTTATGCGTAAAGATGCCGTGGACGCTTTGGAAAACAGGCGCGAAGAGGACATCAAAGAGTTTGTTGACACCATAATGGACGAAGAAGTCCAAAAAGCAATAGGCCTTCAAGTTGAAAAATTGCATAAAAAAAAGTAAATTATGTCCTGTAAGGGCCTGAGGAAGCTCTGTGAAATTAAGTCATGGTGTAGACGAGGTATTTCCTCTTTGCTAGGCTGCAGAACAGTCTGTACTTTTGCGTAGGCTAAGACAGCGCAAGCGGTCAAACGAAAGTTAATCTTAGGGTGGGGGTGAAACGGAGTGTTAGATTGGGCAGAAACGGAAAAAATTTTCTCGCCTAACGAAGCTTGCGTGCATCGTGGAAAAATCACATACCGGTCCCTCACCTTTGAAAAACTGATTTTGAGCACAAAAAAAATAATAATAATAACGTTTGTTTTGCAGTCTACCCCGTTGCTTACGGCCGATGCCTTCCTTGGCAACTAAGCCTTAAGTCAATGTATTTAAAATATTTCGTGGCTCAGTTTTATCTTGGTATAGAAGGTAAATTTTATTGTGGAGCAAAGAATACTTTTAACTTGGACATGAATTTAAGGCTAACTTGTGCAAAATTTGCCTGTCCAGATACCATACGTTGCTAGACCAAAAACAAACCAAAATTAAGTTTTGAATTCTCCATACCTGAAGGGTATTTTAGACGTAAGACGTAAGCATTAGCTAGAGCTTTGTCTATAAACTAGTGCCACGCAAATAAAAGCACTCCAGGATCTATGTTCGTACTCATAATACTAAGGGCAAACACAAGCAATAAAATGATAGAATTTTTCATAAAACTCCACGTTTCCTGCCTTGCCGGGTTCATAGTAGAGCTTCCGCACACGAAATGCGCGCAGCAAAGTCCCATTGCATTGTGTTGGGATGGTACCAAAACAGTTGCGAAGACGTATAGGATTTCTCTTTCCTTCTCTTTCCTTCTGCCTTACGATGCTATCCAAAAACTAGTTGGCTAATTACGTACATTTTTAGCATTTCAAAGGTATGTAAATTTGAAATCACGTTAGCCATTTGAAAATTAACGAGAATTCCATGCAAAGTGTCGGCTGCCCCGGTTCAGTTCCTTTTGAAGAGGCTTAAGCTATTACGGCGACGACGGCAGTGAGAATGTCACTGAAAAAATGTACTTGCCTTCTTTGAAACTTTCCTAATTTTAAAGCAATTAAAACAAGGTAGACTCGCGTAAATATATTTTCTATTTTAGTTTAATTACTCTGATAATAACTGTTTCTACAATGCCTTGCGAAATCTTCTTTTCTACGTAAGTTATGAAAGTTATGGTTTTGACTAAAGATCCGATTTTTGTCGTAATAACGTTTCTACAATTTTGTGATCTCTGTTATCATTACACTAGACATATTTTGACCACATACATTTCTACGAAAGAAAAAACAGCTTCATATCGTTCCTTGATGGTACTTTCCACCGGACTGATTAACCAATGAGGTGTATATTAAAGCAACGACCGCCTCGCTTGATGATCTCAACTAAAGCTTTAGTAAAACGGGAAAGAAAACGTGCAACTTGACTTGTTTTACAACATGCAGCTAAAACGAGTTGAAAAGCCTTGCTGCGCGTTTTACCACCCACCTTCAACCATTTGATTGGTTAAGATTACGTGGGAGTTACGTCACTTGCTGTCAAACAAGTTTTTCCGGGGTAGCTAAAACGCGCAACATCAGTACAGGTTGTGTTTTAAAAAGTAGAACTACGGTCGTATTCCCTACTTTCTGCAACAAATTTTTGCAACCTGCAACGACCGAATTTGTTGCAGGACAGGTTTGAACGTGGCTAATAAAACGCGCAACGTCGCTATTCAACTCGTTTTGCAGCAATGTTGCAAAACAAGTTGCACCTTTGTTGCCCGTTTTACCACACCTTGAGCCTAATTTATTTGCAGCATACATGTATATTTGGGACATTTTAACGCGTACCTTGTTTCATATAAAGTTTTCTATAAGCTTCCAAAACAAACACCCCTTCAAAACACGGGCCTCGTTACAACGTTGATAAAGTCATGTGTACGACAACTGTTCAGTTCAAAATTAAGAAAATCAGCGGTTCAGAGGGTAAAAAAATATTAGCCTGTTCCAGGCTCCCAGATAGTGGTGAAAAGTCGTTCAGTAAAAAGAAATGCGAAAAACGCGCGGAAACTGGGGAGAGACAGCCATTTTTCCCGCCGCCACTGCCCCCTTTACTAAGTCGCCCGCGTCCTATTTTCGCTTTGCTCCTTTTAAAACGTCCCCACTTCACTATTTGAGAGCCCGGCACAGGCTAAAAAATATGAACAGCCTCACCCATTTGCAAACAGTCGCAAATGACTGCTCAGTGATATCGAGCGGATGATCGATCTTAATGGGGAAGGTGTTGATGTTAAACGAATATCCTGCCAGACTTATCCGTTTGTTAATCCGTCTATTTAAATGGATGGATTTTCTCTCTGAGACAGATGATTCAAATCTGGTGAAAACGACCAATAGCTTTCTCCAGAGTGTTTTGCATCGCCTTTTTAAATTCTAACTTTAACTCCTGTCAGTTAACTGTTGAAAGCTGACTTATCGCATACCCCATGCGCGTACACCGCAAAAGCTGCTAGAAAACTGGTGCTTGACAAATTTCTAATATACGTGTATGCTACCCATAAACTCCATTTGTGATGTTTTCAGTGGGGAAACATTCCCTTGGGAATCAGACGTCACATGAATTTCATTGGAGCAACGTTGCTCACAAGCAAATTCAGTCTGTCATAGCTGACGTAAAGCCTTTGTTTTTGTGCTATGATCAAGGAACGCTTGCCAGACTAGCTTAAGACAAAAGAGAACATTTTCCTTCGCGCGAACATCAACAGGCGTGAAGGCTAGTTAAATAACAATTAAAAAGAAGGAAAAAACACGAGATGTAATCCTTTAAAAAACGAACACTATGTTTAAAGCCTTGAAAAGTTCTGCTTTATGTCACTTAAACAGTAATGATCATGCTACGCTCTCCTTCCTTTCAACACTGGATTCCTCCAACGAAAACTTTCTTTCTTTTTGCTCCTCCCCTGATCCATAACTTGTTTCGCCAGATTTAAACAAACTTGACCGATCTTCCTCTTCCAAGACAAATTTTTTCTTTGCTTTGCCTTTTTTCCTCATCTTTTTTAGCCCGGTCTGATCAGCGCTTTCCTTCCTTTCAACACTGGATTCCTCCATCGAAAACTTTATTTCTTTTTGCTGCTCCCCTGATCCATAACTTGTTTCGCCAGATTTAAACAAACCTGACCCGTCATCCTCTTCCACGACCAATTTTTTCTTTGCTTTGCCTTTTTTCTTTATCTTTTTCAGCGAGGTTTGATCATCGCAGCTAGAGCCCAACACTTCTTCAAACATTTCACTGAACTCGTTCGAATTTTTCTTTGTTTCTGTTTCCTCATCGACGTCTCCCTTTGTCTTTTCTTCTCCTTTTTCTTCCATAGCTTCTTTTTTCTTTTTTCTCTTCTTCCTCCTCTCACCCTCTTTCGCTCTCTCTTCTTCTGCTGCGGATATCTCTATGCTTTCCTTTCTGGATTCTCTTTCGACTTGCTCCTCGCTGCCATTCTCGCCGTCGTCTTCTTCTTTGGCTTTATCGGCTATGGTTTTCTTTTTCTTTTCCTTCTTTGCTACCTCACGTCCGCTCGTTTCTTTTTTATCACTTTCGCCAATAACTTCTAAATTCAGCGAAGCTGCGCTCTTCTTTTTCCTCTTAGTCCCTTCACCGTCTCTTGTTTCTCCTTGCAAGTTATCTTCGGCACCCACATCAACTCCATCTTGACCCTTTTTCTTTTTCTTTCCAGTTTTGTTTGGTTTTCTTTCGCCGTCTTCTACAGCACTTATATGGTCCTCTCTAACTTGCTTTCCTTTCTTCTTTAAGCGTTTGTTTTGTTTCTCCTCTACTTCAGACGCAGTTTCCATTCCCATTTTGTTTTTAGCTTTCGCATTTTCTTCACCATCCATTCCCTCTGTCGTATTTTCATATACGTCGTCGGGTTCTTTAGCGGTAAGACTTACGGTAACCCAAGCTTCTTTGATCGTCTTTTCTTCGACTGGCAATTCCGCAGTCTTCTTTCGCTTTTTCGTTTTCTTGTCTGCGAAGGAGGTTTCTGGATTACTGTCGCATCTCCGTGGAGTGAACGTATCTTCATATAAAATGCTGTCCAACTCCGCGTCTGTGGCGCACCGACTTTCTACATCGCGCTGTACGTCCTCAAGAATTGCCAACAGCTCATTGTCAGACACTCCCTGATCAGCAAATGAACTTTTCCTCATGTTTTCCTCAACATGTTGTTCTAATTCCACTACAGTTTCTGGTCTCACATCAGTAATTATTAGAGCAGGAGTCAACACTCTAGCTGCAGTTCCTGGAACTTTAGCTGAGCTCGTTGATGAAGTACTGTATGTTGAAGTTGACGGGCGTCGGTCACTTTCGACATTAGGGTCAGTTTCCGATCTATTTTCGTCGTTACTCGATTGTTCATCGTCGCTTGTATTATCAAGGTCGTCGCTGCTATCATCACTGTCACTGTCGCTTTGGGAGGAGCTATCTTCACCATTGATTTTATCGAATACCAGATCCTCCACCATACGCTTTTGTCTATAGGCCTGCAGCATTGCCTCCAATTCCTCTTCGCTACGTTCGCTAAGAAACCGTTCAAAAACAGGAATGGAATCACAGAGCTCATCTTCATAATAATCCCAGTCCACTTCCATTAACAACCGTATCAGGTTTTTCTTCTTTTCAGTGCATGTTTCGTTTTGGAACCACCGAGTTTTACGGAAGTCTTCAAATGTCATGTTTCTCATAAAATGCATGACATTATCGGCGTCGTCGACGATTTTGTCAAACTTGAGCTCCAGATCAGACTTTGGCTCTTTGTAGACGGGATGAATGGCGTGGCCTATTGTTTTGCCAATATTCTTCTTCAGGCGGTGAATCATAAAGTCTACTATTTCATAGTCGTTCGACTGCTTTTCTACATCACTCCGAACTTCAGTAAAAGTGTCATTAATTATGGTGACAAACATGTTGATGAGGATAAACACCATTGACACTGTGTAGCTGTAGAAGAAGATGGGTCCAATGATACGATTGGCTTGAGACATTTCTTTCAATGCAAACTTACCGAGTAATGTGTCCATCAGAGAAGCACAGCTATCCAAGAACGTTCCAAAACCCTCCATGATCTGCCCAAAAACAAGGCACGCAAGGAGTGCGAATGCGAGAAACGCTAGGGCAAACATAATCATGAAAGACATCAACTGGGTGAAACATCGCTTTAGAACTTGCTGAAGCATTGACATTCGGCGGTTGAAACGCAGCAAACGAAACACTTTCAGGATTGAGAGGAAAACGATGATCCCGATTATGCACTTGAACCACTCGTCTAGGAACGCAGTGTAATGGAAACTTACAAAGCTTGTTCCAAGATTATTATTCATCGCTTTTAACGCACGCTTGGTGAAAGCCAGCCTGGCAAAGTACAAGCCCACTGCAGTCAAGGAAAGACATGTCAGGAAAATTTCCAGTACGCTCCACGGGTTCTTTAAATGTTCCTTCCCTTTCTTTACAAACTGTTTGATCTCCTTAAGTACAAAATATATACAAAACAAGAGGTATACAATTTCGCAGGTCAAGACGAAGTACATTTCACCACCTACGTACCGGAAGAGACGGAGCGTCAGAATGCTTGGGTAGGGAGTTAGACTTCCCGTTGGCAGTTGTTCAAATAACAGTGTCACCACACTGAACAAGTTTGTATTGGCATTGTAAATGGCAAACTCGGAGAAGATAGCTCTCGTGTACCGGTCCAGCCAATTAGTGTCGCTCAGGTTTTGGATTGCATTTAGGGCCTCGCTTTCATTATTGGGTAATTCCTGGACAAAACCTGCAGTGAAATTGAACGAGCTTTAGCAACATTGAAGTGTACTTCATCAATTTGTTTACGCGCCGTTTCTCAATATGTGAATATTAATATTAGTGTCGGATCTAAGATTGGAAGCCGCCTGCTCTCCCTCATAGTTTGTCCAAAAAGAAGGCAAAAAAAGTCAAGCCAGCAGGATACCTCGTCTATGCCATAGAGCTCATCGTTGTTATTATCAAGGTGTGGATTCGTCATTACCTCTTTAGCGGTAACACATAAGAAAGAAAAAAACCTTCCACACGTTTGTGCATCTTAGCACTTTTAGGAGACGATGTAATGGGGCTAGATTCTCTCGTACCTCCCATTTCTATTTTTTTACATATACATCTGAAATTTCTTTGGTGAACAGAGACCACCATGGTTATGAGTGACGTCATACCTGGTTCTCACCAAGCTATCAAGTCAAGCAGTTTTAAGCAATAAAGGGAGACTTTTGAACAATAAAAAAAAGCAATTTTAGTTTTTTGATTGTGAAACGTTTAAGTGCCAAAACAGAAAATTTGTTAAGTGTCACCCATGCATCTTTAATGACGTTACAGACATCTGCAACGCTCCATGACGAGGGAGATTTAGCAATAATGCAAGACGGTGACGGCAAAGGGAACATAAAAGCAATCATTTTAATAAGAAAAATAACAATTTTGCACGTGCAGTACATTTTTCATAATAAGTACATTCTTTAATTTTGTTGTCACTGCACGATCACAACGTGTTAGGGAGGACGTATACACAAGACGATGAGTTTCCCTTTCTATTTCTAAACTTTAGTGCGATCCCCACTATGCTACTGGCGTCAGTGAACTATCGACTTCTTCCGGATATCGCAAACGTCTTTCAAATTTGAAGAATTCGCCGTGAGATCTTAGGCAATCAGAAACGGGTATATTTTGAATGAATAATAAACGAATATATTTTAAAAGTGACGTTTTGTGGCCGTCGCTATCTTCGATGCTAAAGCTCCCTAATTACCACACCATAAGAACCTTATCTTACCCCCGGCGCTGTATGTCGCCTTGTAACCCCAGTACGGATATGTGTTCAGTTGTGAGCCCGTCTGGTACATCCAAGGGTCTGGTTTACTGTTCGCAAGCAGGCTTTGATTTGATGTCGTAGGTTTGACTTTCCAGCCAGGGAGATATGAGCCTCTGTCCTCCTCATCAACGCTATAGAAGTCATTGCACTCGTGGATGAAGTACAGAAAGTAACGTTTGAAAACGCAGGTATCTGTAACAGAGATCAATATCCAGAGATGAAAACATTGCAAGAAGATTGAGATTAAAAACGAGTATTTAATTTAAGACTGAGTTGAAAAACACGGGTAGGAAAAATTTTAGAAGATTAAAGTGGATTGCGATTGCGATTTTTGAGACCTGTCCAGTTAACAACCCGTTTCAAAATCTACATTTTTTTGTCTAACTGTAGATATTAAGATGTATACTGTCCAATCTGGTTCCCAGGTTCTCTATCCCATCTCTCACGCTCCGTAGGGACGGGTAGGAGAGATCCCTGGGAACGAGGTTGGTATACTGTCTTGTTTCTCAAGAGGCTGTGGTTTTCTTCTTTATAAGTAATTTCTTAACAAGATAAATAAGACTGCATTTTTTTACTCATCCCCTTTAACAGCAAGGGCTTCCGTATTAGATACCATCCGCCAAATGAAACTCGTTGGGAAAACGCACTGTATACAGGATAAGACATACAATTGGAGGCAAGGCCTTAAATCTTTCTCGCCAGAAGAAGAGAGACCTCGGAGGTAGGATGGTCTTAATGTGTAGGTGGCGTGGTTGGACGTTTAGAGCACTGGATTTGAAATCCAGAGGCGCCGAGTTCAAGCCTCGCCCTAACCACTCGCTGGATTTGTTCAGTACTCTCCATGCTAGTCCCGAGTTCAAATCTTCGGCTACGCACTAGTTTGCCTCCGGCCAGTTCACGGGGGTTTTAACCCTCTCGAGTTTGCTTTAATTTATTTGTTCCAGGAATTGCTTGGCCCCACTGGCAAATATAGTGAAATATCTGAGCTATAAATACTGCCGTAGGTAAACTGGAGAATCCGCTCTCAACCCCCATGGTTATCTTTTTTTTGGTAAAAAAAGTAAATCAAATCACACGTCCATACCTTTCTTGATTCTGAGCTGCCTGAGTCGAGCCACACCTAAAAGGAAGGCCGTTGGAGTATCTGCAAGGAATCTTCTGTCATAATCTGATACGTCATCGTAGTAATAACGAGGCATCAGAGAAGGTATGAATATAGTTCTAATCCAAGTCCAGTAATGGCTAATCTCGTGCACCTGAAGCAAATTGAGTTAAACATATAGATATAAATGGCCATTCCGAACATGATCGTGATGTGACCGTTTTTTATCCTTCAGGAATTGCCCTCACTGATGAACTTCGAAACCGATGCAAACCTTTAAAGGAAATTTTGTCCACGTGATCTTTGAAACCAGTTTACGCGTATTCTATTTGTTGTCAAATCTTTACTTCCTTGAATTTTTATTATGAATACTTTTGGATTGTTCTCAGCTTTGTTCCGTCAATAAGGCCTGCCAGCTCCGGCAGCCACAAAATGTCATTAGTAACAATATTGTTAATTTTACGTATACTAGCTGACTTTACTAACTAAGTGAGAACGTATTTAGCATGAAGTGCTACAGACGACAAAGTTTATATAACTCCTGATGGTGACATAATTACTACTCTTTTGCTACGAGATTATTGCAACGAGAAGGACAAGCCATGTGCAGCAGTGAAAAGGCAACATCTACCTTCTTCCCAGTTTTTTAAAGACCCTTAGGACAAGTCCAGCTTCTGGTATCAAACCCACGAGCTCCCGAGGTGCAAAGGCTTAGGCTGTGCCTACACTTTACCTGAGAGCATTTCGTGTAGACAATAAAAGCTATCCCATATGGTATGAACAGCAAAGGCCTGGGACAAAACTTTTACACACATCAAAATCGCGTCGGAGCGGTTGGCCAAGAGGGTTTGGTACACTCCCGGATCAATCCTAATCGCTACCCCCGAATATTTTCTTCCCTCTCAGTGGCTTCCAGTCCTCGCTAGCTGCTTATTCGCTCCAGCTATAAGGAATATCTGTTCACACTGCACCAAAGAGCGGCAGAGGACCTATCCTATATGTGACGCTCCACTTTCGAGATCGGCGCGGCGCGGCGCGGCACGGCGCAGCGTCGCTACGTTATAGAAATGCGGCTGGAAATCACAGTTCTTATGTGTGAACAGAAACCCTATCCGTTATGGTTCTCGTGTTGGCCCAAAAGCTATTCGGTATAGTGTGAGCTGAGCCTTAGAAGCACTTACCTTTCCGTATGTAACGTTTTCTCCATGAACACTATCTTCAAATGTGTCCTTCATGTATCTAGTCACCTTGGAAGTTGTCAGATCTCGGTTGCCATAAGCGATTGTCAGGAGGACCAGTAGGAAGATAACATACCATGCAATTTCCCGAATAATGGATTCCATTTGTCTTTCTTTCATTCTTAACTTGCGCGCTATCTCTAGCTTAGCCTCGTCTGGAGGTTTATCATTTATCAGTTGCTTGAGGGTTTGTTGCGTTTCGGGATCGAGATCCTCAGTGTTTTTCTGCAGCCACTCCTCATCGTTCGCAAGGGTGTTTGCGTCCGCAAACGACTCTTGCTCGGCCTTTTTCGGGTCCTTTATAAGAAGGGCGAACAGGGTTGCCATGATGAACACTTTAATAGGTTGTGTAAAGAGCACGTCTTGTAAGAAAGATATCGTTATTGATGAAAGCCACCGTGCAGATTTTTCTGGTCCGAACTCCATTCCATACATGATCACAAATGACGCTGATGTACAAGTGGCGATAAATGCCATGACGTATGCTACGTACACGAACCAGTGTGGTAAAACAAACTTCTTTGGACTCTTTTTCTTTTCCTCCCCTGTCTCGATATCTACATCTTCGCCTTCAATGCGTCCTGACTTCACTTCATATTGGCTTGCCTTTGGTTTGGCTTTTCGGAATATGGTCACAATGATTAGATTTGCTGGAAAGACGATCATGCTGCTCATGAATCCAATGGAAACCTGCCGGATGGAAAAACTAAATCCCATTATCCTGATGGCATTTTTAGGCGTTTCGTTTTCTCCCAATTGGTAAAACATAGCGTTAGCAATCAGCGTCGTCATGAGAATGGACAAACAGCAGGTCAAACGTTGCACGCGAGTAAAGTTACTTCGCGGCGGCCGAGCAACAACTGAAAACCAAATATGGCCGTCAGTTAGGTTTTTCCTCACTTCAGATGTGAACAGTACGTTAAACTTGGTCAGGTCTTTCTTGGAAGCAGGATACAGAATCCTCTCGATTTTGCCATCGCCTTCATCGACAGCCAACCAATCGTCACAGACGAACCACCATCGTTGATCGGTCTGCAGATCCTGAATCATTACCCTGAGGAGATTCCACGAGGGGTAATTCCCACCATTATTATGCCATATCCGGATGTGCTTTAAGCTGCCGAGTGACTGGGGCACAGTGAGTAGGAAGGGATCCACAGAGCCTAAAAAGCGTAACAAAGTTATCAGTTGACTTACAGTTAGTTAAGAAAGAAGTTAAGTTAAGTTAAGAAGTTAAGAAATGATTCCTCGTCTCTACTTACGAATAAAACGGTGAAACCTCTGAAGGTATGCTCTCAAGTTGGGAAATTGAATATTCACAACTGAGATTAGGGACTGACGAGATTAGGTACTTTGGGGTGCGCTTAACCTACTGGGCTATGGAGACCCTAAGAGGAGCAAGATTTAAGATTCGACCTGTTGGTGCTTGTTTATAGGGTTTCCCCTTTTTTTTTTCGTTCTGAGCTCCATGCATGTCATCGTTCAACTTAAGTTTAGTTTTTACGAAAAAATACAAACCTGTTTTAAAATTTTTCCTGTTTGGGTCTTTCAAGACTCGCGGCTCGGTTTCTTCAAGACCTCCGGTTAACACAATTGACACTTCTGCGCTTGTTCCTGCTCCGCGAATAAATCCTGTGTGGACGTGTATCTCATAACAGTACGTATCTCGAGAATCATTGTCTGGTAGTGGGGTGACTCCAGTCTTCAAGTATTCAAAAGACATAAAAGGAAAGAAATCGTGTTTAAAAAAAAGCATTAATTAAAGCACAACCAGAGGATAGCTCGGTCAGGCGAATGACCTTCTACCCAAGATATGTTTTCTTCGTATAAACGGGACCTAAATAACTCGCCATGAAAGCCGGCTACAGTAGATTACTGTTGCAATCATACCGACGGTTGTAGTTTATTGTCAGGAAAAGAAACGCAAAAGATAGACATTGTTCAAGATAACTGCTATTTTTGAATGTGCATGGGATAAACGTAATGTCACATGGTTTGTTTATCGCTTTAAAGACTACGTGACGTACATACATTTATTGCGCTTCCTAAAGAGGGCTTTTCAGCAGCGATATACAACAGTGAGTAAATTAAAATCCATGATAATAAAACTAGTAGTAGAAAGGTAAAATGTATAAAATTGAAAATAAAAGTTCTATAAAAAAAAACTATTTACAGTGTCTAAATGTTTTAAGTTCACTGTCGGTTTAAAAGCAGTTTAAATAGTTTTTTCTTAAAAGCCTTTTTGCTGAAGGAATAGTTCTTAAATTGACGGGAAGTGAGCACCAACGTTTTGCTCCCAGAAAAGCAAACAAGGCCTCTAAAAAGGTGATAATATGGCAGATTGAGATCAATATTAACGGCAGATCGAAGTTGCTTAAAAAGTACTGTGGAAATGCGATCTATATTCAAGCAATTCTTAGGCAAGTTTTCAAGATAGCCGTCACCTGAAAATTGATTGATTGCTCTACCTCCCGGGGGGGGGGGGGGGTACTGCCATACATTACCTATACGGGTATGTGCCGCCCAAAGGGGTCGTGATTTTGAAGCTCCTGATTTAGAACGGGGTATCCATTTCAGAAACGTTTTCTAGAACGGGGTATAAAAAATTGTAGATCACTGCTTTATCTTCTGCTTAAAATTGTTGCCGATTATGAAGAAGAATTTATTTGATGTACGGTCGAACAAATAAAGAAATATCTTTTTAAAAAGACAGGGCTATTTCAATTTACAAACTTTGTAGAACGGAGTGTAAAAAATTGGCCCATTCCTAGAGAGGGGTATCAGTTTTAGGGCGAATTCTAGAACGGGGTATAAAAAATTGGCCCATTTCTAGAACAGGGTATCAATTTTGGGGGAAATTTTTTCGAGCACGGGGTGCCAATTTGGAGTTCCGAGCGGCACATACCCACCCAAAAAATACCCAAGTGCCCCCCCCCCCCGCGGGCTCTACCTATGACAGCCTACCTGAAGCGCATCCCTTTTATCTGCTCTTCTTGCAGGGATGAGACATATCAGGTAGAGGCCCAGGATCACACAGACAAAAATCAAGGCGTGTGGGCTATCCAGTAGCTGCTGCACGCTTAGCTTGTCAAAGTTGATCTTGTTTGGTGGAACGAAGAAGCTGCATCCGAATGTTGTAAGATGTGTTGTTAAGCACTCGGTAGACCTCAAATTAGTTTTAGGACCCACCTTGAGGAATTTTAAACAAAAATTAATAAATCGACATCACTAACGATTCTAATATCTTAAAATCGTAGGTGTGTTCTTTGTTCAACAAGCAGTGATGCTATCTTAAAAGCATTTACTCTAATTGTTTTGTGCGCAATAGAAAATTTCAAGTCATTCACCTAGCGTGTGCACCCGGTTCAGCTGCCGGTTCAAACGTTGAATTTGTGGCCTAACCTAAAATGCTACTATGCAAAATCTGTTGTTCTTGCTTACTAGCAGATTAAGCTGACAAAATCGCATTTCAATGATTCTTTGCATTGGGTTTAGATTCATAGAGATCAGAGCCGCATCAGCGGTAAAATTAGAAGGATTTTTCGGACATTTTGTCTCCGCACCAAATTCGGTGACCCCCTAGCCAATTTTTACATTTCGGACATAGATAACACATTCCATCAAAATTTCAGGAAAATTTCAATAAACTGAAAACTGAAAATCGGTGTTAGAAGACTTTCGAGTTGACGTCTGTGACAGTTGCAATGTGTCATTGTCCAGCATTCCAGGCAAACGTTCGCACAAATTATAGCAAAATGGTTACTGCTAATGATTAGGTAGCCAAACTGTGAAAAGCGACATTTATGTTGTGAAAAAGACTAATTAGCATGTCACGAGCGTGGGACAAAGAAAATTGGAGATCATAGGTTCGAATCCTGTCGGGGACTCAGATTTTTTCTCTGTCCCACGCTCGTGACATGCTGATTATTCATTTTCACATACGTCTCACCGAGCTTAAAAATTTACCATCTTTCATTCTTTCACCAACATTTATGTTGTAGATGTGAACTGATTTGTTACCTAACGAAATAAAGAGTAGGACCTGGTTCAAGCGCTGTACGTCGCATGCATAATACCTAAATTGTGGTTTGACCATAATTACTAAGTTCGCCGTTAGCTCAAATATTGTCGAACTAAATTCAGTCATTTTTTTTTTCAAAAAGCACGCGACCGGTCGTTTCGCTCAGCTACTTTACAAGTTCGGTTCATTTAAAGGGCGTGTTTGACCCTGAGTTTACTTTGGATCGGATGAGTGGTTTGTCACGCTTTCTTCAGCCGTGAACAACGTCTTAGCCGGCCAAAATATAATCAGCCGACCTTAAATAGGTTAAAAACTGCACTCCTCTAACCTGTGAGTAATAAGGCTCCTTATTTGGGGGAGTCGCGAGAAGTCGTGCAAGAGCCACAAGTCGGAAAGGAGACGTAAGTGCGAGGGGCCAGCTCTCACTTGCGCGTTCTCTCGCCTCGCTCGCTATTATTGGAGAGCTGAGTCGTAGGCTACACTTTACATGAACTGAGTTCGGCTTTTGTGAGGGACAGCTTTTGAGCCTGGCCTAAGGACTCAGGAGGTAAAAATATTGACCCCAAGGACTCAGAAAATTAAGAGTAATAACATGAAGCTCCAAAGGCATATTGCGCTAATTAATTCTTAACGCAAGAATTACCAAATTCAACCTTACAACCGAAAGCCTACTTTGAACACACATTGGGACTCCATTCGCAAAAAAGCTGTTTCAAACACTGTCTAACACATATGAGTTACGCCATTGTTATATTTTACACCTTAACTGTGTAACCGCGAAAGACTGTTTGGTTAGATACACTGTCCAACCTTGCGAAAACATATGAGTTACGCTATTTTTTCTTGCCTCCCTGCATATTAAGAGAATTTTTCTTTATTTTTCCACTTAAAAATGATGTCATAACCACATCAAAACGTTGTGTAAAACGTTTTTCGCTGATTATTTTTTATTCTCAAGTCTGTAATCAGATGGCGTGTAATTTAGAAATAGGAATACTTGATAGTCCTCCTCAACCTTACCTTAAGCCCGTCTGTTGACCACACGTTCTTTTTTTTGTCATAGAACATACACTTGGACGTATACATGGAAAAAGTGTAGGGTACAGTGTCATCAGATCCAATCTTCTTCAGCTCTTCCACAGGTAGAGAGTCGTTTTTTGTATATCCCATCATCACAAAATACTGACCAGCGGCAGTCCAGTTTAAATCATCATTGGACAAAAAAAGCTCACAACGAGAGAGGTTCGTCGAGTGATCACTATAGCGCCCTCCCAAGCGAAATGTTGCGTTGAAGTCGTAAACACCTTCTTCTGGTTTCGGTCTGCTTCCTTTTTTGATGTAAATCTGCACCGCAACACTGATGTTCCAAGCTACTTGAACAGTCACAGCAGATGCATTTTCTGTTAAATTAAATTCACGTATACTGTACTTATCAGAGCGCAGACTTCCGTCTTGCACCGGAGGATCTTTAGCGGTATTATTTCTTGGTAACATAACACTGATTTCCTCCTCCAGACCTTTCACTTTGCACTCAGCATCATCAACGTTATCATTTCCGTCATCCTTTGACCCGGAAAACGACAAGCTTACAATTTTGTCTGTTACTTGACCTCCTCCCTCACCTCCTGAGTATAGATTTTCGTTGGATACTAGGATCTGAGAAAAAAAAGGTTCACCCAATAAAGTTTACCGTTGTAAAAGTGTCCGACTTAAAATAGATGCTAACTCGCTTTTATTAACCATTGTTTGTCTTTTCTTTTCTTTGTTTTGCTTTGTTTTGTTTTTTCATTTTTAGGTCCACCATCGTACCTTTATTCCTGGTTTATAACGAACAGAGGTCTATTTTCAGGTTTCCCTTGGCATGGAAATTGGGTACCTTCAACTTGACGTAGCAAAGACAAAAGCCTCGCCAGGGGTCAAATCCCAGGGCTACTCTCATACGTTACAGGTGTGTGCCGCGGAATAGCGGAGCGTCCGCGCACGCGAAGCGAGGCGTGCGCAGCGCAGCCCCATACCTTATAGAAAATAGAAACCTATTGATGCCAGAAAACTTGCTTATGACGTCAGCGTTCACCGTTCGGTTGCCCGTACAGACCCTGGGGATAGAGGTAAAAAAACCTCATTTGGGTAGGGAAGGGAGTCTTAGACATATACTGTGCGTTTCCTTTTGGCGCAAAATTAACCATTTTTGAGGTAACAAAACGGAGGTGCTCGAGTAAAAATCTAGATTGAAGTTTCTTGTGGTCGGCTAAAGAGATAATTCTAAAGCTTTGCTTTCTGCTTTGTCACGCTTTTGGTCATACTCTAGGAACAACTTTATCTCCCTCCTGCCCGCTTAGTCAAAATTTTGACAGGTGAATTCATGCGTGAAAACTTATGCAGCATCTAGAAATTTGTTGGCCGACAGACGACTTGTCGACAACTGCAGAAGCCTCTTTTCATTTCAGTTAAGTTTTAAAATTATTTATCGTCTTTCCGTACTGCCGCCTAAGGAAAGTGTCGCAAAGACATTCATCGATGACTGCGTTTGTCTGTTAGTTCATGCAGGTTCTTACGGCGGACTACAGGGAAAAATCCTGAACATCTCAAATTTTTACTTATTCGTGTTCTTCCACTCGCCACTACCGCCAATAGCTGCTATCAAGATTCTTCTGTTATTCGAAGAGTTCCTTTTTTAGGCTTTGCAATTGATCCTTCTAATAGTGTTTCCACTTTAAATTCTACAAACTACCTTGGAGGAAATGGATTCATGTAAAACTCTGAATTAGGCGTAAAAACATTTATTTAATAAAACTCCAGATGAGAAACAGTATCCTTGTTTTGAAAGAGAATAAAAAACGCCTGATTCCAACAATTCAGCATTGGTTATTTTTTCTCAGATGACGTGCATTTTTTCTTCGGATTTGAGCCTAATAAAGTGTATGAAGTTTCAATTATCCGTTCCCTTTGAATAAAGCCAGGGATCAAGAACCTTCGCTGCACACAATCCTAAGTCCCCCAAATGGGTAGAATCTTTAGACGCAACGACTTCTGGGATCCGAGCGTTACATATGATTGGTTAATGCCGGCTTGCTTTGAATACCATCGACCAATAATAGCGACGTCAGCCCAAACGATCATAAAAACACTACACTCAAAGCTTGAACCTGTTCTCCTCAATGTCCCTTAATTGTCACAGGGATATGGGCATACTCGCGTTTTGAGCACCTTCGTTCCTAGTGATATGGGCATCACCTCTAGTCCTTCCCTTAACCCTAACCCAAATCGGTAAGGCGGGTAACATGAGAAGGGGATGCCCTGCATATCACCAGGGTTTTAGTAATGGGGTTGCCCAAAACGCGGAATGCCCATTTCACTGTAACACCCTTTCATCTTGGTGCCAAATAAATCTGGTCTCGAGGACATGACAGGGTAAGAAAGAGAAGAAGATAAAGTTTACAAAATAATGGTTTGAAGGGAATTGGCAAAACATACCATTCGATTAACACTTGAATTCTGATTGCCGCAGGTTGTAAAATTTGCCGGCAAAATGACCTCACTTCCATTCAAAGCGATGGTTTTATTGCCCATGTCCTTTGCGTTATATCTCTCGACTCCCAGGGCTAAAGATTTCCTCTCAATAGTTATTTCTTTTTCTCCAGCAATCAAAGTGGTCAGCATAGCTGTTCCAACTGTTTCGATTGTTTTGACAGCTGCTTGTGTGTTATTGCCATCTGAATCCTACAAACAAAATTTTGTGATCAGCTTCTGAGACTTTTTCATCCTTTGGGGTCCGACCCTTTACATCTAACCTTTGAGGACGATGATATATATTTTTTTATCATAGAGGAGCTCTCTTTTATTTTTTCGTCACAGACATCGCTCCCTCTATATTGGTATTTACTAATGAAAGGCAAACGACAAAAAAGTTTATAAAGAATAAGTGTGTAGTAGTGGTAGTGGTAGTGGTAGTGGTAGTGGTAGGGATAGAAGAAGTAGCAGATCGTACTTTGTTTGATGAGTCGCTCAAAATGACGTTTATTGCTGTACCGACCACTGACTCTGAAGCACCCTCAATGTCTTTACTCGAGGCGGTCTTTGCTTGCTTTCGAATTGCGTTCCCCGCGTTCTTGATGAAAGAAGAAACTTTGTTCTGTTTGAAAAAGAAGCATCAAATATAAGCACACTGGAAAATTACCAATCGTAAAGTTAAAGTTAATTCGATAAAGTTCACTCCTGCCAAAAGAGGTTTGATCGTTCTTGCAGTTACTGTATTTACAGAAAGGTCAAGGTATTTTGATGAGTTATAGTAAGCCCAAAATTTAGACAAAGATTTCTCACATAGAAACGCGCTAGTTGATTATTTTTTACTTTTACTAAGAGACCCATTTAAGCGAACGTAAGTTAATGGCCAAAGAAAGAACGTAAAACACAATCGTGGTTGTAAACTTGGGTACTCAAGCACTACCTAGGCATCGAGCAACTAAGAATACAGACCTGTCAATTGGAACGACTAGCGTTCGCGTTCCACAATCAGTGTCAAAGCTAAAATCTGTTTTCAGTTGACGTCGTTCACCTGTGATTCTTGACCTGATGTTGCAAACAGTGAAATCACGATGTTTTGTCTTTTATACCGCCCCCAGTCTCGTGAAAAACAGCAAAAAAAAAGAGTTTTGTGTGGGGGAAGAAATCCAGTGCACACCAAATAAAACACAGAAAATCTCAACAGGTTTAATGACCATAATCCTATCCACAAGCACAAGTAAGAAATAGTAGAAATCCGAACAGCAACGGAGTCCAAAAAGCTTCCGTTAGGTCTTTTTTCCTAACCACGAGGTCTGCGAAAAAGACTCTAATCGAGGCTGCAACAAAACAATTTATATAGTAGTCACGAATGTTCTCAACGATCTCAACACCCTCCCCCCATTTAAGTAATTCATTAACTTAAATGGAAGTCACTTTGTACACAAGTTGCAAAGGAAGTTTGACAACATATCCATTTCCGCTTCTCAGCTTCAATCCATGAAATACTCCATCTTTGCCAATAATCTTGTCCACGACTCGTCCAAACTTTCACAATGCTTTATCCTTTGCTTCTCTTTTCAGTAACACCAATGATCCTCTATCTTGAATTTTTGCACTGCTTGCAGCGGCCTCACTCTTTCTTTTTCCAAGGGCATACGCGTACTTTTTTAGAAACGTCTTTTGAAGCTGCTCCTTGCTTTTCCGGAAGAATTTCATTCGTTTTGTTACTTTGTCTTCACCAGTTTCCTGAAAATCTTCCTCCAAGATTGGGCTTGGTTTTCCCCTCAGCAAGGTGTTTGGGGTAAGCACTGGTTGCTCAAACTCTTCCCCCTGATAAAGAAAAGGAGGGTTGTTCACGCAGTTCTCTAAGTCCAGCAAGACATCTTCAAACTCTGGATAGGTCAGGAGGCTTTGGCCAAGGCGTTTTGAAAGAGCCCTCTTCATGATACCAATATGAAGCACGCAAAGAACCCTCCCCACCATGAGGCTTGGGGTATGTTAAACTTAGTCCGGTTTAAGTTCAGCGCTTCAATATAACTTGCAAGATTATGATCCTTCTTGAGGGTAGATAACCACGTCCCAGTGGCCGAAGACGTCTTTCTTACAATGGTCTGAGGGCATCCACCCCTGGCAATAAACTCTTTTAAAGCTCTTTGAAATCCAATGGAAGAGAAATCACAACAGAGCTTAAGGTCCACTGCACGGGTACTGGCACACGTACATAGTGTAATGTAAGATTTACCAGTATTAGACTTCTTCTCCTTGTAGTGAACTGGACCGGCAAAGTCAACTCCTGTTATTGCAAAATGATCAGACATTTTAACCCTAAAAGCTGGCGGGAATGCAGTTGTAACACACGAGGCAGACACAGGTTTCTGCCAGTACTTGCTGAACCACCATAGATGTTAGGTGACTTTCCCGAGGTAAGAAGATGGGGTTGTTTTTGAAAATTACAAGGGCTTCAATATTATTTTCCCGATTGATTGAGCAAGAAGCAATAGTATCATCCCTCCCATAGCAAGTGCTGCATTGTCGCGCCAACGCGGGCGCTAAGCTTGAATATTCACGTCGCGTAGTAATCCTGCCAGTTTGCGGTCATGGCGAAACGTAAAGGTCAACAGTGTTAGTTGATGAGCGAGCGATTATAGTGCGAACAAGAAGCTGGAGTACCCGTTACCTGCAGATTAGCCGATGGCAATTTAGAGCGGATTTGCTTCGCGTGGAGGCGCGTGGAGATGGTCCGTTTGTTTTGTAGCCAGCCTTTAATTTGTTCTTTAGTGGATAGTACCTACGATTGCAAAACTCAACAAAATGCCGCTTTAACCGGCCAGGAAGAAGGAGGAGTCGTTCAGTTAAAAGTATCTTAGCTTTTTTTTGTTATATTTTGACTTTTGGACCATTTTAGTTCATGGAAGTTTCGACGACACATCCCATTTTATCCATGTGAATATTAATATGTTGACACACACTACGTCTGGGCAGCCTGTGCTTGAACAGCGGTGCGATACTTTTGGTCTAATATTTCACAGTTGGCGATCGAGCTTTCGCAGTGAGCCTCCGCTTGCGTATACGTACCCCGTTCACAGAAGTCATTCCCGGCTAAACTTTCAAATGAAACAAGTTTAAGATGGACAGTATTTTGATTTGCACTCGCTTGTTGATTTGGTAAATCAAAAGGCACCTTGTTCGCGGTCAACAACTTGCAGAGGGATTCAACTCCGCGATACAATCACATTAGTTTCGCAAATAAAGCAAATCCTGAAAAGATATGAACAACCATCTGAATTTTCTGAATTGTCATGGCACATGTTAACGCATATTTTCCTACCATAAGACCATAAAATAATAAAAAAAAGACGGCAAAATCGATCCTTCTCTCCGCCGATGGCGAATCATTCACGAAAACAACCACGCGAGGAATAAGCGCTTTCGAACTTCCGTTGATTCCAACTGCCAATCAGATCTTGTGACATTGTTCTAACAACCAATCAGCGTTGCGGCCAACATCTGGCCGCAGTGAGCACAAATTTTTGAGAGTTTGTATCAGGCCCAACTTTTAGCGGTAGCCGTTAGAGAGAATGCATGAGAACTGCCAAAATTGGGCCTGATATCAGGTTATTCTGAGCTTATCTAGGACACTACCCAGAGACCCCATCATGTTAACATGAGCTAGCTAGCAATTGCCAGTCCATCAGCAGAAAACTCAATACTTGTGCTTCACCATTTTCACAGTGAGCGTCAATAGGCCTTCAAACAACTAGGTCAATTGTTAAAAGCTTATCTTTACAGTCGGTCGTCAAATATAGAGTTGTACATGCTAAGATATACAACTTACGAATCGCAAAGTTTTCCAACCACTCCAATCCCTTTATTCCCAGTAGGTTCTTGACAAGGCTAAGCCGTTAGTGAATACAGTAAAAACCCGCGACTAAGAACCTGTATTTTCCCTAGTTTGACTAAACAGGTTCTTACGTAAATGGTAATGAGCGTAAATTTAGGCAATTTAGGTTCTTAAATAGGTTCTTGTTTTCAGAACATAGACTGTTCACAGTCCTTCCATTTTTCCGTAAGATCATCGAGATCGAGAGCTTCGCGTTAAGGGCTACCCATCTTGCATGAGTGTCAAAACTACCTTAGCTATAATCCCCGACGTGACGCCCGCCCCCTCGCGATCCGTGCATTTGAAAATCAAGATAGCCGTGACGGTAAAAGACGCGGTATATCTAAACGATCTCACGAAAAAATATGGGGACTGTGAACAGTCTATCAGAACAAAAAACACATTGTAGCCAAGAGCAATTATTCGCATTCGGCTTATTCCTTTTATAAAGTCTGCATACTATTATACTGCAGTTGGACTGTGATAGGCACCTTTGTCTCCAAAATAGATCATGAATGTTGGCTTATCTTATTTTTTAAAATGTACAGGATTTCATAAAGTTTCTATAAAATAAGAACCTGTTTCAGATTTTAGGCTAAACAGGTTCTTTTTTCGATCGGGCCTGTAACTGGTAAAGTTTAGCCTAACAGATTCAAACCAGGTTCTTACTGTATATCATTGATATGTCAGTCCGTGTTAGCATAGAATCATGTTATCTATTTTTTGACTTTACTTACGATCACATTGGGAGAATTCTGTTTGGCTACGGAAGTAGCATCGCTGAGAGTCCCGGACAGTTGAGTCACATCAGCCAAGTTCATATCCTCTTTGACTTCAGTATTGTCAAGTGCAATAGAAACAAGCTTGTCAATGAACTGAAAAAGGTAAAAATAGAATACTTATTCCATCCCCAAATCTCCAAAAGACACTTAAGACCTATAGTAAACACCCGCAGTAGTTTTGCAAAGCTTAATATTATACAAACCAATGTCCATGAAATCAAAAATTGGCTAGTTGGATATATCCGACTGGAAACGAAGGGTTTACCTTAAAGTGCAAAAATGTAAACTAACCCGTGGGAAACTAGTACCCTATGAAAAACCAAACAGATTTTATATAGTAATAACCAGGTGGGGGGGAGGCAACTCTATTGTTTTCCACCTAAGATTCTTGACCCACTCCGCCTGCCAGTATGATGTCACATAGTAACGGGCAAGAGCCTCGGGTCGCTTGTGCAAATTAGCAAGGGATACGACAGTTATTTGGACGAGCGAGGTCGAGGAAAAGCTAAGAAGCTAGCAAATATCGCTATATATCACTTATTTGATCGAATGTGTGTGATCTTTGGTGTTGCTATAATCTGCTTTTGTAAACGGTTTTGATATTTTGTGTCCGTGATTGTATAATTTTGTTAATTTGTTTTGCGTGCAGTGTTGCGGGACACCATATATTTCACCAGACCGGCAAGGTCACCAAAACTCAAATCTTTTTTTTTCTCTAAATTGGCAAGGTCTAGTCTCCAGAATCGGAGGTTCCATTCTCAGATCACGCATGTTTATGTTTCATCTATACTTTTGCTAATTAAATGGGCCTAACTTCATATCATTCCTTAAGAGTGTGTGCCTCTGTTGATCTCCTAATCCTCCACCAAATTCTGTAAAGCTAGTTCGATCGATTATCTACATCGAGTCGGCCTGTTGAACCCGAAATAATGCGAAATAGCTTTGAAAGACGCGCTTAAGCTAAGTTTCCTCAAATGCATATTTGAATTCATGATAAATACCGCTCCACCAGCCTCAAACAGCGTCTATGGCAGAGAAAAATTGTTTTGATATGACAAAATTAATTTTTTAATTATTACCCTAAAATCTCCACTGAGTTTGCCCCCCCAAATAATTAAACCAAATCTTTTATTGGTTTTCGGGATTTAATTACAGAATTACAGGTGTATGCCCAATGCAGTATTAAAATGCGATAAAGCAACAAGATTCACTCGCAAATACCTGTCATTTAGCTTCCTCTTTCAACGCTACAACTAAGCGAACTTTGAGAGGAATGATATGGGGTTCCACTAGCTCTGGAGAGCTGAAAATACGCACAATGTAAACTATAATATATACATCCTTTGATGAACCTTCTACTCCTTAATCTTGCTGTGCACTGGCCCACAAAAGTGTGACCGGTCTGTATGATTGCCCGTAAAATTAATAACAGAACATAAAAAAAACGTAATTACCTTTTTGTTTGCCTCGACATCTTCACCACTTTGCTCTTCAGTATCTTGTTCGTTTAATGCTTGGGCAAAACTTGATACAAAAGACAGTTTCAGGTTTAAGTTTCCACCAGCAGTTATTTCGCCCAGATTTTCGTCTAACAGTTTTGTAAGATCCTCAGCAGTCGGTTTCTCTTCATTCGGCTTAACCTGTCAAAGAAAGATCAAAGCTCTTTCTCGGGAACTTTCTTGGGTAATAGGCCACGCTTGACATATTAAAATTCTAACATGACTCCGGGGCTTTCTGGTCATATTTCTATATTTGATTTGGTTTTCTTTCCGCTCAAGTCTTTTCGAGGAATTGCGAGACAATGGAGTCGTGGAAAGTTTGAAAACCTTATCCTACCTCGGAGTTACGTTAGAATTTTGATATATCGAACGTGGGCTATTTGAAGGATCGATGGAATTTTCCCCAAAGTAAATTAGCTTTGGGAAAATACGTCACACTCCAAAAGGTGCTTTCCCGTCGCCAACAGCCCGATTTTCCATGGGTAAAATGTATAGTATACCCGCACCTAATGTAGGGTATGTGGAACGAAGAGCACAGACATTTACGTGATATTTAGCGTCATTGCTCACTCACTTGATAAAATTCAGCAAATTTTAACCTGCAGACGATAACTTTGGCTGGAAATGCCTGGGTGTAGACTAACTGGGGAAATGTAACCGTGATAGTTATGATAAGATTAGATTACTTAGTTTAGAACAAGAACAAAAGATTTCGCATATTTTTCTTTCTTTCTACCTCATGATCAATCAGAAACGATCAATACGTTCATACACTCCTTCGAGTTCCCTCGAGAACCGTACCCGATTCCAGATCCTAATGGGCAAAGTCTATACCCGTTCATACCAAAACGGCGCAAAACCCTACCCTTTGAGGAAGAACTTACCTATGTGGCCTGTACATATGAGTACCCCCGGGCCACGCGTACTGTGTCCGGTTTTGCTTGAAAAGAGAGATCTTTCCTCCGGTTTAGCATACCTTCCACACGTGCGCGGTAAGATTAAAACGGTCACAAAACGCATCTTTTCAGAAACCTTCTCCAGAATGGAGCGTTTTGAAAACTCTAGCTTCTCATTTTCGCGGTGAAGGCGGACGAAATCCGAGGTTCTCGAATATTATATACCACTAGCATCACGCATCCCCTGTGAGGGATGCTATTGTTTCTGTGATCGTTTTAGTGTTTCCGCATGAACGGGCAAAAATCATTCGAAAACGCAATGTGTGGACGCTTTTTTTTCGAAAATGGACAGACAAAATCCATGCGTTCATCCGGATACGTGTATACGGGGCAAGAAAACACCAAACCTAGTCTAGACTCTTGGTGACGTTACAATTCACAGTATGGTTCAGGCTTGTTCAATCCGAGCTGGCCTAGCGCTTGGCTGCAGCCACCCAGGCCGTTAGGTACAAGGAAATAACGAGATGACGATCAACTAGAACAAAAATAATATTGAGAAAGATAAATGGCCTGACTGACACAACGATACCCACCTTGATAGTTTCGGGAATCTTGTAATCGACAGATGCTCCTAATTTGTCCGTTACCTTCACGACAAAATTATATTTGTAATCGTTTTCTTTCAGACCACTTGATAAGCGAAAATCTTTGAGAACGGGACTAAGGCTCTGGTCTAAAAGTGATAGAGGACCTCCTTCGGCTTTCTTGTAGAAGAATGTGTACGTTAGAGGTTCGTCTCTGTCTTTGAAGTTTGTACAAGTTATGATAAATAGAGTTTTTAGCGGTTCCCCTTCTTTGTGAGATACCCTACAATTGCCATTTGCTGGAGGCTTGTTCACCACAACATCGTAAGTGCTTGTGCCTGTTGCTCCACCGTCAACATTTCCACTCAGTGTAACCGTATAATTTATATCAGCTATCAAGAAAAAAAGGTCGGTAAGAGATTAGAAACACGAAGGAAAGGGCCTCCTGTAGATAAAAAAAGTCTGGTTATCCGGCTAGGACTGCTGCATAACTCTGATTTACATGCCTGTCATATGCGCAGAAAAGCTAGCGGGTAACTTTTGAGCTGTGGCTACTAAAGATGGTGAAAACCATAGGAAGGGAAAAACAGCCAAATAGGCTTAAAAGCCTATGTTCATTCTACACCGGACAACTCTCGTGCCGGCACAAAACCACACCGGATAGGGCTTCTGTTCAGACATAACTACTCCAGTGATTCGGAGGGATTTCTTTAACTACAGCAAAGCTACGCCGTGCCGATCTGGAAAGTGAAACGTTACATATCGGATAGGTTCTGTGCGTCACTTTGGTTGTCAGAACAGGTATTCAGATTATGGCAGAATATGAGCAAGGACTAGAACCCACTGAGACCAAAGTAAATACAGACTAAACTCCACGTGCGACTACCTCTCGTAAGCGATCGCCTCCGATAAACGACCGTCCATCCACAACACAAAAGTTTTCCCAGTCAAAGCCTTAAAGTTGGAACCTCTAGTAAACGACCACCCCCTTTAAGCAACTGTCACCACTTTTTTAGCCTAACGGTTAATGATTTTCCCTTTTTTAACCTACTGTAAGCGACCACTTGACGCATTCTCCGATCTCTATTTTCGCTGTGTGCACTATGTTATGTTACTTAGGATATACGAAGTCCTTTAGTTAAAACATGGAACTACACATGTCCTGCATGCAGTAACTTATCTTCCATAAAGTACTACTCGCTTAAAATGTAAAATGGAACACATTTTCCTGAAATTTTCTTCTTCGTGGTGTATTTGCGGCAGGGAATTTCACGTTCTACTCGACTGCAGTGACGGCAAAGAAATGTCCAAAAAGTGTGCCGCACGCGCAGAATTGTTGTTTTGGCTTATTACTTGGCTTCACCGCTATAAGCTGAGTTAGTTTCAAGCAAGCACTTGATTCAATTGCACTTAAAAATCTTAAGTCGCTCTGTAGTACAAGCTGTCAATTATGTTTTGCACTAAAATCATTTATGCGTATCACAAACGTGATTGCTTGCGTCGAAAGTTAAAACTATGAGGCCTTTGCTCAGAAGAAGAGTTTTTTGCTGTTTAGTATTTATTTTTCGTTAGTTTTTAATTTAGCTCAAAGGGTTTCAGTTTAACTGTAAAAGAGATGCTTATGTGCTTCATGTTTTACAAGTACTTAGAAGCGGCAGGAAAAAAAAAAAACAAGCGAAGTCTCTCTCATCATTTCACTAGAATGACTGACCAACGCTCTTTTGGCAAAAAAAGATCGCCATAAGTTCTGGGCTTGGCCTCTTCCGCAAATGCTCTTCGCAGACCGAGACATGAATGTGCATCTGTCCAATTCATTAGGATCTTGAAACCGCTGCGCGTGCACATCGTGCAGCATAGCTTCCTTTTCTTATTGGTCAAGTGTGGTGTAGGCCACCACCGCTTGGCAACGAACATCGGCTTCTTTGAACTCAAACGTTTCCTTGGTCACCAAGTAAATTTGAAAAAGTTCCTTTTTCCCCTTCACACTCAAAGAAGGTTCCAAGTACACTTGGATTATACTTGAGTAATCTAGTGTGAAGCCAACAATTAAAGCTATTGCGTTTTTGACGTTCTTGTTGTCGTTGCCGTCGTCGACGCTGAAACTCCTTGTTTTCCCTGGTCTGCAGTCTTCTTTCTATCACACCCCTTGCGCTTTTTGAGTAAGAGTCATGGACAAATTTAAACTATTCCGATAAAAAGAAAAACACAAATTCGTCGGCAAAAGTAAAGATTATTTTAGTGAAAGAACCACATTTCACAAACAAAATTCGTAAGTACCTTTAAAATAATCCGGGTTTATGACCAAAGTCTCTGACGTCGTATCTGGCACTGCGAGGAAATTCTGTGGGATAGTTTCATCTAAACAGCTGCCACCGGATGTACAGTTTTGAACGCTCCACTTGTAATTTATCTTTCGGTTACCTTTGGACTTCCCTTTTCCTTTTAATGAAAATTTCTCCGATGGGTTTAATTTTTCCTTGCAGTTTTTAACACACCTGAAATTAAAAGCAAGCAGCGATGAAAAAGTCATAAAGGGTGTCCACCATTAAGTTAGATATTGAAAGAGCAACGTACAAAGTAATTTTGAAATTTGAAGTATGTTAGTGAAAAAAAAAAGAAAGAAGAAAATCGCTCTCCTTTACCATAGTTAAAATCTTTAATGAGCAGAAGGTACAACTTCAAATACTTCAAAAGACATCAAAACAAAATGGCTAAAATTTGAAGAATAAAACTGCCAAATGCACAAAACTGAACACTGAGAACTGCTTTCCTTGTTGGTGGTTGCTCTTCCAGTTGATTTATAATCACCATAGGCTCGTTTTCGCGCTACGATTTCCCAGCAACCTTTAGGCTGCAACTGTGCCTTGAAAAGCGACACTATAGATTTATATTTTTTACATTCAACTGACAAACAAGAGCAATATTACCATCAGCTATCAAACATTAAATTTTCAAACTGCCAACAGCAAGCAAGAAAGCGGAAAAAACGATGACTTGGAGAGACTCGGCTTGGTCAGGGTCTTCTTTACTTTACAAATCACTTTCTAATGCTTGTTTTTGCCGCGTCGACCTAATCTCAGACCCAGATTTCTTGTTTACGAAGCCCAAGGCGAGATTTTACTGGTTTTTGATTAGCTAGATTGTGAGTTAATGACGTGAGTGTTGTCTCCTACGCGCGCTATGGCGTGTGATTCATTCTATGCAAGTCTTCCGTTTCACTGAAGAAGTAGTTTTCCGTCTTGATATAACTTGTAAATCCGTTTTTATCTCATCTTTAAAGGCTTTTTAAAACACAGTCTCGGTATCAAAATTAAGAGTTTTGAAAAGGGCAAGAACAACTCTGCGTAGAAATTGATGCGTACTGCTTTGAGCTTTTAGCGCGGGTAATGATAATTAAATTTAAACTAACTAGCTGTCACTTTGAATTTGGTGTTACAAAGGAAAACAACAATAACTTATTTGGTTCATACTTAGGTAGGTACTGGTCAAAAAGTGTAGGGAGGTGGAGCATTTGGAAATGTGGTTGATAAAAAACACATGGACCACCCCCTCCCTTCAGCACAAAAATGACTGACCCACCCCCAAAGCAAAGTTGGAAATTAGATGACCCACCCCTTAGTATTAAAACATGGATTTTTGGTTTGCTCTTAATAATCCAATAAAACCTTGTTCTGTGGGTGACAAAAAAAGAAGCTCTAGCCTCTTGCCTCGCTTCATAAGGTTGGAAATAAAATTTTTGACAGGCGAAACACGACTCATAAGCTCGTGATAATGTGAAAAGTGTCGTTAGAGTTTGCTTGAAAATAAAGGAAAGATATTTTTCTTCTTTTCTCTCTCGCACTTAGGTCGCTAGCACTTTACAGTGCATGGAGCATTTTAAACTTTGACTGAGTAGATCTTATTTTTGCCACGCTAATCAGTAGTCTTACAAATAGAAATCATGAAGCTGGTAATTTGTTTCAAGCACATTGAGTAACTATTTCCTGCGGGTTATGTTTCTGTAGGTGTTTCTGATAGGATTTGATCTCAGATGCAGTTGTAAAGTACTCACAGTTTCTTTGATTTTCTTCGAAATGCCTGGATTTGAATAACTTCATGCGTCTAGTTTCTTTGTCCTGGAATATGATTATTTCCTACCATATTTTGGCGCTGGGCCCAGCTAAAAAATGTTGTTTCCAGGATGTTGAATTTTCATGCGAGATAGTGTGATCTTCAGACTTGAGTTGTAGCTTTGACTAAAGCTTCTCCATGAATGGAGATTTATGCTGTGCGTCAGTCAAGATCATTCTCCAGGCGCTGGTACAGTCCACTTAGTTTTTCTTGAGATAAACGAGTCTTTGGACTGGAGGTCGATACTTGTAATACTGCTATGTAAATTTTTTTGATATTTGGAATACATTTGTTAGGTTTGCGTTAATACTTCTGCTTATTATTGATACGTATTTTTATGAGAAGAAATAGGACCCCGCGTTTCTGTGTTTGCTTCCTTTCTAGAATATACTGCTATTTCGAGAAAGGTTGTCGGATAAAGTGCACGCGACCAACCCGAAAGGTATTGTGGGTGGTCTTGAGTTCACTGTTTTTCAAAGAAATTTGAAAGAATGGTACGAGAGGCCATGGACATATGTCTGCGAGTGCTAAAGGAAAGCAACAAAAGTAGGTTCGACAGCTACAGTATCAGGAACAGTGTATTGATCATATCCCATGTTACCTTTCGGGATTGTCGCGTTTACATTTTTCCTGACAACCTTTCTCGAAGTAGCGGTATGGAACAACATAGGCCGGGTAACCACATCAAGATACCAGAATTTTAAAAACCAATGAAATGTATAAAAACAAAAATCGTGCATTTCATTAAAATTGCATTTGAACAAGAAGGCAACAGGTTTGAGAATATGTTTAGCAATAATTCCGTCTGGCTGTGTTTTATATTCTCTATCTATGTTACAAAATAGGATGACCCCCCCCCCAAGGGTAGCTGAAAATTTCACGACCCATCCCTTGCACAAAGCTCAAAGTATCATGACCTACCCCCTCTCTGCTCTAGCCCACCCCTTCCCCAATACTTACTTTTTGACCAGATATGCGTATAACCACGTCTTTTTAGAGAAAACTTCACGGTTCTATCAAGTTAGTTCTTTAACATGTCTAAAATTGAGGATTTATTTCGAGCATGCGCTCTTTCATCGCCTGTCACATTCCTGACAGGCGATCACGTACACAAATCGGGTTTAATCTGATCTCGCCTTCGGCTTCGTCAACAAGGGATCTGGGTGCGAGATTAGCGTCAACCCTCACTAGTATGAAACTGGGAACAAACCCATCAGCCTCCCAGTCCAGCTACGCTAGCGCCATACACTTAAACTCATTGGCATTGATATCCTTTTTGGACTGATTATGTTCCGTTGCTTTTTATTGTGCTATTTCTTGGGCTAATGTTGGAAAATTTAGATACAGGATATATAGAGAAGAGAAAAGTGGCGTCAAAGAAATTCAAATTTGTGAAAATATGGAATTGGTTGGCATATTCAGAAAGAAGAGAATGAAAAAAAGCGCCCCTGCCAAATTAAACTGGTTACTGCAAATTTGTGGGGAGATATAAGCACCGTTTAGAAAGTTCATAGTATAAATAAAAATTGATATGATATACTCACTCGATGCTCACATCAGGAGGATCACCAGGAACAAGGGTAATATTTTGATCCTTAAAAGACTGTCGACCACTTTTTGCCATGATAAATCTGATAGTATATGTTGAGTTAGGAATCGCCATGCTTGTATTTAACGTTATTATTTTTGTTTCGTTAAAATCCGTAAGTTGACCTGGAGCATATCCGAAACAGCTTCCATTACTCAAGGGATTTTTTGTCTCAATAGAGGATATATTTTCTGGCAACTTGCCACGACTAAAGTTACAAAACCAAGCAAACTCGAAATTGCTTTCTGGTTCATCTGGGTCCACAGACTTAGAAGCATCAATTTGCACCATAACGTCATTGCCTACAGTCCTCTTCGAGCCGCCCAAAATACTTGCCACAAGAGGAGTTGGGATAATTTCAATAGAAAATATCTCCTCATTGTAAAATCCTTCTGCCCAAGTCATGTTGATCGAAAACTGAAATTCAATCTTTGCGCAAATATTAAAATGCCTCGCTGGATAGTCCAATTTGGCTAATTTTGGGGGAATTTCCTTTGGCATCAGATCGTCTTCATCACTGCCGCATCTCTTTGTAATCTTCCACCTGAATTCGGTAGTATCATTGAAGCACTTAATCTCGTTTTCAGTCTCAATAGTTATCTTCTCTGAACGTCTGAACGTCTTAGTTTTACCGGATTCGAATCCAGGAACTCTAATTTTGGGTATTTCGCAGTATCCCCTCCCTACTAGCACTGGTTTTTTTAAATCTATGCAGGATACTAAATTGGTGGCTCTAAAATTAACAGTATAACCCCTGGCGTTTTTATACGTGACACGAAAATGTTGAATGCAATTATTGCCTTTGCAATCCAGATTCCAACATTTATTCTCCTTAAACTGTTCTGGATAGATAGCGCCATCTGCGGCATTAAGTAGAAAACAGGGACTATTCCCCATCTGACCCACTGCGAGAGTAAAGTTTACTGGCTTTTTCTGTTCTGTAGGCCCGTCGTCTGTTAGGTTAACACCACGTATGCTCTCCATCAGCGTGATTGTAACATCAGTTGTCATCTCGCTGACTTTATTCTTTGCCTTTAGGCGAATGGTGTGTTCACATTTGGTGTGTTCACAAGTACTGAACTTATGCAAGAAGGTCCTATTCCTGTAACTTTTGTCTCCATCGTTGTCAAAATTCCAGGTAAAAGTTACGTTGGTACCGTTTGTGATAATTGCTTTAAAAGATACGTCATATTCCACAGGATACGTATCATTGCGAAGAGTAAAATCTGAGCATGATTGATTCTCATATTCCGTATGTTTAGTGATAATTTCAAGTCCTTGGATTGCATCTTGTATTATAACCTCCACAGAACCAATTTCGGAACTTATCTCGTTAGAGACATTAACAGTTACAATATAGACCCCACATTTATTCGGGTAGTTGTAAACCGTCATTGAGTTGTTTGTCAGCGAGTAATTGTTATCTCCGTATCGCCAGTAATAGTTGAGGGGTCCCGAAGGCTTAAAGTCAGGACCAGGGAATGATACATTCAGTGTCACTGCCGCATCAGAAGAGTTTCTGGGCGAGTCTGAGGTCACCATGACTTTTTTAACTTCATACTGAACTATCAGCAGGCAAGTGTAGCTGACATTTGAAGGATTTCTGTTGAAGAATGTCACCGTAATGTTGTATTTTCCTGCAATGGAGTAGGAATGATTGGTGCTCCATCCCGAAGTCGGAAACTCTCGGGGGAAGTACAACGATTCATCACTTGAATTATCTCCAAAATTTATCGCCACGTTTAAGTTGGTGCCATTTGAAATCGTCACGTTCAGCGTAACAGAATTATTAGCAGCAATGTACAATGTCTTGTTACACAGTTTTTCTTGGGCTTTAGGAAATGTAGTACGCCATATAGCGAGTCCCGGGCCCTCTGCTGGCGTCTCCACATATACTGTGGTGTTGATTGTTTTGCTATCGACAAGATTACTCGCATTAATGACCACGACATATTTCCCAGGCTCAGTATAATTGTGCGTACTAATTGCTACAAAAATATCGCCAGCTGAGAGACTCCTGTTGACAATTTTTTGGCTCCCATCACCATAGTCAATGGAAAAAAGAAGTTCAGAGCCTTGGGTAAGCCTCCAGTGTATTTCTGCCGGAGCGTTCACTGCTACGGAATGATTAACGCTAGTGTATTTCAAGCCTTCGATTACGTCCTGGACGATAATCTCTGTGCAGTTCACAAGCATTGAACTGACATCATTGGATGCGATCAATGCTACTTTGTATCTACCAGCTGTGGTGTATGTATAGGGTATAACTTTATCAGTGCTGTTCGTTGTTTTTCCATCCATGGTATGTAAGGTATATCGGGCCATTTCGTCTCCTAGATGAGGCAATACAGTGAAGTTGAACGTTTCGTTGGTCTTTAGGATCAGTGGATGCTCAACCACCACACCATGAATTGCATATTGTACGCTGAGGTTCCCTGCAATTGTTTCATTGTTAACTCTATTGGTGGCTGTGATGACTACACTGTACCAACCAACAGTTGTAAAGTTACTTTTATAGAGTCCAAAAAACCTTGCACCTGGCACTTTGACGTCAGTCAAATTCCTTGTTTCCATACTCCCATCAGGGAGTGTGATGGTGACATTAAATTCAACGTGTGATCCATTGAACAATGTCCAGCCAATGCTAGCTGTGGTCCCGTTTTCTATTGTTTTCAAAGAATCGTTTTTAAATTTCAAGCCAGCTATTCTCTCTTGAATGACCACCTGACACCAGAGTGCAGCTACCCCTATCTTATTCCCTGCCAAGACGCCGAGGGTCCTCTCCCCAGTGTTGTCAAATATTTTCGTGACCCATGGTAATTTTGTCGTGTCGTTGCTGTTGTCACCAAAATCCCAGATGAAAGTAACATTAGTTCCTTTGGTTATAGAGCCGGTTAAATTTACAGATTCCGCCGAAGGGAAGACTTCCGGTATATTTAGCTGCAATTCGGTGACCATTTCCTGGAGGCAAATCGATTTTGTAACATTTTCTCTTCTAACGGAGTTTCCGACTGATAAGGCGATTGTCTTATGTCCAAACTTTTCATACACTCTTTCTACACGGGATTCAGAAACAGTGGACACGACCAAAGCGATTGCAGGGAGTATGGAACGATTTTGTGGACTGTCCTCTGTAAATGGATGGTAATTACCACGAAGAATTCCCGAACCAGTTTTGTTAATAACTGCACTGGAATAAAATAGAGAGGACCCTGATGAACTGGTTTTTAGCGCCCCTGTCGGTCCCGAGGAAGCAAAACGCACGCCAAAGACATCTCCAGGTTGAAGCTGAAATCTCTGATTTTCATCTTCAATCAAAATACGCTTGGGACCACTTGTTGTGTAGACCAGGTATTTATGGATTTGTTGGTAGTTAAAGTTTCCATAAGGCAGTGTTTCGTTTTTGCAACGCGACATACTTTGCACGACACACAGCCCGTCAGAGAAACTGAAGATTGCATCGTTGTCGCATGTTTTTTTCTCACTGCCTGTGCACATAGTGATGTCGCTGATACACGTCTTGGTTGATGTACAGTATTGTTGAGTAGAATCCGTGCACGTTGGTCGATAAACCTAGCGATGTAAGTGATTAGCGTTTACTACAAAAACTACAACATTGCTCAGGAAATTTGGATGACAGTTATTTCAAAATTACTCACAAATAAAATTTTGTTACAAAAATGGCAGCCAATAGTAACATTTGCATCACAATCTCGTTGCACTGGGCGATTTTTCTTACAAACTGCAATTTTCCGTTCGTCACAACACTTTTGCAGCCCTGAGATGATCATGCCTAGCGACAGTTTCTTCTCACAACGTTTCATTACTACTGCATCAGTTTTATAAATATAGGTAGCAATTTAATGTATTGGGTTGACTTCTTTTATCTTTTTTGCCACTTGTATCGAACAGGGCAACGAAGTTCCAAGAGAATTGCATGAAACCTCTTCCTTAGTGCCCTGTTTTGATTCCTGTTTGATTCAGCTAGTATGTCATCCCCCCCTCCCCCCCCCCAGAAATCACTCTTCCTCACCTCAGTCTTTACTAGCTCAGTAGTTGGAGCATCCGACTAGGGTGCTGAAGGTCCTGGGTTCGAATCCCACCTGGATCTTTTCTGCATTCGGGCTCTGTGATTGATTCTTATCTCCGTGGCTTTTTCATTGTTATTGGTTACTTACATCAACCAGCAGTGGGGTGTTTTGTAAAGTAAAGATCAACAATGAGTTCTATTTTCAAAACACTTTATCATTAGTCTATTGGAAGAGTACCATGATTTCTAAAGACCCTCCTGTCTCAACATCCATTTCCAGGGCAACAGCTTCTCCTTTACTTTTGACTTCCGTACCCGCCATCAGATATAACCCGTCAGATGTAATTGGCGAGTGTGCTTCCCCAGCTGGTGTGCCTACAGTCAGTACTGCTGCATCTGTGGATTGAAAAACAGGTCCATTAATTGCATAATCAGCAAATTCAGCAGTAGTGCATGAAGGAAAATCATATGACCCCGTTTTAAGACTAATCTCATCTAGGACTGGTTAAGGCTTTGCCCGGCTTAATTTGCGCCTGAAACTATATTTGCACCCAGTAGGGGACTAAATGTTATATCTTATTGACCTGAAATTCATCGTGAAATCACAGTGGTGGATTAAGACTGTGAACAAGATAATATGAACAAGTGTTGATAGGTTCTCACTTTGAAGTTTAGGCTAGCTCTATCCCCAGAATCCTTATCTTTGCATGTCCGAAATATAGTTACACTAATTGAATATCATAGTGGGGAAGGACAGGAAGTAGTAGCCCGGGAGAATAGTGTGTGGGAGGGATACAAGAGGTGGGAAAGGAAAGGGCGAGAGGTAGGAGTTTTAAAAGCATGGAAAGTGGGATAAACAAAGGGAAATTGCATGAGAATGCTTACTATGTCGCAATCGAGAAATGGCTATAGGAAACCAAAAAAGGGCGGAAGTCGGGAATGCAATGTATAAGACGCAGAAGACTTTGACCCCATTTAAATCCCCCTACCACGATACACTTTCTGACTTATCAATCAAAAGATTCCAATCAAAATAATTTGCTCTTTCATTAGAGACCTTAGTGTTCGAGGACAAGAACGACTACGAGTACCAAATTTGATTTAATTTTTTTCCGCGTATTGTCAAAAAAAGACAGCAGGACTATTTTTCACCAAGAAAGTTAGCACCGTTATGTCTCAGGGCTACCCCCTCTCTCCATCGCAAGAAAATAAAACCTCGAACATTTGACAACTTTTTTCTACCACTTCGACATACTCGCAAAAACTCGTAGTTAGGTCACGACTGCTATCGCGTTTTCCCGCTAAAATGATGCTGGTTTACGTTTGCGCAACACTTCGTACTGAGAAAATCTCGTCCTCGTCTTAGAATCTAAAGGTTTCTGTTAACAGAAGTTAGTGCAGCAAAGTTGTAGTAATGTTTGGGTGTTAACACTTACCAGGCAGTGAACCACTGTCTGGACCTTTTCCGTCCCCAAACTGCACTGAATAATTCACGTTAGAACCATAACGGAACATCACAGAACAACCGGCAGAAACGTTCACAGGAGCACAGGATTGGCAAGACATATTAAGACCTGTCAATTCAGAAACTACTCTCCTAGTCTCCACAGGAGATTCAATTGTTGATCGATAACCTGTTTTACTATGTTTTACGATTGCTGTTCCTTTGATGTAGTAACTTCCGGGATGCAGAATTGCTATGGTTGCAGGGGAATGCGTGGTGTAATGAGTTGTACCATCCCCGATGTTAATCGTGTAGGACTCAACGGTTTCATTTGCTGATAACATCGGCGTCAATGTTATGTTAAAAGCCTTGAAGGTGTACACAGAGGAATCCAAGGACATATCTAGCCTCCGAGGCCACACCGTAACTGACTTGAAAACAGAAATGTGACTTTTTCCTCCGCATTTAAGATTTCCAGAACCAAAACAGGGCCAAAAGCACATGTCAGCGGCACCTTCAGCCGCTGGGGAAGTGGAGTTAGAACACAAGCACAGCATTCCCCCCTTTACTGCTGCATAATTGTAGTACCAAGTGCCGCACTCGTGCATGCAGAGACCTGGGGTCATGCTGCTTGGCTTGTATCCACCGGGGTTAAAAACAAAAGCTGGCGATGTGTCACCGTCCTTGTAGCAACCCAGGTACTGGTAAGGAACTGTAGGTAAGAAGGATAAACATTCAGGCATTAATAATGATAAGCTGAGAGACTAAGATCAACAATTTCTGAAATCACTTTGATGGACTATGGAACGCAAACGCAAAACTGAAGAATTTTTGGCCGTTAGTTTCCTTCCGTGACGAGGACAGCAACGAGAAAGTCGTAAAAGCAACAGTTTTAATAAGCAAAACAAGAACTTTGCACGTGCATTACGCTTTTTGACTTTGTACATTTCTTTGCCGTCACTGCATGACTACGACTTGAAAATGACTGATTTCACGTTTTATAGAGGAAGTACACAAGCGACAGCGAAATTCCATCTCTCTTTCTGAACTTGGATATGATTCTTCGGAATTCAACTTCAGGGGTAGTTACCTACATTTGACAAAGCTAGTGACTTTGCGTAATCGCGATGAAGGTTAAAAGAACGCGAATTCATTTTTTCAGCGACGTTTTCGCTGCCGTCCTCGTCCTTGGATCTTAAGGTCCCTACAGTGAGTTGTAATGATTTTCCAAGGAATTTGCTGTGCCGCATTGAAAGCAATATGATTATATTAGACACTCAAAACACCAGCTGCTCGGCGTTTATAAAGAGGCACTGTTGACGGGTAAAAAGTCCCCAAATGTAGTAAATGTTTAAAAGAAATTCTTGGCACAAAGCATAAAAAAGAGAGATTTTAATTAACAGCGAAAAAACCGCCGTTTGAAAATTTATCGTGAGCTTGAAACATTACCTTGTTCACAAACGTATCTCAATGTGTACGATGAGCATGAAGTTTTGCTCCAATTTCCACTCGATTCCATAACAACACAATCACCACTTGATGATCCGTTACTCCATTTCTCATAAGAGACCTTCATTCCGTCTCTCCAGTAATATAATACATCGTTTGGCTTTCGTTTAAGTCCAATCCAAGCATCCCCTTTTAGCAAGCTACGAACAAAAGCATTTTCTTCTTCTGATGTAATCTTCACCAGATCAGCTGTTTCATTAAAGCATGCTTCACGAGCTGCGGAAGCTGAGAGGTTTGAAGGCGACACCTTGTAACAGGAACCATCGAAATATTTCCAGCCCACGGGGCAGGAGTCTGGATCTGTGAACATCATAGATAAGAGTGACCGCTCATCAGCTCATAAGAAAAGTGCACTTAGCTAGGCCTTTTATCTCACGTCTCAAGCCTCTGTTTCAACGCGAGGCTGGAGGCGAACCAATTGTTATAAAAGTAATTCTATTATAATTCACATTTTAACAAGAAAGGTTTTTGCACTTAGCCTCACTTTAACAGTGAGGCTTTTTTGTCAAATGGCCTTTTACCTCATTATTTTTCTCCTTTTTCGCGATAGAATTTTTGACTATGTTGGGAATAAACATGACAGGCACAGCATTTCTTGATCTTAAATGAACACATTGAAATAATCATACGGTGCTTCTTCTAATACGTGAGCTTTTCAAACGCCTTCTTCGTTTCCAGAAAAAAAGAGGAAACTACATGACATCGTCATGACAAAGGTTAAACAAGTGTGAACTGTTCATAACATATCTCGGTCTGCTCGGCTCGCTTTAATCGCGAATTTTACCCTCTTTTCCCCAACTACGGAGCCCCAATCTCCCAGGCTACCCCCGGCAAAATAATGTTAAACTGTTTTTCATGTTTCGTTATTTTTTTATTATTGACAATCATAATGTTGCAATGAGGGTTGATCTACACAAACCTATTGAAACAAGTTATAAAAAGTGGACTCACCATTGCATACATGAAGTGTTTTCATCCTTTCCTCACTTATTTCCAGTTCCCAAATTGCAACATCTCTGATTGCACCACTGAAATATTTAGGTCGACCAATCGTAAAAGAACCGTTTGTCACAGCTGAAGGCGTGACAGTCTTGCCACTGAAATCATACAACACAGTAGCTGCATTACCGACTATAACAGCAGTCAGGCCATTTGCGTAGCTCCACCCAATGGAAAATGTCTGCCAGGTGTTCCTCTTAAAGGCTCCTTTAACCTCCCACTCCTTGTGTGTGTCCTTAACAGTAAAATACATGGTTTCGTCGACATAAAAGATGCTTACTGTGCCAAGGGATAGCAAATATCCGGTTCCAGTTCCAGAAATACTGGCTTTGAAGCTTAAAGAAAATCCATTGGGACACTTGGAAGGAATGCTTAAGCAGCTGTCTGAAAGGTCGCCAAGGTCTACCCAGGAAGCGGAGCTGTTGATGGAGAGCGCCAGAGGTGAAAAGTCAGCTTTAGCGGCTGCGCGCTCTGTGATCCATGGACCGTGAATCTTTCCGATTTTGCCGTTGTTTATGTCCTTTACGAAAACAGGCTTGTCCAGTGGCCAGTAGTGAGTCGCATCCTTATAACATTGATCTGTTAAAGGCATGCAATGAGAATGCTATGCAAAAATTGCGAAAATAATTCTCCCCCACTCCGACTCAATTTTAAACTGAGAAAACAGCCGACATTTAGCAATGTCCCTGACGGTTTTTCCCGCGAAATGATCTCTGAGGAACGAGCGCAAAAATTTCATACTGATGACGTGTTACTACCCAGTTCTGGTTAGTGCTTCTGATTGGACAGAGCAAATTTTCAACCAATCACAAGCACTACCCATATCAGGGTGTGACACGTCATCAGTATGGAATTTCTGTTGTAGTTCCTTGAACATCTTTTCCCGGAGAAACCGTTGGTGGAGTCCTGAAATGTCGGCTGATTTCGTAGCCTACGTTAATTTATAAGTCCCTTTGGATCAAAGAATTAGAATTTCCCTAATTCCCAATTCCAAAAGAAAAACCCTTTCCATGCTTTATATCAGATGATACTTATCTGAGAGTTGCTATAAAATACCAATTTATCGAAATAGTGTACAAGACAAGCCTGGACATGCGCTTTCAAACATAGTCTATGTTCTTCAGCTATCATATCAATTAAATTAGAATTTTAATTTTTTTTGTTTTTGAAATTTGTGGTCCAATACTTAATCACATGTTTTCGGAAAATTACTCACATAAATTTCCCTCCAGTTATGAGCAAAAGCGATGTTGAGGAAAACAATTTTCCGTCATATAATACGCCAAATCCACCCACCCGCCAAATATAAACTGTGTAACCTTTTCCTGAATTGTACGACAGAAAATCATCATTATCAGTTACCCTGATAAACTGGAAATTTTTAAAACGTATAAGAACGTGACCAGCGATATTAAAAATGAGTTCTTTACCTGTACGTCCACACACATGAATAATTGCCGTTGATGTGGTCGTAGAGAAGAACACGTATTTCACGTTAATTGGATCACTATCTCTCCAAAACAGGTAAAGCTGTTGAAAAAAACGATAACATTTGAGACAGTGAATCAATATATGATTCTGAAAAGTATAGTTGTCTAGTCTACTTGGGGTATAAATACGTGCTACATGATAATTAAGAGAAAACATCAATTACAGTGAATCCTATACTAAGCGGCTACTTACCGTTACTTCCAATGTGGCCGCCTAAAAGAGGTTCAGCTGCTGAACTTAGCCCCAAACCTTAAACCACTGAACTTTTATGTTATGCCATAGTCTACTAAGCGTTTCGAAAATAAGGGTAATAATAACGATGATCTTTGACAAGAAAATGACAGAGGTTGAAGGGGCTATGACACGCTAAGACTCAAAGACGTATCATACACGAGGGTATGGGCGAGGGTCGTACGTGGAACGCGTCGCAACAGCCGTATCTCAAATAAGAAATATCGACCAAGTAGTTTCTCTCTTGCAAAAAACTAATCATATACTCTGTCAGACATACCACTTCTCCAGAACCAAACACTACTCTGTCCGATTCTACTTCAATCCAGAATGACCGCATCTCGTTTTCCTTTAATGGCCCCGTAACGTGCTTCACCAACAAATCAGCAGTAATGTTGCCTTTGATACGTTTTAGTTTGAGCTGGTTATCCTCCGCAGACCCAATGATTATCTCATAACGCGAGCTAGTGACAAGCGATCCACTTGTTAACAGAACGGTAACTTTTCTCTGGGCGTCAATCATGAATTGAAACTTTCGGCTGTGTAGACGGTAGTGAGACGATTGGTTGTTGCTGTTTAGGAGGACAGCGTCACAAAGTGACTCTAAAAACACACAAATTCAAATTCCTTCAGATTCCTTCGCCCTGATTGGTAAAGGATTGTGTCATAAATACTTTATTATCCTCTCCCCTTATGGGGCTTTTCAGATAGAAATAATTCAAATGGAAAAAATATGGTTAAGAATCCTAACTGGCCAGAGGCGATTTTACAAGCTTAGCGGAGAATTTAAACTTGGGACTACCGACTAAAACTCCAGCTAGGGGTCAGGGCGAGACGTCCGGGTTACATGAACAGCGCTCCACCACGCTGCCCTAATAGATGAAAAAAGGAACTAAGGCTGATATGAATTTATAACTTGTTTACTTATAGAAAATGCAAAAGGAATTCTGACAAGAACTTAGAGTAAAACCACGATATAGAGACTGTTAGGTGCACTCCATAGCACACTATCCTGAAAGTAAAACTCGCATACATCGACAATCAATGTAAAAATCTAAATAAAGATATGGCCACCGCAGTTGTAATTGCAATTTAAGAAATTTTAAGTCGGAAAAAAGTTTTGGGCTTTTGAACGGAATGCGAACTAATGGCCTCTGCATTAGCACTGCAGTGCTCTACCAAATTAAGTGATCTATGAAGAGCCATACATTGGGAGCAGGCCAATTTTTTGAGTTCATCTTCACCAGCGAAACGAATGAAACTTGGAATGAAGATGAATTCATTTAGCTCTGAATTCCCGCAGTTCACATCATCTTCTTTCTGTGGTCAAAATCAAGCTGTGTATTACTTTCTTCAAAGATTTCTTGCCGCTCTTCTCAGTATTGATCTTTTAACATTCAAAGATTGTTAAACTGCTAATTCGTGGCAAAGTAAAAAGCACACTTTTCACAAACATAGCCGAACGCCAACAAGGTCCAAGAATGGATCAAAATTTAAATGAACTTATACAGCTATTTCGAGAAAGGTTGTCGGAAAAATGTGCACGCGACAATCCCGAAAGGTAATATGGGATATGATCGATACACTGTTTCTGACGACTTTAGCTGTCGAACCTACTTTTGTTGCTTTCCTTTAGCACTCGCAAACACATTTTCGTAGCCTTTCGTGCCAATTCTTTCAAATTTCTTTGAAGAACAGTGAACTCAAAACCACCCACAATGCCTTTCGGGATTGTCGCGTGCACTTTTTCCGACAACCTTTCTCGAAATAGCTGTATACAACATATCTTTCCTTTCAAACATGTTGCCTAGTCCCTAGGCCTCATTATTAAGCGCGGCCGATGCGTTTCGGATCACGTGGTCAGAGAAAGTTTTTGAGGCCTAGACAAACTCGGAGAAGTGAGACATTTTGTCTCACTTGGGGCGGAGCTTTTGGAAGCGGGCGAGCTGTCAATAATTTTTCCGCGCTGTTGAAAGATGTTCAGCAGCCATGGAGAGTACAGATCGATCGAGGAACGAGCATTTTTATTCTATGCACGTTTTCATTGTTGAAAGTCGTTTGGCCTTTCTTTTTCATTTATCTCATTAAACTAATTTGAACTTTATTTCATCTCAAAAGCTATTTGTAGGCTAAGCAAGACAGCGTCGCAAAAAATATATTTGATCAAGAATCGGACGGTAAGCTAAAGAAATAAGTTTATATTTATTCTTGGATATGACAAGCTATCTTTCGTTTCTCTATTTTCGCTTGCTGCTATAAATTTCTCGTTATCATTTCACTTCGAAATACTTTATGTAATTTAATTTTTGGATTTGGAAGCTTATCAAACTAATCGGACAGGCTGTTGAATTTGGTCTCTAAATTTGGTAGAATGTCAACAAACTGTTGTTTCAAATCTTTTTATCAATAAAGACTATCATAGTTATGGTTCATTTGAAGATGGACTAAAAGAGAAATTACTTGCACGTTATACATTACTATTCTTTCCGATTCAAAGTAATACTTTTGTTCTTTTATAACACGAACTAGGTTAGTTACTTTTGTAATAGTCTCAAGAGTGCCGATCTTTAGGGAAGGATATTCACGCGCAAAGTTATTTATAGATTATTTCAGTTGACTGTGTGAACTTTTCAAAAATGCTCACGCATGCGCACTCCGTGATTGTCTAGGCGTCTCCGGGTCGTTCGTCTCGGATACGTCACCGAAATGTATTGACCGAGAGGGCCTGAAAAGACGCCGTACAGGGACTAGGCAATCAAACATGGAGGATATCTTTTCCAATGAACAGAATCGTTTGTTGACTCCTTTTGTGTTTATCTGTTCAGTTTTAAAAATCACTTACTTTGATTACAATATTCATTGTAAACCTCTATTTCTTGGATTCCAACTCCGCCGCTAGCCCCATATAATTTCTTGACTGTAAACTTTATCCATTTTGCCGGGCGAGATAGAAAACTTAACTCTTCAAAATGGGAACTGTTCGCCTTTAATGTAAACTGCAAAACACAATAAAAGTATCAAAAGGACGCTAGTTTTGACCAAAACGTGGTTAATAGCTCCACCTCTGTTTTCAGTTCACATATACCACATACGTTACACATCGATAATGAGTTTGAAGGTGACCCAAAGCCCGTAAAATAAATGGACTGAGAGCGGTAGCTACTATCACCAAGAATGACGTCCGAGGTTACTCTAAATACTTAGTTTTAAGAGTGAAAATCACACGCATTGTTGTTCTCCTGTTCCATTCAGGCGCTTAACAGAAAGGAAGCATAGTCATGAAGCTTTATAAAGTCTTTTGTTTGTCTTACTATTATTGTTGTTGCTGTTATTATTATTATTATTATTATTATTATTATTATTATTATTATTATTATTATTATTATTATTATTATTAAAGGTCTTTTCTTATGTGAAAAATATTGAAACATTAAGAATATCATAGCCGGCTCTTGTAAAATATTAAAACGTTAAATAAAAAATAAAGATGTTTCCGTTTGTCCTAAAATTTTGTCCACCATTCTGTTTAGCTTAAAATATATGGCAGAATCATAATACAATTTTCAATAAAAGTTTCAATGAAATTTTTTTCTAAAACCGAGAACTTTAGCAAGAATCCTCTTGAGCAAGAATTTGAAACTGCGCGCAATGTTTAATGTACTCGATATGACTGATCTCTGCATTCTTTGTAAGATGGTGGCACTGTTCTCTCCAACAAGTTCCTTCCAGAACATCAATAATGATGTCATTCTGTTTTACTTGCTAGCCAGGATTTTTCTCTCTCAATTCCCACATTAGTAGACAATATTACTGTGTCTTCTCCATCTCTTTCACTTCGCGGTACTCCAACCAAATAGGGCAGCTCATTTTAATGGTAAACACTCGTTTCTGCTCTTTGTCGACTATTCTGGTGTCGATTCTGCGGGTCCTCACCTCAGTGCTGTCTGCATAAACCGGTACATCCCATAATGCTCGCACACTCCCACATCTCATACGACGGTTTGGGTTGAGTCTTTTAATACCATGGAGGTACTTCTGAAATAAGTTCCTTCAGCAACTCAAAGAAGAGGATTTTAGGAGCTCAGTGGGTTATGCCTCGCGAGATACTTAGTTTGAGGGAGTTTCCCACACCCCGCCAACACGTGCGGCACATTCTCGTGCAATTTATACCACACATTCGGCACATGAATGTGAAGTTCCACTCCCTTTTCCAGTTTGTCTTTGGTGGTATAATTTGGTTGGAAACATCTGTTGGTACAATTCCTGCGTGGCTGCTGCTATTATCAAGAGCCGAGTCCTCTTATCTATATTTAGTCAGTTTCCCTTGCCATTTCTCTTCTACCAGTGTGTCACAAAAAGTTTTCTATTGTGCTTTGGCAAGAGTGGTCTTTTAAGCTTTTTTCCTCCTATTTCGTCACCATCCTCTTTAGTAGCCCTTGGATTAGGATGCTGTAAAATTAACGTCAGAGTTAAGTGTAGCTCTGAGGCACACTTTTCAGCATCTTTGATGATTGAGTGACACCCGGTCTGCCCTGCCTTCTCTTCAAACTTCCTCACTGCGCTCATGATCGTATCTGAGATCTCAAATAATTTTACAACCGCTTTGATCTTAGTAATTTTATACTTCGCTCAACACATGATCTAAGGCCTCTTCCACCGTTCTTTCTTGAATTGTAGAGTTGCGCTATCGATCCCAGCGGGGGTGATTCCCATCATTCTCCACGATAACTTTACGCGCTTTTCTATCCAATTGCTGTAAGTCGGCAAGTGGCCATGTCTGGGTCCACATGAAATACGTTAAAAGTGGTAAAGCATACTGTTTCGAAGCAGCCACTCTGTGGTAGTCTGTGAGCGAGATAGACCTGATAATAGATAACCTTTGCAAGTACACCTTCGCTTCATTTTGAAGAACAATTCGGTCTTCTTGTTTCACATTTTTCAATACTCCCAGAAACGTGTAAGAGCAACCTTCTTCCAAACTACCATTTGCTTTAGCATTGTCAATCTCCAAGTTTTCCGCCCTTGAATCAAACACCCTCTGTTCACATAAACAGCCGCGCACTTCTTCTCGTTCCACTTTACATCCACACATTTCATGTCATCCTTAACAGATCTTAGAACTCTCCGTTGCTTACTTTCCGACGATGCAAATACCTTTAAATCATCGATGACAATAGATCTGTTATCTTCAGACTAATCGGTTTGTACAACTTGTACCCTTCCGTTGCTTTGAGCTTCTAAGCTGTAGGATTTAGGCATAAGGTGAAGGGCCTCGGACAAAACGCATCAACTCGATGAAAGTTATAATTTTTGACGCTTCCATCCCTTGATTTGTCTTGACCACGATTCTAGTGTTCCACCTATTACTCAACTGCCGTATTGCTACGTCCAACCACCGAGGGGATTGATGAAGCTCAAACATCTCTCCTAACCATATGTGATCTACCATGTCAAAGGCTTTTCTAACATCGACCCAGGCCATACTGAGATTCCGCTTCCCCCACTGACTGTCTTGACACACCATTCGGACAATAAGGAAGTTGTCAAAAGTTGCACTGCATTTCTCTCTTGCACCCTGCTGCTCGCGCTCCATGAAGCCATACTTCTCGAGGTGACAATTCACTGGTTTTAACAGGCGCGAAGTAAACAACTTGTAGAGGGTATTTAATCGGGCGCTGATTTTCGCTGGAAAATTGACCTGGCTTCGACATCAATGATGTTTTACCGCTCGTAAACCACCAAGGAATGTCTTTGTGTTTGTTTGTTTGTATTAATAATGATAATAACAATTTTATTTAACTTTAACAAAACTTTAACAAAATATGTACACAATTTACAGAAACATTTGAAGCAAGAATTAAGCACTATATAGCATTAAGAATTATATAAATCCTAAAAATAACAATCGCTGTGTCAATGACGATTTCGCAAATACATTCCTTGCGGCTCTGATGCGTTCAATAACTCTTGCAAACAGTCCAGAGTTTTTCAATTAAGTCATTTAACAAAAGAGAATTATCCGTCTCTGATGTTAAAAAGGAAACAAGTTAAAAAGAATAAAATCTCGTATTCCTAAATTCCTAATTCTTTAAAAAGTTCTTTAGAAAAAGATCAGTTCGGGCAGGCTCTAATATTATGGATCTGTAGGTCTGAGTCAACAAAGTCTAGCCCAGTGTCTTCTTCTGGATCTTGAGCCTCTCAAGCATAGTATCGCAAAGCGTACGATGGCGAAAGACACTTTAGCTCTTTTCCAGGAAATTGCGCTTGAGTAACTTTCTCCCTTCTTATTCGCGATCAGCTCTTCTGTGGAACCTAACACACTCATCCGCCATTCCACCAGTGGTCGTGAAAACTAGGGAAGTGAACGTTCTTGTTTGATATCCATTAGTCTTTCCGCATACTGCCTCTTCTTCTCGTTCTCATGATTCATGTAGATCTGCTTAGGAGTCAAGTCTCTGTAAGAGAGGGTGACACACCCGAACGTCGAAGAATGCAGATCTCTGTCTCTCCCAAAAACCTCGAGCATGAATATCCAAACGGGCATCAGGGGCCTTGTTCGCGCCATGATTTAATGTCTCCCCAGTGACCTCCCAAAGGACTGGCTCTACTTCCACAACAGTACAGACCATCCTTAGCATCTCTGCTTCCAAGTTGCGCAGTTCATAATGGCGCTGGATAATGAGCCCGCCGCACTGACACACTATTTCGTGATCCGCGCTAAATTGAACACCGCATGCGCAGAGCATTTGCGTGTCCATTATTTCCCAATTGTACCGTAACTTGATTGCATCTCTAAATTCTTTCTTATTCAGATTATAATCCAGCTCTTTGAAGGGAATCACGGTCAGCCAATTTGATGATCCCTTCTCTGTAGCTAACTCAGCAGCACGCTTAGCTTTTGTCGGCAGGGAGTTCTTCACTTGCTCCAGCCTCTCACTTAGACAGTCGTCTTTTTGTTTTCGCGTTTTCAGTTAAAGTGTTTGAATTTCTGAGGCAGGTGGAGGCTGGTACGCTTGCTCAAAAATTCGCCTCACGAGTGGATTAGTAACTTTGATTGAAGCCTCGTATTCAGAAGATGGGATCACTACAGAATCTTGTAAATCCAAGGCTTCCCATGCGCAGAGGGAGACCAAGGAGGTCGCGTTCAACTTAAGTGACTGTATGTTCAGTGACAGCTGGTAACAATGATAATATTAATAATAATAATAATACTATTGGACCACTGCTTCTGAGCTATCGTGGGTTGGTCGTACAGCGGTGAACTCTAATTATCTTTTTAAGGAAGCCGTGAAGGGGAAGGACAGTCATTGAGTGCCTTCTTTACTATTCACTAAATTATTTTGTTATAAAAATACGATTCTGTTAAATAAAATTTAAAGTTGAGCCAAAACCTCTGTAGGATAACTACGCCACCAAAACTTTGTTCTCGCTGCCTCATTTCATTCTGGCAAATTTCATATTTCGACAAACAGCTAGCACTTATTCATGGAGACGGATTTTAACCTTTCAATAAGACTTCGAATATTTCAAATGTCAAGAAAAATGTCTACATTGCCTTAATCCGAGAAAAGCAAAACTCAAAAGGTTACCACTGAAAATAGAGAGGATTTACTAACCTTCTCGTGTGAGCAGTCACTGAACTCCAGCAAAATCTCTTGAATCTGCTGCCCCGTAGTCACACTTTGCTGAATTCGCAGCTTGTTTACAGTAAAGCTGGTATGAAATCCAATTTTTAAGTAGGAATTGATAACGCCGCTTGATTCCCAGGCCGTAGTAGAATTGCCGTCAGTAGCATTTCCACAGTCACCACTACTTGAATTCATACAGCTGCCACCGTACCTTTGCGAAGCTACGTTGAATGGACTGCACGTTGTGGAAGCTACAAAAATAAAAGAAACTATACTCAGCGGAATTTAACTTTGGAACTACCACTAAAACTGTAAACGATGGTTGACCTTAGCTATACAGATTTTACAAGAGGGTCGGTTGCCAGATATGCTTAGCTAGTAATATAGTACGGTTTGTTTAACTCTTGTTTCCATTTGTACGATCACTGAACCGGAACCTAAGTACCCAAATCTCATTTATTGTAGATGTTTATAGTTTAGGATTTCTGTCCATTGATTCTCGACAAGTAAATAGTACATATCATTGACAGCAATGGGGAAAACAATCTTTACTAAGACTAAACAACGTTAATTTGAAGTCACAAACTCCTTTACACAACCCTATCCCTCTCCACGTTTTCCTTTTCCACAAATTTATTGTTTCTCCTCCTGCTAACCCCCTTCGTCCTTTTCTAGATTTGTATCATTTCTCTACTTCCTTCTATGCCACGTTCCACTACCATCACCACCTCCGGCTCATGTCCGTTGTCTTTTTATCAGTTTAGGGGCATAATCTGGTTTTAGGGGGGAAATGAGGTGATTTGAGAAGGAAAGAAATTAGGGTAGAAAAGGCATACATATAAACCAGTTAGTTCTCTTATTATGGGCTCAGAGACACCTTGTTGCGCTGGTGGAATATCTGGTATTTGTTTGGTAATTGATGATCTTCGTTTTTTTAACTTTCAACAACCCACGCAATGTTTTTCACTGAGTTTTTCTAAATTTTAAACATTCTCGTCTCCATTTTTATTTATTAGAAAACATTCAAAAACTCATCTAAAAATTTTCAAACATCCATATAACCAATTAATCTACCGTCCTTATGGACCCATTTTTTTAATGATTTATATCTCAATAATATAATGATACTAATTTATAAAAGCTGAAAATACCAGTGAGGATAAATTTACAGAGCTTGAAAATATTATTAATACATGTACAAGAAATAAAAGTTAAAACTCTAAAACTCTAAAACCAAAACAAGATAAATTGACAGAGAGGAAAAGATTTTTGTTTTCATTTTTTCAAATAGCTATTGACGGCCACTTTCGAATGCAGAGATCAAAATATTCCATAGCCTTGGCACAGCAGTGCCGAACGCCCCGGTGGTCTCCATAAGTCTTCAGAGGCACAGTAAGCAGTTCTTGGACACTGGAACGTAATGATCGAGAGAACTATGGACGTCTCAAATCATGGCAAGATTTGGAAGAAAAGGGCAGAAATAACACAAAAAAGGCCCTTTGTTAAAACAATAAAATTAGGTACATAAAAAAGTCGAAACTAACCTGATGGCACGTAAGAACAATTGATAGGGATAAGTGCTGCAATTGTCGTGGGAACTGCACTATCATTATTCTGCAGTTCTTTTTTCCAATCCACGGTGTTTTTTCCTTTGTATCCAATGGAAGTGAACGAATAGTTGGCGCCAAGAGAGGAACTTGACTGTATTCCCACCTCTTTCCAGTTGGTTAGTGGGGAGATCTTCGACTCTTACTAAACCAGACTTTTGTATTGCAATCAACACTACTGTATCCTGGGGCAGACCACTTAGAAAGGTACCTAACTCATTGCATTTAGCCTGGCTGGCAGCACAATCGAATGCAGCTGAAGTTAGAAACCGACCTGGATAGGAGAAGGCATGAGAGATGTGATGACAACTGATCACGTTTTACTTTATTACCAAGTGGATATCTTTAGCTTAGGTTTCGCTATCAAATGAATAAATGAGCAAAAGATGTAAATATCGCTATTTCGCGAGCGTCAGAGAGGGAGACAAAATATTGAATCCACGAATGGATTCGAACTCATAATTCCCAAACAGTGACAGCCGTAGCTTTCTATCCACTCATGATCTACAGAAAGACTCACAAGCGTGAGGTAAAGAAAATGTATTCTAGTATCCGACAGTTTCTAAGCATATTATTACGCCCTTTTAAGAACGGGCCTAAAGGATACGCCGTTGGGAGAATTCCAGCCATTAAGGCCCCGGAATCATTCTGTAATTCAAATGCTGTTTTCCTGTGTTCTATTTGCAATATTCTTTGATTATCGATTTACCTGAAAGATGGTCAAAAACAGCTACATTGAAACCCTTAGTCTGTGGTGCGTAGTTTTTCCCATTAACTGTGATGTAAGCTAAGCCGTTCGTGGAAGGAGTTTTTCCGGTATCATTGGTCGCTTGGGATGTTAGACTGACATTTAGGAGCTTGATCACATCTGTTAAAACAGAAACAGATATCGTTCAACTAAATAAAATCTGAACTATGCGGGAGGCACAGTTTCAGGGGGAAAATTGTTTCGGTATCTTAGGCCTAGGCAAAGCATTCGAACTTTTTATGAGACGAATCAAACTTAGTGAGTTAAGTTCAAGAAAAGTTCTTCGTCTGGCTCAGTTGAGTTAGTCTAAATGAGTTTGGAGCGTCCAACACGTTCTATCCATCTGCATCAGACTAATAAAACGTCTGAAAATCGTCTCCGGGACAAACGTCGATCTTCACATGCGACAAACTAAACTAATAAATTAAAAATTTGTATGATAATGTATATTTAGCCTCTTTCGGGAGACAATTTATTAAAATTTCTTTTTGGTCAGATTCAGTTGATTGGTTCGACGCGTCTCAAGATTGAAGAAGATCTAAACTTAAGTTGACTCTAAGTTAGGTCGACCCAAATTAAAGTTTAGTTCGTCTCTTGAAAAGTTCGACGTTTGGCCTGCAGGGGCACCCAACGACCGTTTTCTATAAAATATTTCTTCGAAGATACTTGTCAAATTGCTAGGACTCATTACAAGTATTTCCATAAACCGTTTAGGTGCACGTGTGAAAAAAAATTCACCCAGGTTGAAAGTAATTATTGAGGACACTACTTTTATGCCTCCTACAGGAGAAGGGAGGCAGCGCCATTTTACGAGCCACGCGAAGGTCTAGCCGTTTGCAGGACAAACCTGAGGTAGCGCTTCATTTCTCAGTTATTTTAGAACCCTAAGTGTTGGTTCAGCCCAGGGAATCGAGCGCACGACCTCCCTCTCTGCAGTCAAGCGCGCACTCTACCTATCTGAGCTAATTAATCCTGCTGTGGTTTTAGTTAGACGGAAGTAGTCAACAATAGAAAAATAATTATTAGTTATCAATAGATACAGTTGAAAACGATGAAAGCACGACTTGTTACAGACATTTCAGACATTTCATTTCATTTTGTGAATGAACTTCAAGACCAGTTAAGATAAGGGTTAAAATTACGGTCCAAAATTATCCGGCGAAGAATGTCGTTGCTTCGAGTGAATGTTTACATCTGGTGAACTACCATACGCGGACATATGCATCTCTCTATACATCAAGCAACAACGTACGTCAATACTAAGCCCCATGACGATTTGCAAATGGCTGGAAGAAGTTTCTTTTTTGTGACTCCTTAAGCTAACACTTAACAAACACAATCCTAAGTTTATCCCTTTCAGCGATTTAAAGAAAAAGCAGAAAGCATTGAATTCTTGAGCGGTAAAGCAAAATGACGGGCGCTCTCCGTTTCGGTAATAAAAGAAACTCAGAGAAAGAAGTTTCCAAGCAAAAATTTCATAAGCTATCTACTTTTGGGAAAATGTGGAAATCATTCTACTAAGGAAGTCGAATACAAAAAAACGAAAAGTTTCCAGAAAATGTATTGGACACGTTTATGTGTACTCAGCGTGTTTCTCCTTTTTTCTCTAAAAAGGTTGGAAGAAGCAATTTTAAAAAACTTTCTATTCACTACTTAGAATTTTTGGATTACTAAATTGGATTTTTTTTGTCGTTGGTGCTTGAAATCGCCCAATACTCTAAACATACAGCACGTTTTCCCAACATCTCTTTACCATTCTCTGTGCAACTAAAACTTGAAGCTTTTATGGAATACATTACCTCAAAATTTCTCTATAAAAAGGTTTATTTTGTAATTTTTCAACCCGGTGTGAAAGTCAACTTTCAGCTCATTTACTGTACATTTTAATCATTTTCAGAGCAATTTTCCAAAAAACGTCGATAGAAGATAATTTACAATGGTATCCATAGTATTTCACTGCTCTAATAACATTTTAGATAAAAAAAATTATATATGTAAACGGGTCTATTAACCGTTAAGACGATACAAATAAGTAAAGAACACAGGCCGAAATAGTTCAACTCATTGCACTCGCACTCGCTCGCTATTGTTCAGTTTGTCTCCACTTTTCACACACACACATATCTGATAGATGAAAACGCTAAAGATTTCACTGCAGTGTGTTCGTTTCGACTCCGTGGTGTCAGTTAAACATTCTGTAAGGAATTTATTAACCCCTTGGCTACAGATCGAGTAATTTCTGGTCGATATGGAGCAATGCTGATTATCTATTTCTGAACCGACTTAGTTTTCAGTTAATAAGCAATCAAGTTAGACAGTATAAATAACGAATTCAGGAAGAACAGGTCTTTCCACAGATAACTCATTTTGCAAATTTTGACCAATACTGCCAGAGTTACACAAAACCCATACTAACATTTTGGTTGAAAGCCCACTGCCAGTTTTGCTTATATTCACCTACTTCTCTAAATATCCAGATAAAATCTCCCTTACATCCAATAAGCAAGAAAAACTATTCAAAAAAAATGTCGAAAATCTCATTTTTAGCCATTTCTATGCTAATTGGCGAAACCCAGTCCAGAAAGGAGAGGTAAAAAATGGATTTTATTCTTCTAAAATTCCGTATCCCAATGCATGGTAATGCAAATTTTTCAGCGTTAATTAGCTATTCCCCAACAGGTGCATCAGTCGTTGTTAAGTGGGACGTGTAAACAGGAGATTTTGACGCAATTTATCAGCAAACAGTAAAGTAAATTTATCATTTACGCACTTATACAGCGTTTTTTAATTTATAATTTTCACCTAGTTTTTATGATTCTTCAAAAATTACCTAAAATCGCTTTTCTTAAGAAAAACGAGGAGTGAGGAGAATTTCGATTTACGGCTCGCCTGAAGAACTAATTGATTTCAAATTAAACTGAAAAAGAAGAGTCTTTATAAACCAGAGAGCCTAAAACAATGAACCTAATGAACCAAGAAAAATTTTTTATCGACTTAAATTTCCTCGTAGCTATTACACTGAGGCAGCAAATCAAGAAATAAGGTAAAGAGAAACGTTGCCCGGATATGTTACTTTGAAAAACCCTAGAATCTTTTTGTCGTTGTTTTATAGGACACCTTGGAGATTGAATGGAAATATATGAAATGACTCATATTTCGAGTCTTGGAGCTTCCTGCTTATACAATTAACAGAGGGGTGTCATATACAAAAGCAAATTTGACAAGTTAAGATGTTAATATTAAGATTGACCGATATGCGGGTGATTTGGTAACTAAGGACAATTCTAAGACAAACATCCCCAATACAAACTTATAGAGAGAATTTAATAAAATCACGCGGTAGATGAAAGAATGAATATAACAGACTTGGACTACTTAAAACATTTAACCAAGCTGGCAAGTTTTCAACCATCAATTTCACAACCAAGTCATCTCTAGTTACCTATGAATGCGACCACATGTTGAAAATTGATATTATACGGCATGCTTCTATTTAAAAGGTTTCCTTGAGGCACGTAAGGGCACATTTTTGCATTTATTTCGTTTACTTTAGAACAGGTTATGTTTACATGTTGCAGAGGCAGTATCAGTTCCGATGAATTTGTATGCAGCTTTAGTATCATTTGCATGACATAGCTTGTAATTCAGATACTAGCCAGGTGGTATAACAGACCTGGTTCCTGAACAGACTAATTTCATTTGGGATAGAGTTCATAATACTGGCACAAATTCCCTCCATGGGTGCGAGTAAAGCTTTTTGTTTTAATTCCGACGTAAAGTTGCTGTTAGGGTTTACTGTGAAGGCAATGACTCAAAACTTTTCTCCTTTCTAGCTGAAAAATGTAGAAGCGTCTCTCGCGCCGTTCTATCTTGTAAACGTATCTCAGCGAATTTTCGAGATATATCGTTCGATAAGGGTCTTATCTTGCGCTTACACCCACTGATGCATTAATATATCTAGACACGGTAGATATGTTAAGTTTTCGAGTAGGTGCTAAGATATCCCAAGTATACGTAAGTGACCTTCTTTTTCACTGTTCGTTTCCCTGGTGAATTATGAAATGCTGTCAAGATAGTTATGGCAGTTCGCAACTGGAACACCTAACATGTTTTTTCTCTGAAATGAAATGTAAATTACGGTTGTACAAATGAATGCGGAAAAATATTAAGAACTTCTCGATTTAAAACTACGTTTAGGTAATTTTTTGAACAATCTTTACCTCGAGAGAACGCGTGCTAAGAATCCAGTGGCAAAATTCGCTGAATTTGGACAATTTGCTCTCTGTGCGCTCCATCTTTTCTTCCTTTAAGTGTAATTAATTCGACATGATTAAGATATAATTCGAAATCCGCGGTCCTGTCTTAACGGCTATGAGGTGCAAATGGAGTCGGGAATGACCCACTGATTACCATGAATACCAGTTGAGTAGCGAATCATGAATTTAAGCAAAAGTAGAATCTTGCACATTGGGCCGACGAACGAATACCCTTAGATCGGGTAAAAACACCGACAGCTGCAATTACAAAATACTCCTCATCTAGCAAATAACGGTTTTTTTTAAATTTGTTTTCAAATGTAATCTTGCCGAGGAATATGGAAGGAATATCACCTTGAAATAAAACGTGAAAATAATTATAGGTATTCGTTAGTCCAAGGTTTTTAATTATCGATTCGCGATCGATATTCTTCAGTGATTCTCCACACTTGGAAAACAGACCAAATTTTCAAAAACAATGTTCAATTTTTACATCAAAGAGCTTTCGAGCAGTTTATTTTGATGATAATATTATATATGCAAGTAAACAATTTCCCTTACCTATGTTTGGTTTATTCATTAACGTGAACTCTTAATTTTTATTTGTTAACCAGTCATGGCCGAATAGAAATTATTACAATGTTCCGGTTAATCGTTGAATACTACCCCAAAAGCCATTCTAAAGCCATTCTCGCCATTTGAAGCGGCGCTTTAAATTTTAAAAACGAGCAAGGAGATAAATGCGTGCCTGTTATAAAAACATCACCGTGGGTAAGAGGAAGTTAGAAGTTTGAAAAAGTCACCAGTGAGAAGTCTTCAGTTTTTCAGGGAAACATTGACAAATTGCCACTACATAATTATCCTTTTTATGGAAAATACCTTAGCTTACCTGTAGCATGATCGGACCAGTTTTCACAGGCAAACGAAAATTTTGTTAGCTGCAACGAAAACGTTAAATATTAAGTTAGCAGCCTCAATATCTAGCAAAGACGATTAGGGTTCAAACATGTCCAATTCACTCGAGAGAAACTCCTGTGACAAACTTACAGTGATGAAGAAAAGAAACACGAATGATGACTGTGATGGAAAATTCATTGCGCTTCAATCGTTCATGTTCATGTTTCCATTATATTTCATTCAACTCAGTGTTGTTCAGTGTGTCTGATAGGTGGGCAAAGTGAGTTTCATTATAAAAGTTCCTTTTTCTTGCGTTTATCTTGTGACAGTATTAAATTTCGTATACACCCCCCTAACACGTCATATATTTAAAAGCCATTTGATTGGCTACCAGGGTATTAATATTTAACGTTATTTTTAAAGACTTTGACTTGAAATGGCAGCTGCCTTTTAACTGAAAAGCAATTTTAAGGGCATTGCATGGCGAAGTAGCGAATTTATCACAAGTGTGAAATCAATGAAATATTCGAAATATTAATTTCCTACGAGTGGATAGGAAGGAAAATTTCAGAAAATTATCTTGTACTAAACAAGCCACAGAGTTGATTATTTCTAAAATTATTTTTAATCAACGGCTTCATTGAGTCTGATCAGCTGGAGGTCTCCATTATTCTCAGTGGTTATAAGAAGCACTCTCAAGGCATAACCAAGCCTGTTCAAAAGATCGGTCGTTTTTATATAGGTATACATTTCCTTCGAATTGTTTCTTTAATTAAACATAAAACTTGATTAAAAACTACATTGCTGCTCGTAACGCCCGTGTGATAAGGACAGAACCAGTACTGAATACCGATGATTCGATAGAGATAACACAGCAGCATGCTAGAGACAATGATGTCAAGTACATTATACTTAATCTGGATTTCAAGTCGCTAGAACAACGGGAAAAAATATGGTTTGCCTTGAGTTCTGATGTTGAGTCTTGAGTAGTTTGATGTGCTTGCTAGATTAATTTTCACTTAGTCATCACATAACTGCGAAATTTGATATTCTTGAATTATTCACAGTTCAGAAATTTCTAGCATAGCGCAAAACAAGAGGGATACACCGGTCTTCAGTTTGGAATTTCCCTTTATGATTCAACAGAAAAGCCGGGGAATGAGCCTGCTTCACTTTAATTTTTTTCGTTAAAAAACGCTTGGTGATTGAATAAATCAAGTTGCTTGTACATTGGAACCTTGATATAACAAACCACCAGTTAGCGAAGTCCTCGATATAACGAGCAAGAACGCTCTTAGTAGCGGTGAGACTCGCTAGCTTGGAGAAAAGTTTTGTTGTCAGTTGGTTATGCTACTTTTTCGTTGGGAAAACAAAACGAGTGTTATATGTCATAATGCAAATACTCAAATCGTAAAAATATGTAAGGAAAGACAGGCCGCCTGCGCATCTTAGCTTTACACCAATGTACTGAAGCCTTTGAAAATCTTTTGCATATTGATATTGCTCAAATGAGGAGAACTCTTTCAGGGATTTTACACTCAAAAAATTGAACGATGATTTTTACCAGTATAAATATACATGTATATAGCTTCTATGTAGCGGCCGAAGATACGGCTCGGTACAGATTTTGTTCAGCACAGGAAAAATGTGTAAGTTTAGCAGAACCTTATGCAACAGACAGTTGATTCAGTTCGCACGTATTCATGTTGAATTTGTTGTCCGTTCAAGAAGATATGAAAGTTGCGTGAAAGTAGTAATTACATATCCGTGGCTGAATGGTATTCGCTTTTAATATCTTCGTACACTGATGTTTACGCGATCTCAGAGTGCTAGCGCGAACGTTGAGTGCCGGAGGCACGAACTCCTAGGGGGCTCCGAGGGCATGCCCCCCTGGAAATTTGTAAAATTGGACTCTCTAAAATGCAATTGCCTGCGTTCTCTCGACCGGAATTGGGTAACCGGGAAGGCCTTTTAAGGCGTTAAAAAATGCTCACAAAAAAAGAAATATTTGACTTATTTGGCAATTATAATTATCAGTTTGCAGTTGTTCGTTTTTTCGTTGATTGCAAGGGTCGAGTCTTTCTTTGGTTAATAAATGGAAAAAAACGAGTTTCACACTTAAAAAAAAATTAAACAACCGGACGTTGCGTCCAGCGTCCGTCATGAAACGAAACCCCTGCCTATAAAAACAGCTGCAGTATCTTCGTGATATAGCTCCTTTAATCCCCCCCCCCCTGTTTTCTCTTTATGGCAGTTACCTCAAAAGTAACATTCCAAACTAGATAGTTGTATATAAAAGCGATTTTCCAACAGTTGTCTCAGTAACAAGGTACAAAACTATAAAATGTAAACAGGCAAACATGGCCGCCCGAGACTCTGCTACCCGTACTCACATATAGGCCACTGGACCAGAGTATTTGCAGAGCTCCCACCCACACCGGTCCGCCCGCAAGGGGGCCGACAGAACTCTAAAATTGTTAAAAGTACAGGTCATCAGTATATACAAACCGGAGGCTCGGTTTCCTCCCGCTTGGGAGATTCTTTATTCTTCTTCGAGGTAGAGCCTAGTTTTGGTGTAAAGGTAATTTCGCGTCTTACGCCGAGCATCCTAAGCAAGATGAGCCAAATGCACCTGCATACTATCGAGCACATTGCCTTTTAGTACTATTTTCCCTCCATGTGTGACTTGCCTTCATTTTATTTCGAGGGTCTCCTTAAGGTAGCAGTCTGGTATGGTTGAAAGAGCGGGGTGAATAGGCGAACGGATCGGCGGATTTTGAAAATATTTTTGCCCGCATTTTGGATTCAAAGCGAGATTTTAACGGATTTCCGGATCCTGCAATTGCAGCGGATTTGTGGATTCATCGACTTTTTAGGCCTGGATTTTGGACTTTGCGTGTAATAAAAATATTTTTGCCCGGATTTCGGATTCAGGGCGAACAAGGATCGGCGGATTTGTTCATTCAATATATTCCAAAAAACAAGAGTTCATTCAATCAAAAAATGCCTCAATTAAGTTTCAGTTTGTTTATTTTCCAGAAAAAAAATATATGTATACATACATTCCTTCCGGAATGAACGGTACAAAAATGCAACTGAGCTCAGCAAGCACATATGGAGCCTAAACGACATGAAAATTAGCTATGAAATTAATTGGTGTAAAATAAAGCAAGCCTGATCGTATTCTAATATCAACAAAAAGGGTAATCTATGTCTGTGGAAAAAATATTCATGTATGTAAACCGGAAATGTCATCACTCAATCATAGAAAAGAACTTACATCGACCTGCAGACATTCCAAGAAATTCCTGTTAAATACCGTGTTGGCTTAATAACTGAATGAACATGACCTTTCATTACACCCGTCATCCAATCATGTCACGCTGTAAGCATTGCTTGTTATTTTTAATTTTGTATATCTTTAAATGTAAATGTAACTTTTGTTAGTTGCCTGATGACTGCTTCGCAAGAAGCATGAAACTTGGATTAGCAAATCTTGCAACTCCGAGTAGCAAATCATTTGCTTCTCCGACTGACTTAGCCTACCGTTTTAAATATATACATACAGACATTCAATATATGACAAAAATGTCAGTTCAAGATTAAAGACACGTGTATTGTAAGTAAAAGAATTAAAAGTAAACGGCGAAATCACACTAAAATATAATTAGGATAAAAAGCAAGCAAAACAAAAGAGACAAGTGGTGAATCAGCTAAGTCCTTGGTTCAGTAAGGCGGGGGGTTAAAATTAAAAAAAAAAAAAAAAAGAAAAAAAAAGAAAAATAGTAGATTGGGGGTTGTTAAAAATTAAAATATGAAGTGGAAAATAAGTAAAATATTTGATACCAGATAATCCACCAACACAACAAGGTGCCTCTGAGCCCATTAGCAGTTTATGAGTATACCTTTTCTACTTCTTACCTCCTTCCCAAATCAACACCATTTTTCTCCAAAAAAACAACCAGAATGCCCCTTAATTAAGGCTTTCAAACTAGTATTATCTGGTTCATCTGGCAAAGCATCGGAATTGTTCTTGTAGAAAGTTATAATTACAGCTGAAACAAAATATCACCCCTGTTTGAGAAGGCAGCATGGCCAAGTGGTTAGGATCTCAAACTTGCAATCGGAGGCCCCGAGTTCAAATCCGCCCTGACCGCGCGCTAGCTGAATTTATTCACGATAGTCCCAATTGCTCGTAATAAACTGTACTTCAGCGGCCCTTTGGGGAGCTCTCACATTTGGCCTGCTCAGGCAACTACTTGCTTGTCTTAGTCAATGATTCAGATGGCGAATGACTTGCTGGAATCTTGCCCGCTGGGCAAGGGAGCTTTAAAAGTTACTTGCCCAGCAAAAAAACTACTTGTCCCGACTACTGCACGGGGCTGTTTTCGAGCTTTGGCGGTCCAGAGTTGAAGTCCTCGACAACTCTTGAATAGCCACTAGCCTAAAAATTGTTATGTTTATTCGATTTATTTGTTTCAGTTATTTGCTGCCGTATCGATTAATCGCATCTAGTGGCTGGAAAATAATTAACTTAGAGGATGTGCACATGCCTCAAATTCTGGTAAATAAAAGCATACAACGCATTTCGGAAGGGCAGATTTGATTATTACAGCGTTTACCAAAAACGGGTGCCCTCGAATGTTTTTTTCTTTCGGTCGAAGCCTAAGTTAACGTGGACGTCAATCAGCTGATTCCATGGTTTTTTCACGTGTCTATCTCATCGTTTAACGAACGAAGACATCGCAAGAATACCAGATGATACTTTTCTGCCAACTTTGTAAGTTTGAAAATCATGCAATATTTCTGACACACTGTAAGTTACAACGACATTTCATAAGCTTACAATTGTTTAATTACCACCCAAGTCAAAAGCCAGCTGGTCAAGCTCGTTCCCAGGGTTCTTGCTAGCTGGTTACCTCTGGCCAGGTGGGATTCATTACCCTGTTAAGTTTTAGTTTGATCATTTGCTTCAGGCGTTTACTCGGTTTCACTCTAGCATTGGCCATAGATACTGCCCAGAGGGTAAACAAAGGACGTT